TCATAATACAGATAAAATATAAATAACAAACACTAACATTTAAACTTTATTATATTTTAAAAATTAATGGAAAATGGCAAAATACCCAACTGAGTTACAGCGAGGTGAGTACAATTTATTTGGTTACTCAAAGGAAAATTAGGATACCCAATAGAGATGAACACGAGCGAGTACATAACTCAATGACCCAAAAAGTTATCTGTAGCTCTGCATATTACATCAGTACAGTCGTACACTATTAGCCATATTACATCAGTACCGTCTTACAATATTAGCCATATTACATCGGTACAGCCATACACTATTAGCCATATTACAACAGTACAGTCGTACAATATTAGCCATATTACATCAGTACAGTCGTACAATATTAGCCATATTACATCGGTACAGCCATACACTATTAGCCATATATTACATCAGTACAGTCGTACAATATTAGCCATATTACATCGGTACAGCCATACACTATTAGCCATATATTACATCAGTATAGTCGTACAATATTAGCCATATTACATCGGTACAGCCATACACTATTAGCCATATATTACATTAGTACAGTCGTACAATATTAGCCATATCATATCAGTACAGCCATACACTATTAGCCATATTACATCGGTACCGTCTTACAATGTCTATCACACCAAGACACTTGTCAGTTATACAAAAGCAGTCATACAATATACGTCACATCACATTATCATTCCTTCGTCAGTTTTAGATTCAGCATGTGGACTCTTTATTCCACAATTCACTGTAACCAATTTTTCCATACGTGATATAATAGAGTAAATGTTTCTTTTCTTCACCAGACCAAATGACCTGCTTCACCAGAAGCATTGATCCTTGCTCTGAATGATTTACAATGTTTATTATGTCGATTTACTTTGAAACCAACAATAGGTGTTTGGGCGTTACTATAGAAGTACATGTAAACAAAGGGTTGCTATTTGAGAGCCGTCCAACGACATAACATTAGACAGAGATGTGCGGTGGCTGTGACAATCATCGGTAATCAATACCATCAAGCCACATTGCTCGCTTTAAGGTTGATAAGTTCATCTAGAAGGACAATTAAATGAAAAAAATACCTCATGGATACTGTATCTTGTCTTTTGCTTAAAAAGTGGGTTTTGCTATCTTAAAGTTAAACATTGTACTTGAGTGTTGTCACCTTATACTGCTATATCATGATGCACACACACGCGGGCGAACACTGTAGGCACACCCACGCACGCACGCATGCACACGCGCAAGCACGCTCATACGCACACCCAAAAAACCAAAACAAACCAAACAACACCCACAGACCCACGCGAGCCGCACGCACGCACACACATATCGACTTGAGGTGTCCCCGCTGATATATAGGTCATTTTGCTTAAAGCGGGGGACAGGCCCATTGCCTGACTGACTGACTGACTGACTGACTGGTTGTGGTGGTGTTGGCGATGTCTGCGTTGTTGGCGTTGTTGGCGATGTTATCGGTGTTGGCGTTGTTGGCGATGTTGGTAGTGTTGGCGGTGTGGGTGTTCTTGGCGATGTTTGCAGTGTTGGCGTTGTTGGCGATGTTGGCGGTGTGGGTGTTCTTGGCGCTGTTGGCGCCGTTGGCGGTGTTGGCATTGTTGCGATGCTGGTGACGTTGTCGATGTTGTAGATGTTGTTGTTGGCGGTGGGAAGACAAATGAAGCAGATATAACCAGAGAAACCAAACATGTCATTCCAATATTCTTACATCATCTCAAGAATATGTTGAAGCCCTCACCATGACAACGTCACTGGTCTGAGACGTCCTTTGCATCTTCATTGGCAAGGCGTGCTGTCACAGACTTGCATCAAGCATGCATCTGATTAACGATGCATTCGAGATCGAAGTTGTGCTTAGCCGAGCGAGACCGTCTCGGAAGAATGCCTGTAAATGGTTTGTTCTATATGTGTCAGTCGGGTATTGACTTTGTTCAGCTACGTTTAATTATTTATGTCAATTTCCTAAATGACTCCATTCTCGTCATGAATGTAGAACTGTAGTTAATGTAGTATTCTTCATTAACCTTAACCAGTTTGGCACACAGTACACAATTCAGAATCATGTGTAGCATAAGTCAGATGTTATCAGGAAGAGGTTAAAAACAACAAACCTGTTGAGTGACTGAGAGTCTGAGTGAGTTTGGTTTTACGCCGCTTTTAGCAATATCCCAGCAATATCCCGGCGGGGGACACCAGAAATGGGCTTCACACATTGTACCCATGTGGGGAATCGAACCCGAGTCTTCGACATGACGAGCGGACGCTTTAACCACTAGGCTACCCCACCGCTCCTGTAAACTTGATATAATTATAGGAGGAGTAAAAATAGGTTGTGGGAGACACAATGTTTTATATACGACATGTGATCATTGTAAGAGTATAATAGAAATGATAAAGCCCTGTCCACATCCGTAAGCAATTTCTGCTCAAAGCAGAGGCGATTATAGAATTCTGACTGTATCATGCGGACGTTTTCGTTTGACGCCTCATTCAGCAGTATTGTAGATTTAGGGCGCGGTCTGCAAACAATCGAGTCTAGACCAGACAATCCATTGATTGACACCATGAGATACGGCGACAGAGCATGTGTTTATGAATCACTATCAAATAGTGTTCATGCAAGGTGTTCTCTAAAGATGACCGTATTCTGCTCCACCGGTAAACATCTGTACAGGTTAGTCAACTGAAAAACTTATGGTACAAGTCAAGTAGAGAACTGCGTATGACATCATTTTGGCCACTGATGCTTCAAATGTTGAAATGTCCTCCACATAACATGTTTTGCAATATTTACCGAGGCCCTGGATGTTGCAAACCTTCAATGAACAGCCTCTTACGGTATTAGAAAATTTAACATATTACATACTCAACTACGTCATGGAGCTAGTAGATTAAGTAACGATCTGTACAGAGTAGGGCTAAGCACTAATCCATCCTGCGCTTGTGGAAACCCATGCGAAAATGCTCATCACTACTTCTTAGAATGTTCTTTATACAATCAATTTAGAAAGATCATGCTTAAAGCTATTCAAGATGTATGTGGTAGTAATTCTGTGATTACATTATCTGTTATTTTAAACGGCATTGCAGATCTGACAAATCATAAAAATGAAATTATATTAAAAAATGTACATCAATATATATGCAAATCTAAACGATTCCAGTAGTCTTCTCTCTATACACCTTTTGTATTACAGCATTTCCCCCTGTTATCTTTCAGTCTTTCTCTGTCTCTGTTTCTAATAATTGCTTGTGATGTAATTAGTTATTGTAAATATCTTCGGAGAGGGGTTTAATAAGCTGAAAGAACTTGTCCCCGATCCTTTTCACATTGTGAATAAAATATGTTTCAACTTAAAACTAAACAGCCTCTAAGCAACAGTCGTATGGCGCTCCTTGAAATCTTGGTGAAAAGAGAATGCTCAATTGTGCCTCAAAACTGTCAAGTGTAAATACCAAAGGCTTTTTGTCATACATGAAGATATTTGTTGTCACTCTTTATGCAAGGATCCAAATATATACGTGAAACAGGTGAAGCGGTCTTACTTGTCTCGTTAATTTCAAGTTCAGGTGGAAACAAATTCTGTATTTAATTGTTATAGGATGATATTAGATTTCAATGTCGCAATGTTCTACAGAGATGGTATCAAAGTACAGAATTTCAAATATTGTTTTCTCAGTAAACTTCAAATGGCATTTGCTTTCATTTTTTGACAATTTATCTGGAGATAGATATATAGGTATATCTTTGTACACGACGTATTTTATACATGCCTCATGTATCAAAGGAGGAACTTTTGTCATGTGGGATAAAGGCGTACAAAGTTAAAGCTCAAATGTCTTGGCAGATTGGAACTTGATCCGTTTCTGAGATTGTAAAATTGCAAGTAAATCCTTTTGGATTTGCAAGTTTTGGAGACTTCTTTGATTGGCATGCTCATTCTTCAAGTTTTGGAGAATCCACACGGAATTAATTCCGTTTGTCTCAAAATCTTTTTTGTGAATATAGAGAAAGTCCTTACTGGATAGCATTAAGGATTAAGAATATGGTGGTAAGTTATATAGAACCAACATTCTCTATGCCGGGATTTATATGCATATAAACCTTACTCGGGGCATGTTTTCTCAGTCGGCATTCGTCACGCTGAAGACCAGTGTTCGATTCCCTCATTGGTACAATGTGTGAAGCCCATTTCTGGTGTTTTGCTGGAATATTGGCGTAAAAGTAAACTCCTTCACTCAGTCAGCACACAGAAAGGCACTAGCACGACCTGCCCCAGAATTCTCGCAGCTGAAACTACAGCTGACCAACTGCTCTTGACTGTACCAGAATACAAACTGAAATCTTTCGGTGCTCGATCCTTCCCTCATGCGGCTGCTTCGTTATGGAACTCTCTCTCATAAAACATCAAGAGTGCAACTTCGATATCTGCGTTTATATCATGACTAAACCCATACCTGTTGCGACGCTACCACTAACTGTCTTCTGCATAATGAGAATAATAATAGTAATGAGAATATTTATAACGCGCTTTTTCCAGGCTAGATATTCTGCTCAAAGCGCAAAATCTGGATAACCCAAGCTGCCTGTTAGGCGTTAGAAGGTTAATAGTCACACGATTTATTTCACCGGGTACCCATTTTCTGCTGGGTGAACAAAATAAGGTGCCTAAGGTGAGACCACATATATCACATGTGCTTCGTTGTGGAGCAGGAATGAAGTCCTAGAAACTCTCAGGAGTCAAGCTGCCAAACACAGTCACCCAAGACCTCTCCGCGCCTAACGTTGCTTAACTTCAACTTATCATGACCTGAACTCTAAGCACACGACCACACGTCACCACTGTGTATATGTATGTATGCTGTGATGCGCTTTGAGCATGTCCCTCAGAGATGCGGAACTAGCGCTATAAAATACCCTTATCATTATTAGCACTGTATCTGAATGATATGTGATCTGTGTACAGACAAACCCGGAATGTGCCCAGCAGTGACGGCGACGACGTTTGGCGTCTGTGTCACCAAGTGTGCCGGCGACAGCGACTGCCCCTTTGACCACAAGTGCTGCTCCAACGGCTGTGGACAAGTGTGCCTTCCCCCCGCCACAGGTAATACGTCGAGGACGTAACACGTCACTGAACATCAGTAATACTTACTGTTACATAATTCCTGATCTGAAATGTATTTATTTGATAATATGGAAAATATGGACACAAAAACCTAAATGTTTAAAGAAGGTAGCTCTGGATATGCATCTTAAACATGTTCCTTATAGCAATCATTACACATGTGGGCGTTCATGTTTTTATAGTTATCATTGCACAGATGGGAGTGATGTTTCTAACAGTAATCATTGATCATTACTCGTGCAATGAGTCAAAGTGGTATTTTTCATTGCAGCACACACCTAGATAATCATATAGTATTGGGTTAAGTCATTTCTTACTGATAAACCGTGAAGATCCGGGTTAGAATTGATCTTCAGCAACCCATGCTTGTCGTAAGAGGCGACCAACGGGATCGGGTGGTTAGGCTCAATGACTTGGTTGACACATGTCATCGTATCCCAATTGCGTAGTTGATCACTGGATTGTCTGGTCCAAACTCGATTATTTACATACCGCCGCCATACAACTGGAATATTGCTGAGTGCGTTAAGCAACAAAGCAACCGACCAATCTTATCGAACAACAAATACCTCTCCCACAAGACGGTGCCCACCAAATACAGTCCACTCGAACAAAACCCTTTTGACAGCGGAGCGCTTATAGTAAAGGCATCAATGGCAAAGACCTAATGGGTTACACTAATCTCAATTGCAATGACCCAGCTATGTTGTCGAATGAAAAGTTCAATAGCATGTTTTAACAGAAATACCTGACCTTTCAGGGGCCGACATGATATCAGTGAATTTCACACAAGAACTGATAAAGGGCATCAGTACCTGCATACAAGGTTTAAATAAACGTCTTCAAGGAGCACTGACTGAAGTTAACAAAGTCCTTTGTCAGATTGGTAAAGAATATCCCATCACCCACATGTCAGCAATGACGGTCATTGACGATTTCTCCTCACCTACATCTTTGGATTCAAGCTGTGAGAATGTCACCAAAACCAAATATACACATGCTGAAATGATGAAGGTTCTGGGCGACGCTGCTGCAACACTCACGAGCGACGACTACCTCGACGAACTTACCAAGGCCAAGGCGTGTATCGTGTCCATATTGCCCGCGACAATAGGCAATGTTTCCGAATGGTTCGACCACTTGTATGGAGCAGTTTCAGGAACCGTCAATATGATTCTGAGTGCAGGTGAGTCCATTCATTTGTTATTGTAGAAATCAGAGTGCTTCAGGTTCTGTAGAAGGTAAAAATGTAAAATATCGTTCAGACATCAGATAAAGTTAGAACATGAGGATAAGCGGCAAGCATAAGCTACTTTTCAGCTCTTATCTTCACGACATCAGGGTTAAATTCAAAGAAAGACTTAAGCTTACATATATCGGTAACGAATGGATTAAATTAACGCGGGTTAAATTCTAAACGAAACTGATTTCACTTGCTTTGTAACCGACGACTATGACTATATGTTTACTTTCACTATCATTTTTACATTGGTACGGAAGAGACGATACATCACAAACATTACATTGTGTCAATGTTGTCGTCATAGTGACGCAGTTACGTCTCCTTCCGTTTGTCAGAAATGAAAGAGATTAAGACGACAATGCATCTTATCCATCTTTATCTTTATAGTGGAGATTATTCAAAAACAGCATAACTCGTGACGATCCGGGCCAGAATTGATATTTAGCGACCGATGCTTGTCTTTATCAAATTATTGCATTTCTATGTACTCTCCTATGGAGGAATAAAAGTGTATAAAAGGCGATTAACGGGATCGGGTGGTCAGGCTCGCTGACACGTCATCGTATCCCAATTGCGTAGGTCGATGCTCATGTCATGTCCACAATATTTACAGACCGTCGCGATACAGCTGGAATATTCCCGAGCGCGGGGTTAACAATAAACAACAAGAAGCGCATACATGCCTTCGATCATTGAATGGATATGATCATAGAATCACCAACAATATGCAGAAGAAAATGGGCTGTGGCTAATATAAAATTGGCTGTTGCTCACTCAAAAGACCTTCAGAATATCCTGCCTTATCTAATATGAGTATAGGTTACCAGTCGTGTCGTGACCCATATCCACAAAGCCATCTTAGCGTTACGATGACCGCAAGCCAATGTTACAACATTGGAGATAAGGTCACCGTGGCGTTAAGATCGCTTTGTGGAGTGAGTGAGTGAGTGAGTTTGGTTTTACGCCGCTTTTAGCAATATTCCAGCACGGCGGGGGAGACCAGAAATGGCTTCACACATTGTACCCATGTGGGGATTCGAACCCGGGTCTTCGGCGTGACGAGCCAACGCTTTAACCACTAGGCTACCCCACCGCCCCCGCTTTCTGGAACAGGACCCTGGTCAATGTTGCAATGCAATTTGATGTTCCTAAACGTGTTTTGAGTGGTATTTATTTGAGAATGTGTGTTCTGAAGCATTTAGTGTGGCCGTCTTCCTTTACAGGCCCGTGTATGTGGATGCCATGTAAAAACCTTGGTTCTTGCGTTCCACAAGGCACTGACTACATGTGTTCCTGTTTTGCCCTATACACCGGCAAGGACTGTGAAACCCCATTCGGTAAGTGGATGAATATACCATGTGGAATATAGTTGTCTTTGGCATCATTATTTATTATATAATTCATATTAATGTTCAATAACATATGACACCACATTATGACTAATTATACCATGACTTTAGTAAATACTGGATTGCGATTGGTTACTTAATGTCATTCAGAGGTATACAATCACATTATATGCCTCTGATTTTCCAACACAGAATATATTTTCTTAAAATCTCTATAACGCGGTTATGGTAGAATGGAGAGTAAGTTTATCTCCTAAATCACATCAATCTAACCAATATCTTGTTACTATCATGTAAATGCTTTGAGACTGGGTCTTATTGGTTACTTACTGTTATGAGAACTGAAGGTTCGTTACAACCGTTGTTTGTTTTTATGCAGTTTGTTAAAATATACAGCCAAGTAATCGGACAGAAAATAGTTCTTTATATCCGCCAGTTCGACTAAAACAAACAGCCAAGTAATCGGACAGAAAATAGTTCTTTATATCCGCCAGTTCGACTAAAACATACAGCCAAATAATCGGACAAAAAATAGTTCTTTATATCAACCAGTTCGACTAAAACATACAGCCAAGTAATTGGACAAAAAATAGTTCTTTATATCAACCAGGTCGACTAAAACATACAGCCAAGTAATCGGACAGAAAATAGTTCTTTATATCAACCAGTTCGACTAAAACATACAGCCAAGTAATCGGACAGAAAATAGTTCTTTATATCAACCAGTTCGACTAAAACATACAGATAAGTAATCGGACAGAAAATAGTTCTTTATATCAACCAGTTCGACTAAAACATACAGCCAAGTAATCGAACAGAAAATAGTTCTTTATATCAACCAGTTCGACTAAAACATACAGATAAGTAATCGGACAGAAAATAGTTCTTTATATCAACCAGTTCGACTAAAACATACAGCCAAGTAATCGGACAGAAAATAGTTCTTTATATCAACCAGTTCGACTAAAACATACAGATAAGTAATCGGACAGAAAATAGTTCTTTATATCAACCAGTTCGACTAAAACATACAGCCAAGTAATCGAACAGAAAATGGTTCTTTTCATCCGCCAGTTCGACTAAAACATACAGCCAAGTAATCGGACAGAAAATAGTTCTTTATATACGCCAGTTCATTGTAACCGTTTCGATTATAAAGGTACTTTACTGCATTTTGAAAATATTTGACACAGTTAATCCGAAATTGCCGTCCAACTTGACACGTGAAGAAAAGGACGCTCTCAAGACATGCATTGATATGCACGAGAAGAACCTCACAGACGCACTGGACAACGGTGACCTACGTAAAAAGGTGAAATGTGCAGCTTTGCAGGGTCTTACACCATTCCAAGGGTCTTGGTTGAGGAAACCTACCTTGAGCGACATCTACAACGAACCATCCACCTCGACGTCTGGAGAGCCCAAAGTCACGTTAGGTGACTGTACCTCGATGGGATATGTAAACACTTCTGACGGTTCCTTCATGAAGGGGGTGATGGAGGAGGTACAGACATTGTACGCATACCTGAACAGCAACGAAGGCCTCAACGACCTCAACAACGGCGTGGATTGTCTTATGGATGTCCTGAAGGATTCCGGCAGGACTGAAGACGAGAACACTGCCATGCAAGTCCGTATGAGGGCTCTGTATGATGGCTTCTCCGCTTCTGTGAAGGCAGATGTGGCGCCCTATATGTACAGCATGGGTAAACATGTTCAGATATACTTCTACCTTGTTTTGCATTTGGGTTTATTTATATATTTTTATTCAAAATCAGATACCAATAAAAATAGGGTGTTATAAAGTTTAGATCAGCAAGATGTGTGTTAAGTGCTTTCATGTCACATAAAATGTCATTGTCGGTTATTGCTATGTACATGTAAGTCACCCCTCCTTGAAGCTGAAATGTATCACGTATTTACATCTTAGCACAGTGATATATTGTGATATAGAGACATTAGTTTCTGGGTATGACACAAAGACGTGTTTATATGTATCAATGAAGTGACATCGCAGATGACTCTTCGACTTGCATGAAAACAGCCGAAGTCCGACGCGATGAGGGTCTTAGACATTAAAACTAATTCGTAACAGCTACGAGCACCTGTATAATACGGACAAACCTCGAAAATTGATCATGGCGAACTCGATTTCTGGGCTTTCCTCGACTGCGGACCTGTGTTCCACCAGGGGCTTTAACCTAAAACATACAGTGCTAAACGTTTCAGGTCCCACGGGCTACTGCCTGTCACACCCATGCCAGAACGGCGGCTCTTGCCTCCATTCCAAGTCTGAAAACAAGTTCATGTGCGTGTGTCCATCGGGCGTCCAGGGAGATACCTGCGAAAACCCTGAAGACAAAGGTGAGTTGTTGAACATTACAGGAATGCAACTCAAACATGGCCACTGGTTGCGTTTTGTGAAAAAATTATGGGCGTTATCAAGGGAAAAGTAATTGAGACAGCTCCCATCCATCCACCCACCTACCAATCCACCCATTCATACACCAATCCATCTACTGCCGGGACGGTTAGATAAAGCCAGTCATAAAAATGGAATGTAAGTACTTCCCAGGCGTCCAGACAATTTCTTTCTTCTGTTGCGATTCGGTGTTGACTATTGTTTGACAACGATTAAGGCCACACAGTTGAAAACCACACGAAAACCGTAAATGACATAAAAACAGGTCCCATAGGACCTTTCCTTTAGGACCTGTTATAGGACCTTTCCTAAAGGACCCGTTATAGGACCTTTCTTATAGGACCTGTTATAAGACCTGTATTAGGACCTTTCCTATAGGACCTGTTATAGGACCTTTCTTATAGGACCTGTTATAAGACCTGTTATAGGACCTTTCCTATAGGACCTGTTATAGGACCTGTTAGGTTACAGCGATATAATAATTTCCTTGTATCCGACGTTATGTGTTAAGTATCAGATCACCATTAACTATCCAGAGGATGCGAAACGGTGAAGAGTATATGCATTCTCATTGTGAGATATCTTGTGACGTACCAAGTTAAATTTTGAAATGCTTCACAGTTATGTTTTTTTGCTTTTTTAAAATGCAAGGATGGAAATGAGTAAAACTAGTAGAAAAACAAGTATATCTTAACCCAGAACTGCAGGAGAGACATAATCCATGTATGTCCCCCAGTCAGAGTGATCGATTGTTTTCCACCACACTCAGCAATATTGCAGCTATATGGCCGCGTTCTGTAAATAATCGTGTCTGGACCAGACAATCCAGTTATCATCAGCATGATCACCGATCTGCGCAACTGGGATACGATGACATGTGTCAACCCAGTCTGCGGGCCTGACATTCCGATGCCGTTTGTCGCCTGTCGCAAGCATGGGTTACTGAAGGCCAATTGTAACCCGGATCTTCTCCAGTCAGATCACCCACAGATAAAACCTTAGGCCCTGAAGCCAAGTGGTATGTGTGTTGAATGTGAGATCCCGACCTTTCGATTCCATGCAGCGATACCAAATCTTTGAATATCTCTGCGATATTGTGTTTTGAAAACAAACTTAAAATAAAGGCAAAATAATCAACAACTATTTGCTAAAAGTTAAAGACTTGAAAAGAATATATTGGGTTTCAAACAATTTCAAGTTACACTGGTCGAACACAAGTCCATCTGTGGTGTACAGATGGTTGGTGAATCTGTGTGCTGTAAAATAATATCTAGAATTAATTTCAAATTATCATTAAATATTAAAACCGATAAAGCCGGAGAATAACCAGTCTCCATTTTCCTCCGAGGCGTAAAAAAGAAAGTATAGGAATGAATCATACGTTACAAGAAACAATAGGTTTTCATTCGTACGTCAGAGATACGAACATCTGAAGACGTTAATGTGCCTACATTGATGTGAGAGAGTAACTGTAACGACGCTTTTAGAATATTCAATCAATATCACGGCGGGGACACTAGAAACATGCTTTACACATTGTCCCCATGTGGGGACTCGAACGCGGGTCTTCGGCTTGACTATCGAAAGTTTTTTTGACTAAGCTACCCCACCACCCCTTACAGAGAAGACGTATGGTCAGTCATCACTGTGGATACATTTCATTGTTAGATAGGCCGTCCCACTACCCCTTAACAAAACACGTTTTCATTAATATGTTGTCAAATCTGCGTTAAAGGGCCCTGTTCATCAATGCCATGTCAGAACGGGGGCACCTGCATCAACAGCCCGAACGGAGACGCCTTCATCTGCCAGTGTACCAGGCTGTTTGGTGGGCAGACCTGCCAGATTAGTAAGTAGATAACTGTCCTTCTGTCCATGTGTTCATCTGTCCATGTGTCCATCTATCCATCTATCATCTGTCCATCTGCCTTCTGTTCATCTGTCCATCTATCATCTGCCTTCTGTTCATCTATCCATCTATCATCTGTCCATGTGTCATCTGTTCATCTATCCATCTATCATCTGTCAATCTGCCTTCTGTTCATCTATCCATCTATCGTCTGTCCATGTGTCATCTGTTCATCTATTTCATCTATCCATCTATCATCTGTCAATCTGCCTTCTGTTCATCTATCCATCTATCGTCTGTCCATGTGTCATCTGTTCATCTATCCATCTATCATCTGTCCATCTGCCTTCTGTTCATCTATCCATCTATCATCTGTCCATCTGCCTTCTGTTCATCTATCCATCTATCATCTGTCCATCTGCCTTCTGTTCATCTATCCATCTATCGTCTGTCCATGTGTCATCTGTTCATCTATCCATCTATCATCTGTCCATGTGTCATCTGTTCATCTATCCATCTGTCCATCTATCATCTGCCTTCTGTTCATCTATCGATATATCATCTGTCCATGTGTCATCTGTTCATCTATCCATCTATCATCTGTCCATCTGCCTTCTGTTCATCTATCCATCTATCGTCTGTCCATGTGTCATCTGTTCATCTATCCATCTATCATCTGTCCATCTGCCTTCTGTTCATCTATCCATCTATCATCTGTCCATCTGCCTTCTGTTCATCTATCCATCTATCATCTGTCCATGTGTCATCTGTTCATCTGTCCATTTATCATCTGTCCATCTATCCATCTGTCATTAGTTCATCTGTCCATCTGTTCATCTGTTAATCTGTGCATACCTCCAGTATCTCCAGAAAGGTGTCAATCGTTTCAGAGTCAAACCGTTTATCTACCGATTCTTTGATTTTGACCCAAAGTGGCGCAAATGTATATTTTTAACTCATCTTCATTGGGAATTATAAATATGTCCTACAACTAACTCATCTTGTATAATATTCAAACACTGACTGAGATCGTCACGATGCCTCTGAATGCAAACGACTGTGTATATCCTAACATTGACAGGACATTTAAGATGTATTCGGCCACCAGCTCTTGTGTACATGCTAGCACTAGCAGCTGTTGTGTACATGCTAGCACTAGCGGAATATGTCCTTGATGTATAACCCACCATACTGGTCATGTTACTAAGCTCAGACAGATGCCACTAGTGTGTGTACTAACATACACTGGACATGTTAGGATGTATCCTTCCACTTACTCTGGTAGTCTATATCCTAACACCGTTTGTTGCAGGCATTTGTTCTGCAAAAGTAAACGAATGTGGATTCTGTGTGGGAGGGTCGACCGGAGTTCCCGAAAACCAAGGTATCAACAAATGTGGCGGTTGCGTGGGTGACCCCGACGCTAAAAAGCCTGACTGCAACGGCGTGTGTGGAGGATCAGCTGTTAGACATGCAGTCTGTGGGACTTGTTACAGTAAGTGTCGTGTCCATGACTTGCTGTTCGACATATGGTTAGACACGTCATATGACGAAACATTTCAATTCAACAAATGTCCAATCCAAGAAGCTACAGTTAACCATGACATCGGTGTGAGATGTTACGGTAAAGACGTGACATGTGTGAGGTGTTACGGTAAAGACGTGACATGTGTGAGATGTTACGGAAAAGTCATGAGATGTGAGAGATGTTACGGAAAAGTCATGAGATGTGAGAGATGTTACGGTAAAGACGTGACATGTGTGAGATGTTACGGTAAAGACGTGACATGTGTGAGATGTTACGGTAAAGACGTGACATGTGTGAGATGTTACGGAAAAGTCATGAGATGTGAGAGATGTTACGGTAAAGACGTGACATATGAGAGATGTTACGGTAAAGACGTGACATGTGTGTGAGATGTTACGGAAAAGTCATGAGATGTGAGAGATGTTACGGTAAAGACGTGACATATGAGAGATGTTAGGGTAAAGACGTGGCATGTGTGAGATGTTACGGAAAAGACGTGGCATGTGTGAGATGTTACGGTAAAGACGTGACATATGAGAGATGTTACGGTAAAGACGTGACATATGAGAGATGTTACGGTAAAGACGTGACATGTGTGTGAGATGTTATGGAGAAGGCATGACATGTGTGAGATGTTATGGTAAAGTCATGAAATATGGTTGAGATGTTACGGTAAAGTCATGACATGTGTGTGAGATGTTACAGTAAAGTCATGACGTGTGTGAGATGTTACGGTAAAGTCATGCCATGTGTGAGATGTTACGGTAAAGTCATGACATGTGTGAGATGTTATGGTAAAGTCATGAAATATGGTTGAGATGTTACGGTAAAGTCATGACATGTGTGTGAGATGTTACAGTAAAGTCGTGACGTGTGTGAGATGTTACGGTAAAGTCATGCCATGTGTGAGATGTTACGGTAAAGTCATGACATGTGTTAGATGTTATGGTAAAGTCATGACATATGGTTGAGATGTTACGGTAAAGACGTGACATGTGTGTGAAATGTTATGGTAAAGTCATGACATTTGTGAGATGTTACGGTAGAGACGTGACATGTGTGAGATGTTACAGTATAGTCATGACATGTGTGTGAGATGTTACGGTAAAGACGTGACATGTGTGTGAGATGTTACGGTAAAGTCATGACATGTGTGAGATGTTACAGTAAAGTCATGACATGTATGAGATGTTATAAAGTTATGTGTAAAGTCATGACATGATGTGAGATGATATGTGTTAGATGTTAAGGTAAAGTCATGACATGTGTGAGATGTTACGGTAAAGTCATGACATGTGTTAGATGTTGTGAGTACGGTAAAGTCATGACATGTGTGAGATGTTACAGTAAAGCATGACATGTATGAGATGTTACAGTAAAGTCATGACATGTGTGAGATGTTACGGTAAAGTCATGACATGTGTTAGTTGTTCTGGTACAGTCATGACATATGGTTGAGATGTTACGGTAAAGTCATGACATATGGTTGAGATATTACGGTAAAGACGTGTCATGTGTGTGAAATGTTATGGTAAAGTCATGACATGTGTGAGATGTTATGGTAAAGTCATGACATTTGTGAGATGTTACAGTAAAGTCATGACATGTGTGAGACGTTACGGTAAAGTCATGACATGTATGAGATGTTACGGTAAAGTCATGACATGTGTGAGATGTTACGGTAGAGTCATGACATGTGTGAGATGTTACGGTAAAGTCATGACATGTGTGAGATGTTACAGTAAAGTCATGACATGTGTGAGATGTTACGGTAAAGTCATGACATGTGTGAGATGTTACGGTAAAGTCATGACATGTATGAGATGTTATGGTAAAGACGTGTCATGTGTGTGAAATGTTATGGTAAAGTCATGACATTTGTGAGATGTTACGGTAAAGTCATGACATGTGTGAGATGTTACGGTAAAGTCATGACATTTGTGTAAGATGTTACGGTAAAGACGTGACATGTGTATGAGTTGCTGTGGTAAATTTGAAGACCTTGTTGCGTGCATCAAGCTGCCACTTGAGATGGCATCAGATGGATTTTAGTAGCAATTAAATTACATTTGTGACGTCATTCCATTGTCTGTTCGCTCCAATACTTTTCGGGAATGGAGCGATGTGTACCAGTTTCAAAATAAAACCTTCATTTTGTCATTTTGACATTTAATTTTGATAACAGAAATATTCCCAATACTTCGAATGTAATTTAAGTAGGGTAATGTCCGAGTAACTCTCCATTCCTTAAAAATAATGGAGCCGAGGCCCCCCAAAAATATGGAGCCGAGGCCCCCTCCGGGGCCTCGGCTCCATTATTTTTAAGGAATGGAGAGTTACTCGGACATTACCCTCTACATATGCTCTGTGCGTAGTGTGGAATAATCTGCCACACAGGGCAACAGTTAGAGTCTTTACTGTTTCGTAATATACACATGCAGTTGGTGATGGAGTAGCGTCTCGGCCTGTTTCGTCGAGTGCAACCTCTTACTTTTACAGTTTATTTCGGCATCCATTTGATTCGAGTGAATGCACGGAATAACACTACATTTACAAACTGTTATTAACAATATAGTTTAGATGTTTCCACTCAGATCGGAGATAATTATCCCCCTTGTTTTTACACATCACAGACGGAGACACGGGTAAATCTGAAGATGACGTGTACGACTGCGGCAGGTGCGTGGACAGCATCCCAGTGCGAGACTGTGCCAAGATGTGCATAAGAAAAGGTTAGATATTTACATGTTTTCCTGTGTTAGTTTGCGGCGAAAAACACTAAAAGATGATAGTTATCACACGTCCAGGGATCTCAATCTGAACTAAACGACAATGCAAATTGAACGTAAATGAGTGAGTGAGTGAGTGGGTTTGGGTGAGTGAGTTCAGTTTTACTCCGCTTTTAGCAATATTACAACAATATCACGGCGGGGTCATATAAATTAAATGATGGTGATGCATTTATTTGTTCAGCTTGCAGATCATTAATCGAACTTCATTACACAAGAAGCTATTTGTCACGTGACATTGTTTGTTTTGTTGAAAAATCACACGTTACTATTTCTTTAACAAATAAACAAATTATAAAAAATAAATCTTGAACGTATACCTACATGTGTCATCAGGTGTTCGAGCTGCCTTCAGGAACAAATGTGGGGTGTGTGTTAGTGGACAAACGAACGTGCGCAGCAGTGAGGGGATGGATGTGTGCCGTGTGTGTGGCGGTGACGGCTCCAGCTGCAAGGACTGTGACGGCGTCCCGAACGGGTGAGTCCATCCGGCAGTCGGAGAAACGATAAATATGAGGCTTGGGAAGCATTCAGTGGATCATGCGATAATGGATAACAAGTGTGCAGTGTTTTCTTGAGCGAATTGCACTTTGTCAACAATTCTTTACACTCTCATCAGCCAAACTCCTTAACGACCAACCCCCAAGATATCACGTTTTCTGAACAATGCCCGAAACCTCTCATCCCCCCCCCCCCCTCCCCTCCCCAGTCCTTATGTTTTAGCCAATTACCGATGACACCTGCAGAGAGTCTCGGATGTGCATAAAATGTCTATAAATGTCTGTGTCGATAGTTCTAGATACTTGTATACATACTCACTCATTCACCTGACGAAGGGGCAAGGAAAAGCCCAGAAACGTTGTGTATATAATAAAGAAGAAGTTGACATCCATAATATTTAATCTTATACTTGTATACATGCATATTTTACTCCCAGCCCATCCAAACTTGATTCCTGCGGTGTTTGTAACGGCGCGAACGACTGCATCAAGGTGAAGAAAGTCAGCCCCGACATAGTTTTGCATGAAAGCACAGAGGTAAGGACTTCAGTTAGACATGGGTGGTGGCGAGTGTAGAGTGGGAGCTGACCCTACAGATACGAATCAATATTGACAAAAAGAACGACATTGTCTTCTATAGGATGCTGTTGTGTCCTAAACATTCTACTTCTGCATCTTAAAAATATTTGTTATATCTGGTAAAATGGAATATTGCTGAGTGCGACTTAAAACTAAACTCACTCACTATATCTGTATGAAGGAAATGTTGAAATGCTAATACGGGTTAAAAACGTGATGTAATGAAACTATGACAGGATCACGGCTTGGATGTTTCTCCTTCAGTCTCTGGCTGTTGAAGGGGTTGGGTTTACTGGTGACAGCTCTGAACTCGTCTTGAGAACCAGCCCGACTGACGCTGGATCAGCACTGACTGTAGTGACAAGAAACGGAAGTCAGATCATGACGAGTGTCCCCGCTGGACTAGCTGCAGGTATGGGAAACTATAATAGTTGTCTATACAGAGGTATAGAGACACTAATCTCGCTGTTTGTATGGGGGACTCAGATAGTTGTCTATACAGAGGTATAGAGACACTAATCTCGCTGTATGTATGGGGGACTCAGATAGTTGTCTACACAGAGGTATAGAGACACTAATCTCGCTGTATGTATGGGGGACTCAGATAGTTGTCTATACAGAGGTATAGAGACACTAATCTCGCTGTATGTATGGGGGACTCAGATAGTTGTCTATACCTCTGTATAGAGACACTAATCTCGCTGTATGTATGGGGGACTCAGATAGTTGTCTATACAGAGGTATAGAGACACTAATCTCGCTGTATGTATGGGGGACTCAGATAGTTGTCTATACCTCTGTATAGAGACACTAATCTCGCTGTATGTATGGGGGACTCAGACAGTTGTCTATACCTCTGTATAGAGACACTAATCTCGCTGTATGTATGGGGACTCAGATAGTTGTCTATACCTCTGTATAGAGACACTAATCTCGCTGTATGTATGGGGGACTCAGATAGTTGTCTATACCTCTGTATAGAGACACTAATCTCGCTGTATGTATGGGGGACTCAGATAGTTGTCTATACCTCTGTATAGAGACACTAATCTCGCTGTATGTATGGGGGACTCAGATAGTTGTCTATACCTCTGTATAGAGACACTAATCTCGCTGTATGTATGGGGGACTCAGATAGTTGTCTATACCTCTGTATAGAGACACTAATCTCGCTGTATGTATGGGGGACTCAGATAGTTGTCTATACCTCTGTATAGAGACACTAATCTCGCTGTATGTATGGGGGACTCAGATAGTTGTCTATACCTCTGTATAGAGACACTAATCTCGCTGTATGTATGGGGGACTCAGATAGTTGTCTATACCTCTGTATAGAGACACTAATCTCGCTGTATGTATGGGGACTCAGATAGTTGTCTATACCTCTGTATAGAGACACTAATCTCGCTGTATGTATGGGGGACTCAGATAGTTGTCTATACCTCTGTATAGAGACACTAATCTCGCTGTATGTATGGGGGACTCAGATAGTTGTCTATACCTCTGTATAGAGACACTAATCTCGCTGTATGTATGGGGGACTCAGATAGTTGTCTATACCTCTGTATAGAGACACTAATCTCGCTGTATGTATGGGGGACTCAGATAGTTGTCTATACCTCTGTATAGAGACACTAATCTCGCTGTATGTATGGGGGACTCAGATAGTTGTCTATACCTCTGTATAGAGACACTAATCTCGCTGTATGTATGGGGACTCAGATAGTTGTCTATACCTCTGTATAGAGACACTAATCTCGCTGTATGTATGGGGGACTCAGATAGTTGTCTATACCTCTGTATAGAGACACTAATCTCGCTGTATGTATGGGGGACTCAGATAGTTGTCTATACAGAGGTATAGAGACACTAATCTCGCTGTATGTATGGGGGACTCAGATAGTTGTCTATACCTCTGTATAGAGACACTAATCTCGCTGTATGTATGGGGGACTCAGATAGTTGTCTATACAGAGGTATAGAGACACTAATCTCGCTGTATGTATGGGGGACTCAGATAGTTGTCTATACCTCTGTATAGAGACACTAATCTCGCTGTATGTATGGGGGACTCAGATAGTTGTCTATACAGAGGTATAGAGACACTAATCTCGCTGTATGTATGGGAGACTCAGATAGTTGTCTATACCTCTGTATAGAGACACTAATCTCGCTGTATGTATGGGGGACTCAGATAGTTGTCTATACCTCTGTATAGAGACACTAATCTCGCTGTATGTATGGGGGACTCAGATAGTTGTCTATACCTCTGTATAGAGACACTAATCTCGCTGTACGTATGGGGGACTCAGATAGTTGTCTATACCTCTGTATAGAGACACTAATCTCGCTGTATGTATGGGGGACTCAGATAGTTGTCTATACAGAGGTATAGAGACACTAATCTCGCTATATGTATGGGGGACTCAGATAGTTGTCTATACCTCTGTATAGAGACACTAATCTCGCTGTATGTATGGGGGACTCAGATAGTTGTCTATACCTCTGTATAGAGACACTAATCTCGCTGTATGTATGGGAAACTATAATAGTTGTCTATACAGAGGTATAGAGACACTAATCTCGCTGTATGTATGGGGGGACTCAGATAGTTGTCTATACCTCTGTATAGAGACACTAATCTCGCTGTATGTATGGGGGACTCAGATAGTTGTCTATACAGAGGTATAGAGACACTAATCTCGCTGTATGTATGGGAGACTCAGACAGTTGTCTATACCTCTGTATAGAGACACTAATCTCGCTGTATGTATGGGGGACTCAGATAGTTGTCTATACCTCTGTATAGAGACACTAATCTCGCTGTATGTATGGGGGAGTCAGATAGTTGTCTATACAGAGGTATAGAGACACTAATCTCGCTGTATGTATGGGGGACTCAGATAGTTGTCTATACAGAGGCTGAGAGACACTAATCTCGCTGTATGTATGGGGGACTCAGACAGTTGTCTATACAGAGGCTGAGAGACATTATTATCGCTGCAGGTGTGGGAAACAAAGACAGTTGTCTATACAGAGGTACAGAATGGCTGCTACGTCTATCACGTTCAATACAAATGTTTCATGGATTTTAAGAATGGGTGTAATTAATGAGAGACGGTATATATCTTCTATTCTCAGGAACATATAGCATCCATTACCGGGGCACGGCCACATCTCCCTGGTCCGGCTCTGATGCATCTCTCCACGTCGTTGATGCTGATGGTGAGTTGCTGGAAGATGTAAATGGCGGCTGACTGCCGTAGCTTTTAAACGGAGACGCCATTCAGGGAGATACATGGACTAAATGTATGACCTGACTCTACCTACACGATGAAGCACGTCTTTACAGATTTATATTTCGCAGAATGAAAAAAAAATAACCATATATAATATGAAAGAAGTCGGAAATGATATTAATTTTACCTGCAGTTTGGTGAAATGAAATATACACAGCATCTCGGACTGACACGTTGTATCGTTTTACGAGTAAGGGGCATGGAGTTATGTCCCTTTGTATACTCAATGTTATTACTGTAGTTTTCTACAATGGACATTTTGTATTCTGTACAGCTGTTGTGATCCAATCAGCATCTCCAAGTACCTTCACCCTGGAGAAAGGAGGGAAGACTGAAATTAATCTCACTGGAACTGGATTCCCATCAGTCCCCCTGTACTGTCTGTATCAAGGTGTGTATAGTGCCTACCTGTACTGTCTGTATCAAGGTGTGTTAGTGCCTACCTGTACTGTCTGTATCAAGGTGTGTATAGTGCCTACCTGTACTGTCTGTATCAACGTGTGTATAGAGCCTACCTGTAGGGTCTGTATCAAGGTGTGCATAGTGCCTACCTGTACTGGTTGTATGAAGACGTGTATAGTGCCCCCTGTACTGTCTGTATAAAGGTGTGTATAGTGCCCCCTGTACTGTCTGTATCAAGGTGTGTATAGTGCCTACCTGTACTGTCTGTATCAAGGTGTGTATAGAGCCCCCTGTACTGTCTGTAATCAAGGTGTGTATAGAGTCCCCTGTACTTTCTGTATCAAGGTGTGTATAGTGCCCCCCTGTAGGGTCTGTATCAAGGTGTGTATAATATCTTCTGTAGGGTCTGTATCAAGGTGTATATAGTGCCCCCTGTAGGGTCTGTTTCAAGGTGTTTATAGTGCCTACCTGCACTGTCTGTATCAAGGTGTGTATAGAACCCCCTGTAGTATCTGTATCAAGGTGTGTATAGTGCCACCTGTAGGGTTTGTATCAAGGTGTGTATAGTGCCTACCTGTACTGTCTGTATCAAGGTGTGTATAGAGCCCCCTGTAGTATCTGTATCAAGGTGTGTGTACTGCCACCCTGTAGGGTCTGTATCAAGGTGTGTAGTGACCCCTGTAGGGTCTGTATCAAGGTGTGTATAGTGCCTACCTGTACTGTCTGCATCAAGGTGTGTGTACTGCCCCCATGTACTGTCTGTATCAATGTGCAGGGGGGCACCTTGATACAGACAGTGCCTACCTGTACTGTCTGTATCAAGGTGTGTATAGTGCCTACCTGTACTGTCTGTATCAAGGTGTGTATATTGCCTACGTGTACAGTCTGTATCAAGGTGTATATAGTGCCTACCTGTACTGTCTGTATCAAGGTGTGTATAGTGCCTACCTGTACTGTCTGTATCAAGGTGTGTATACTGCCTACGTGTACAGTCTGTATCAAGGTGTATATAGCGCCTACCTGTACTGTCTGTATCAAGGTGTGTATAGTTCCTACCTGTACTGTCAGTATCAAGGTGTGTATAGTTCCTACCTGTACTGTCTGTATCAAGGTGTGTATAGTGCCTACCTGTACTGTCTGTATCAAGGTGTGTATAGAGCCCCCTGTACTGTCTGTAATCAAGGTGTGTATAGAGCCCCCTGTACTTTCTGTATCAAGGTGTGTATAGTGCCCCCCTGTAGGGTCTGTATCAAGGTGTGTATAATATCCTCTGTAGGGTCTGTATCAAGGTGTATATAGTGCCCTTTGTACTGTTTGTATCAAGGTGTGTATAGTGCCCCCTGTAGGGTCTGTTTCAAGGTGTTTATAGTGCCTACCTGCACTGTCTGTATCAAGATGTGTATAGAACCCCCTGTAGTATCTGTATCAAGGTGTGTATAGTGCCCCCTGTAGGGTCTGTTTCAAGGTGTTTATAGTGCCTACCTGCACTGTCTGTATCAAGGTGTGTATAGAACCCCCTGTAGTATCTGTATCAAGGTGTGTATACTGCCTACCTGTACTGTCTGTATCAAGGTGTGTATAGAGCCCCCTGTAGTATCTGTATCAAGGTGTGTGTACTGCCACCCTGTAGGGTCTGTATCAAGGTGTGTAGTGACCCCTGTAGGGTCTGTATCAAGGTGTGTATAGTGCCTACCTGTACTGTCTGCATCAAGGTGTGTGTACTGCCCCCATGCACTGTCTGTATCAATGTGCAGGGGGGCACCTTGATACAGACAGTGCCTACCTGTACTGTCTGTATCAAGGTGTGTATAGTGCCCACTTTAGGTTCCATATCAAAGTATCTATATTGCCTACGTGTACAGTCTGTATCAAGGTGTATATAGTGCCTACCTGTACTGTCTGTATCAAGGTGTGTATAGTGCCTACCTGTACTGTCTGTATCAAGGTGTGTATATTGCCTACGTGTACAGTCTTTATCAAGGTGTATATAGTGCCTACCTGTACTGTCTGTATCAAGGTGTGTATACTGCCTACGTGTACAGTCTGTATCAAGGTGTATATAGCGCCTACCTGTACTGTCTGTATCAAGGTGTGTATAGTTCCTACCTGTACTGTCTGTATCAAGGTGTGTATAGTGCCTACCTGTACTGTCTGTATCAAGGTGTGTATAGTTCCTACCTGTACTGTCTGTATCAAGGTGTGTGTACTGCCCCCCTGCACTGTCTGTTTCAAGGTGTGTATAGAGCCCCCCTGTAGGGTCTGTGTCAAGGTGTGTATTGTGCCCCCCTATACTCCCTGTATCAAGGTGTGTATAGTGCCTACCTGTACTGTCTGTATCGAGGTATGTATAGTGTCTACCTGTTCTGTCTGTATCAAGGTGTGTATAGTGCCCCCTGTACTGTCTGTATCGAGGTATGTATAGTGTCTACCTGTACTGTCTGTATCAAGGTGTGTATTGTGCCCCCTGTACTGTCAGTATCAAGGTGTGTATAGTGTCTACCTGTTCTGTCTGTATCAAGGTGTGTATAGTGTCTACCTTTTCTGTCTGTATCAAGGTGTGTATAGTGTCTACCTGTTCTGTCTGCATCAAGGTGTGTATAGTGCCCCCTGTACTGCCTGTATCATGGTCTGTATAGAGCCCCCTTTAGGGTTTGTATGAAGGTGTATAGAGTGCCCTGTGTACTCTCTGTATCAAAGTGTGTATAGAGACCCCTGTACTGTCTGTATCAGTGTGTGTACAGAGCCCCCTGTAGTGTCTGTATCAAGGTGTGTATAGAGCCCCCTGTAGTGTCTGTATCAAGGTGTGTATAGTGCCTACCATTTCTGTCTGTATCAAGGTGTGTATAGTGCCCCCTGTACTGTCAGTATCAAGGTGTGTATAGTGCCCCCTGTACTGTCAGTATCAAGGTGTGTATAGTGCCCCCTGTACTCCCTGTATCGAGGTATGTATAGTGTCTACCTGTTCTGTCTGTATCAAGGTGTGTATTGTGCCCCCTGTACTGTCAGTATCAAGGTGTGTATAGTGCCCCCTGTACTCCCTGTATCGAGGTATGTATAGTGTCTACCTGTTCTGTCTGTATCAAGGTGTGTATAGTGTCTACCTGTTCTGTCTGTATCAAGGTGTGTATAGTGTCTACCTGTTCTGTCTGCATCAAGGTGTGTATAGTGCCCCCTGTACTGCCTGTATCAAGGTGTGTATAGTGCCCCCTGTACTGCCTGTATCAAGGTCTGTATAGAGCCCCCTTTAGGGTTTGTATGAAGGTGTATAGAGTGCCCTGTGTACTCTCTGTATCAAAGTGTGTATAGAGACCCCTGTACTGTCTGTATCAAGGTGTGTACAGAGCCCCCTGTACTCTCTGTATCAAGGTGTGTATAGAGCCCCCTGTACTGTCTGTATCAAGGTGTGTATAGAGCCCCCTGTAGTGTCTGTATCAAGGTGTGTATAGTGCCTACCATTTCTGTCTGTATCAAGGTGTGTATAGTGCCCCCTGTACTGCCTGTATCAAGGTGTGTATAGTGCCCCCTGTACTGTCTGTATCAAGGTGTGTATAGTGCTCACCTGTACTGTCAGTATCAAGGTGTGTTTAAAGCCCCCTGTACTGTCTGTATCAAGGTGTGTATAGTGCCCCCTGTACTGTCTGTATCAAGGTGTGTATAGAGCCCCCTGTATTGTCTGTATTAAGGTGTGTATAGTACCCACTGTAGGTTCTGTATCAAGGTGTGTATAGTACCTACCTGTATTACCTGTATCAAGGTGTGTATAGCGTCTACCTGTATCACCTGTACCAAGGTGTGTATAGTGCCAACCTGTATCACCTGTATCAAGGTGAGCATAGTGCCAACCTGTACTACCTGTATCAAGGTGCGAATAGTGCTCTCCTGTATCACCTGTATCAAGGTGTGTATGACGTCTACCTGTATCACCTGTAACAAGGTGAGCATAGTTCCAACCTGTATTACCTGTATCAAGGTGTGTATGACGTCTACCTGTATCACCTGTATCAAGGTGAGCATAGTTCCAACCTGTATTACCTGTATCAAGGTGTGTATGACGTCTACCTGTATCACCTGTATCAAGGTATGTATAGTGCCAACCTGTATCACCTGTATCAAGGTATGTATAGTGCCAACCTGTATCACCTGTATCAAGGTGTGTATGACGTCTACCTGTATCACCTGTATCAAGGTATGTATAGTGCCAACCTGTATTACCTGTATCAAGGTGCGAATAGTGCTCTCCTGTATCACCTGCATCAAGGTGTGTATGACGTCTACCTGTATTACCTGTATCAAGGTGTGTATGACGTCTACCTGTATTACCTGTATCAAGGTGTGTATGACGTCTACCTGTATCACCTGTATCAAGGTATGTATAGTGCCAACCTGTATTACCTGTATCAAGGTGCGAATAGTGCTCTCCTGTATCACCTGCATCAAGGTGTGTATAGTACACATTGTTACCCTCCAGGTCCCGGAGCCAAATACAGCAAGCTGTCAAGAGCGGGTGGTACAGGCAACGAGAGGAACTGTGTCATCCTTCACCCCCGGCAGGGAAGGGAGGTCAACATCTCCCTGTCAGTCGACGGCGACACCGCTCTGGGAATGTCCGTGTCAGTGTCCGCAACATCCCCTGCCCCTGTGTGCAAGGTGGGCTACAACAAACCAGGTACGTTTAATCGGTATCCCCGGTATTTTGGTTTCAAATATATATTGTACTCAAGAATTTTATGGATCATGAATATTGTTTTATAGAACCTTCGTAAAATTGTCTCAAAATGTTCAGGATTCATAATTTTAGTATTTTAGTACTAGGGGTGGGTATTGCAGAGAATTTTCATATTGCGATATATTGCGATGCGGAAGCATATATATTACGATATGTATTGCAATATATTGCAAGGATTATTTTTTTAACAAAACTACTTATAATCGATTTAATGCTTGATTATAAAGCAAAAACACAACAAAATCACTATGATTGATTAACTTTTTATAAAAACTTTTAATCATGACAAAATTAAAATATAAGTAACATTTGGCACTAATGAAACAGGGAAAGAACAATTCAAAAAACGGAAATATCCGAAGATTTCCGAGTGTTACGAAGTTTACCGAATGCATGTCAAAATACCGGTTTTCGATCAGTGTATCGCAATACGTATCGTTTTCATGTCTGAACCGGTAAACCGGTTATATTGCGCAGCCCTATTCAGTACATTCAGTTTCTAAACAATCATTACATAAAGATATCTAGGTAGGGTAGATTTAACCGTTGCTTAGCTGATTTCAAATTTTTAAATTTATAAATTTTTTGCATTCTATGTTGTTCTGTATTGTAGGTGATGGGATTTGTCTGGCATGCAACGTTCCTATCTCCACCACCCATATCAAATCAGCGGCGGACATCTTCACTGACGTCTCAGCTCTCGGTAAATCAGTGGAGATGAAACGTCCAGGCAATCCTGCCAAGCGGATCTGCTTCTACAGGGTGGACCTCACAGCAGCAGGTGGGTGTCTTATGGGTGTCCTGACACAGATTTTAAGTGTCTTGTGTTCGTCTTGAGAGTGAGCGTGTGTGTTTTGTGGGCGTTTGCGGAATTGTACACGCCTCGCTCAGAGGTATTCCAAATTTGCAACGACGGCCTGTAAACAAGCGAGTCTGGACCAGTCAATCTAGTGATCGATCTGAGTAATCAACCAGCTAGACCACCTGATTCTGATGGTAACCCCTTACGACAATTATGGGTTGCCGAAGACTAACTTGAACCTGTATCTTAACGATGCAAATGACTTACAACACGTACTCCTGGCGGTGGCAAACCGATCTTCAGTTCCTTAGGTGCAATATGTGGTGAAATTGCTGGAATATTGCTAAAAATGGCGTTAAGCCCATCTCGACCCCTACCCTCTCAAACAGACATCCCGTGGGAGAGAATGGGAAACATCTGTACCATTTGCATGTAATGCGTTTTAAGTGACTTGTCAAAAGGTAAAGGTGAGGTATAATATGTAAACTGAGTGTATCCGACGATCAACTGTCAGCATGGCGTGGCCGTTGTAAAGAAATCTGACTGGGATATGCGATTGGGCAGGTTTAGTCTTGGGTTTTGCTGTTGGAATGTCCAGTTTTTTGGCTGGGCGCTCTTTCTGTTATCCCTGCAAGTTTTCGGGATAGTATATGTGTGTTTGGGTGCCGGGTGCCGGGTGATTTGCGGTGTGGTGGGATGGGACTACCCACCTGAATGTAAAGATCTTTTCTGATATGATATAACTTGAAGATTGCTAAACTCGTCAGTCACTGACTCTTAGAAAGTAGTCATATGTAACACGAAGCACATTGCACGCTCCCATGGCCTCAATCAAATGCATAAGGGATCAACCTCCAATACGAACTAGAATTTGCATTTAGCTAAGAAAATGTATTCCTCAAGACAACGTATGTTACATTCTCTAATGCTTTCTATTGCAGACACCGTGGTAACACTGAAAAACGGAGTTGTTGTCGCTGCTGGTGATAATGGTGTCGCTGCAGCTGGCAGTCTCACCATCTCGGCTGCGTCTGATCCCCCGAAGCCTGACGGCGAGATGGAGGGACCGTCGACAGTGGGTGCTTGTCAAGATATACACCTTCGCCATAAGAACACCGGCCAGGGCAGAAGAGGTCAACCCCTCACCTACTCACACACCGTGGAACCAAGTGACGGGATTGACATCGGTAAGTGTTGCCTGACGTCATCTTGTGTCATACTTCTGGCCCTGGCCCTGGTCTGGTCCAGACTCTATTATTTACATACCACTGCCATATAGCTGACATATTGTTGCAAACGTTTGCCATGGCTTAACAAATGGCGTTGCCAGACCAATCGTCTAGTGTTCTTATGAATCTGGTATTGGAATGGAATCAAGGGTTTAAACATCCATGACAACTGAATTTCATTCTTCAACATATTTCCGACTCGCTGTAGTAAAACTAAAACGTCGAAAACCAATTCACTCACTCACTCACTCTTTCAGATGGTGCGGGCACCGGGGACATACGACTCCGTAATACCCAGCCAGGACAGACCTACAAGGTGTCTCAGACAGTCTGCAACCAGGCTGGCCATTGCAGCTCCTCCGTCCGAGTCATCACCAAGAAGTCTACACCAGCCCCAGAACTGGAAATTCCGGACTCCCTCTTGACGGTGCGCCGGGGGTCTGAGTAAGTGGTCTTTAATAGCTATAAAACCAACTCTCTCAAAAATATTCGCACACTTACTGGCTAACGTTTTCTTGGTTATGGAACCAATTGGTGGTCTTACATCGGACAAAATGGCTGGTAATGATAACACAGAGTTTATTACTAACAATATAGCGACAAAACTTATTTTGTACTGTAGTAGTATAGGAATGATAGTCCGAGATCAATTCACCCCAAAGCCTTAATTATGTTTAATCAATGATGAATAAACGAGCGTGATCGACTGAGACGTTCATTGATATGCATAATCATCATTGATATAAACAGCAAAATGTCTGCTGTGGTCGCAATCCCACAAGGGAGAAAGAAATAGTAGATAGATGTGATGCACAAGCTTCCTCCCTCGTGGGATTGCATCCAACTGCGTACTCTCGACGAGAGCCGCCCGTTCTAGATAACCTTACTATCGAAAGTTTCGACAAATTTGCAAGGAAATCATAGAGGCCAGATGGGATACGAACTCACAATCGCACAGTTGCGCGGCTGCACTAAGCAAGCTGTATTTTCCCCAGCAGTTTAGCTGACTGAGCCAACGAAGCTCCTGTGGTATAAGGCATTGCTTTTCCTGGTCTATCCTGCGAGCGAGAGGTCAGAGTTCCCAGGTATGTAAAAATAGAGCGAGCTAGCTGACTGCTAGCTTGGCTATGTTATGTTGATCTCGGCAGAACAGTTTAATACGAATCTCCTATGATCACTTTGGTTTTGGAAAGGAATGCTTGTCTGCCTTGTTCTATGAGCTTTTCTTCTCCTGTTCGTCGATGTCATTCGTCTTGCGGACACTCTTGTTTATTTCTGTGGTATTTGGCGAGTTCTGCTAACACCAGACGGAGCTCTTCCTCCGTGATCTTGCTGTCGGCGAGCGCTGTTGATATGTGATCATCGATCATGTTTAGCTTGGCTTCGGTTAGAACCCCGATCTCGTCGCGCTTCAGCGCTTTACGTTGCAGCCGACGTGAAATGAATTTTAAAGCTATTCCCACCAGCTCCGATACCCCGGATGCTATTTCTAACCCGAGGGGTGCGGCTATGATGGATGATAATAAACCGACGCTGTCAAGCACCGAGTCCCATGCTGGTTGCTACGAGCGTGGTGTCTATGCCATCGATGGCATTCACTGCTATGTGATACTTTTTATAAAATCCTAGTCGCATGTCATGTTTTTGTTCAAGTTGATGTTTGATCTCGCTTATTTGTTGCAAATGAAATCCGTTCACGGTTTCGAGTGTTTGGTCCACTTCATCCATGGCTGGATACAATCCCAGCTTGAATCTATAATATAAGTTAGGAAATAATATTTTAATTGTTTTTCCGTCAATCTTTGACTGATAAGGTTTAGATCTTCGTACACGTAAACAGTTGGGAAATGAATGGACTTGTTCATTTCTATAACACGAACTCCGTCTAGGCTTGCTAAGGGTGATGATCCCCGTCTTACGATGATACGCAACGTTGGTGTTTGTGTCTGTCGTTCCAGCTTATTGTCGACTGGAGCTAACATGTTGCCCGTGTGACCTGATATTCTCAATACTCGTATGTTATTATCTCTTACACTGAAAGATGTGAGAATGATCCTGAAAGATGTGAGAATGATCCTGAAAGATGTGAGAATGATCCTGTTGTTCGCAATTTCGGAGCTGTAACCATTTTTTAAAGATATGTAGGGTGAAGTGAGGGTGATGTCGATCAAACAGTCGGGTTCTTTGAAGTCTGCAACTGACACTCGCTCGTACACGTTGTTTTTAACATGCAAGGTGTACAAGGTGTTTTCCTCTCCGGGCAGATCGAATCCCTCCGCGTCTCGGAGATCGGCTAACGTAACGTTGGGTCGGTGGTTCATCGTATCTATATATAAATTCCGAAATAGTTTCCAATTGGTATTCGGATAATTTCTCGGACGTGCAATTCAAACCAATGAGATGTATGTTGTCGGGTAGGAATGAGCGATATCGTGTCTTCCACGGTCACAGTGACTCCCTGCAGACTGGTATAGGCATTCACGTTCACCCGCACGTAAACGGAGCAAATGTGGTATTGTTGTTCTTTGGCCCACCGGAGTTTGATCCCTTTAACCATTTCGATGAAGTCACGCGATGATGACAGTGGTTCGCCAAGGAAGACTTGGATGACCTGCGTGGAATTCGCCGGCAGATTTTCCAGGATGTCGATCACGCTGTTGAATTCCGACACCATCTGCAGCCCCACGTTTTGCATCCTGGGTTTACTCAATAGCATGTGGGCTATTTTTTGTGACAGTGTGCTGACGATCATGCTGACATCTTTGCATCAGGTCGTAAGTCACGAGCAGCGTTCAGTTGTTCACGACTTTTGTTAGATAGTGATCTTTGTTGTGCGCGAAAACGTGGAGAGTCCAATCGATTTGACATGGCACGAGTACCCATTTGTTGTAGTCGGTGAAGATGGGAGTGTACTGGTTGTTTCGGGCGACGACCGTGGTCTTGACGTCTTCCAGGTCGAATAGCTGACCGCCGAACGCTAGGGACATTGTCCATTTGTACCGCACGTTGTTGAGCGCAAGAACAGCCACCTAGGCAATTTCATTGATACTAAATCGATGAAATTGCCTAGGTGGCTGTTGTTGTTGCTGCCGGATGCACCAGCCATAGACGGCACTTTGTAAATTTTGTTTTTAAGTTGCAAGCCGTACAGTTTGGCGTTGATTCCGGGTTCATTAAATCCGGCATGTCCCCGAGGTTGGAGATCACTACGTTGACACAATTTCTCAATCGCATGGTTGTTCGGGGACCTTGAGCGTCGGTCATTATTGTATGTGCAGCGTCGCGCTGAGATATCCTATACTTACGGGATTATGTTTTATATCTAAAACTGATATTCTCAATTCCGTGATTGTACCTCATGACTAAACCGATTCAGTTCTGTCGTCGTTGTACGTTTCCGTTTTCACCAGTGCCTGCACGGCTTCATGTGACCCGACCTGCTGGAATTCCGCCGGGAAGATTGCCGCAGCATGGGACAGACGGCCGTCCGAATCGTCATGCCCGATGAAAACGACAACATCTTAAAATTCGTCAACCACAAAAATCAAACGCCCGTGCCCTACGTCATGTACACCGACTTCGAAGACCTATATGACACCGTCGCTCCATCCCCGGAAAGAAGTTTCACTTACAAAACGCAAGAACACGAAACCTGCGGGTTCGGGTACGTGGTCGTTCGATGCGACGGGAAAACGAACGCTCCCGTGGTGTACAGAGGTCACGACGCAGCCGAAAAATTGCTCACATGTTTGAAACACGAAGAGAAAATCATCAGGAAAAAGTTGTACACCATCATCCCCATGCACATAACCCAAGACGACTGGCGAGCTCACAACAACAGCACTCACTGCCACGTGTGCAACAAACTCCTGTGCAGTGATTCCGTGAGAGATCATTGCCACGTCACCAAGTACATAGGTGCTGCTCACAATACGTGCAACTTGAAGCTTAAAATCAATACCAAAATCATCAAAATCCCCGTCGTGTTTCACAATCTTCGCAGTTACACTTGATCATGCAGGCAATCGCGAAGGTCGACGGTAACCTAACGTGAATCCCCAACAACATGGAAAAATACATAATTATCCTTCTCGTTAGACGGTCTGAAATTTATAGACAGCGTTCAGGCCCTGCTTTCATCTCTAGACGATCTAGTGAACGCCAACGACCCGGACGACTTCGACATCACCAATCGATGCACCGACGCCGAGACTTGACCTCTGCTGCTGAGGAAGGGCGTCTACCCCTATGAATACATGGACGGGTGGTCCAGGTTCGACGAGACGCGATTACCTCCCATCGACCGCTTTTACAGCACTTTGACCAACTCGGCCATCACCACAGACGATTAGAGCACGCCCCCAACGTGTGGGGCAGACTGGGCTGCAAGAATTTGGGCAACTACCACGACCTGTACTTGAAAACCGACGTGCTGCTGCTAGCCGATGTGTTTGAGATATTCAGAAAAACGTGCTTGAAACAGAATGGCGTAGACCCTGAATGGCATTTTTCCTTCCCGGTCTCTCTTGGGATGCATTGTTTGAAAAAGACCAGTGTGGAACTGAAACTATTCACCAGTTACAACATGCAGCTGTTCATAGAGAAAGGCTTGCGAAGCTGGATTTCCATGGCTGTCAAACGGTACGCGAAGGCCAACAACAAGTACGTGGAAGATCACGACCCGAGCAAACCAACCAAACACATTCTTTATCTCAACGCAAACAATCTTTACGGCTGGGCCATGAGTCAGTATCTACCCGACGGGGGATTCGAATGGGTCTCGTCCGATATCGACGTTGATAGCATCGCGCCAGATTCGAACAAAGGCTACAGACTCGAAGTGGACTTAGACTATCCAACGAAATTACACGAATTGCACAACAGCTAACTGCTCGCTCTCGAGCGATTAACGGTGAACCCGGAATGGATGTCTGAATATCAACAAACATTGCTGGGAAAACATAAGCTGGCTAACGTCGAAGAACTTGTACCAAACTTTTGCAGCTGTACTTGTCGTTGGGAATGAAACTCACAGGGTGCTCGAATTCGATCTAAGTCCTTGGATGGAGCCTTACATCAGAATGAACACGGACTTATGAAAGCTGGCCACCATCGATTTTCAAAAGACTCTGTACAAGCTCATGAACAACTTAGTGTTCGGTAAAACCTATGGATAATTTGAACGCGTGAACGTTATATTAGTCAGATCAAATGAGGAGGAAAGACTCAGGAAACTGATAGCCAGCCCGGCATTCAACCGAAGCAAAATATTCGATCACGATTTGGCAGGGCTGCACATGAACAAAAGCCACATCAAATTCAACCGGCCCGTTTACGGGGATGAGCATCCTCGACTTATCGAAACACTTGATGTACGACTTTTATTACAACGAGATCAAGAAGCGGTACGGCGACAAATGTGAAGTGCTGTACACGGACATGGATTCCCTGCTGATGGAAATTCACACTGAAGACGTGTACGAGGACAATGAAGGACGAATGTGTGGGCACAGCGATCGCAGAATACATCGGCTTTAGACCTAAAATGTATTCCATCAAGAAAGCAGACAACGAAATCAGAAAGGCGAAATGCGTGAAAAAATATGTCGAAAAAACATATCAAGCACGCCAGATTGAAGGAAGCCCTCTTCAAAACCTGCATGTTCAAACACCAAATGAACATTTTGAGAAGCGGCGGACACAGGAAATACGGACTGAAAATCCACAAGAAGTCGCTGTTTCTCATGGACACGAAACGATGGATCACCATCGACGGAGTCACCACTTATGCGTACGGACACACCCACATATTAAATAATTAAAACACACACAATACATACATCATGGAGAAAATTTACTTCAGCCCACGCGGATACTGGAAAGGCTCGGGCGCCATCCCGAAACTCGCCAAAGCTGCTAGATTTTCTGAAGACGTCGCCAAAGCTTGGCTTAAAAAACAAGTTCTCTGGCAAGTTTACCTGCCGACGTCTCGGTACATCCCGGGAAGAAAATTCGATATTTCAAAGCCGAATCGCGTGTATCAAGCCGACCTCCTGTTTCTGCCTCACGACAGAATGAGACGTAAAACCTACAAGTACGCGCTGACAATTGTCAATGTCGCCAGTCATTACAAAGAAGCCGAACCGTTAACAACAAAAGATTCAAACGAAGTCCCCAAAGCCTTAGAACGCATATACAAACGCAGTCGCTTAACCTGGGAGCTGTGACGCAGCTGCTGGCCAAACACAAAGTCCAGGTGACACGAGGTGTAGCGGGAGCTCACTGCAGCCAAACCATCGCCGAGAGATTCAATCGCACCTTAGCCAAATGCCTATTCTCACACCAGTACTCACAGGATTTAATCAATTCCGGAAACAGAAATATGGAATGGGTCGTTCACTTGCCGCGAGTGGTGGCTACCATCAACAACGAAGTCACCAGACTCGTGGACAAGAGACCCGTCCAAACCATCAAAATGAAATCTGTCACCGCAGAATCTTTAGCAGCAGCACGTCGCACACAAACAAACAAAAATTACCGGACCGGGTCAGCGTTAGGTACCAGCCAGGTGAATACGAGGGAGACAGCAGAAAACGCGCCACCGATCCAATATGGTCCATGAAAACGTATAACGTCGACCTTGTCGACATCAAAGACGGCGAACCGAACTTGTACTAGTACCACTTGAAAAATGGGCCGAGTAGACCATTTGTTAAGGAAGAGTTGATGATCATACCTCATTACACGGTGTTACCGTCGTAATAAACAGACGGGTTCACAGTTTTAGGCAAGACCTTCAAAGTGTTTGGATACCAAGTTATTAATCTACAACCTTTCCGGAATGTTTTCGGCTGTTCAACACTAACCATAAAACCGCATTTTATCGCCCTCTTCCCTCACCACAATACTTGTAAATCCTCTTGTTACCACGTACTCGGAATTAGCTTCAAACGCTCGCTCAAGACTTTTGTTTGCCCAGATAATCCCATTTTTTAACACAACTGTACAGCGACCTGCACACTATATACGAGCCGTTCTTCCTGCTAGGGATGATATTTTCTGAATATACCCACTATCATTCAATGTTTCATCCACGTCATCGATCCACTGTTCAGATAAATATTGGATAGTACCTTTTTTCATCCTCATCCATTTTTTAATGTATACTCCATAGTACATCTTAACTCTAATACATTCACACATAACATAGCAGTGAGCCAGCCATCTCAGCAAGTGACCTGGCAGTCAGCCAACACTCAGCTAGCTCGCTCTATTTTTACATCACTGTGAACTCTGACCTCTCGCTCGCAGGATAGACCAGGAAAAGCAATGCCTCATGCCACAGGAGCCGTGGGGCTCAGTCAGCTAAACTGCTGGGAAAAATACAGCTTGCTTCGTGCAGCCGCGCGACTGTGCGATTGTGAGTTCGTATCCCATCTGGCCTCTATGATTTCCTTGCAAATTTGTCGAAACTTTAGTTAGTAAGGTCATCTAGAACGAGCGGCTCTCGTCGAGAGTAAGCAGTTGGATGCAATCCCACGAGGGAGGAAGCATGCGCATCGCATCTATCTACTAGTTCTTTCTCCCTTGTGGGATTGCGACCACAGCAGACATTTTGCTGTTTATATCAATGATGATTATGCATGTCAATGATCGTCTCAGTCGATCACGCTCATTTATTCATCATTGATGGAGCCTTTATTAAACTTAATCTCATCTTGGAGTTGCTCATCTTCGTTTCAGTTTGGTTCTGAATGTTGGCATCAAGCTCTCGACATGCTCACCTAAAGTTAAACAGGTGATCCAGTGGTCGTGTGATAGGGTGAATTTGATTAACCCTACGAAGAGGACCCTGCTTATCAGAAAATCTGAACTACCAGGTGAGCTCCAACCCTACCATAGATCATCTGTCTCCATCGATTGTGTGTTGTTTAAAAATGAGCTGGAACATTACAATGTCGTTCACACAACAGTTCTTTCTGAATGTAACCCAACCCCCATCAAACACAGCAAACAATCAAACAAAAAATAAATAAAAATACCCCAAAAACAACAAACACACCTCCCAAATAAACTGTCACAAACAAACAGTAAGAATAAAAAACAAAGAAAATAATACAAGATAAAATAAACAAGAAAACGAACAACAAAAACAACAAACAAGCAACAACAACAAACAAACAACAAAGATTATTAAAACATGACCCCAAATCATACGCCAAATGACCTTACGTCAACTGATAGAAAAGGAAACAGAATTTAAGTTAAATTGAAGTTTCTCATAGGAAAAGACCCTCGTTGACGCCGTCATTTTTTGTGTTTTCAGTGGGAGAATTAATCTTCTCTGTTACGGTCCACTCTGTTGACGACGCCAGCGTATCGGCGACAGCGGTCATCAAACTGACCGTCGAGCAGTCCGATCTTGAAGCTCGAATCGAAGGTTGGTTGCTTAGGAAAAGGTGATTTTCACCAGAAACTTATCTTTGGTGCCAATCCGGAATTCATCATCTGAACAGACACCAATTTTGGCTTTCCTCCAAAAGCAAGCTCATATTGTGAAATATTTATTGAACAGGCGTTAGACCGAGCTCTCTCGTGTTTTCTTGTTTGTTGTTTAACGCCGCATTCAGCAGTATTCCAGCTGAATGGAGGCGGTAAATAATCGAATCTGGACCAGACAATCCAGTGATCTACGCAACTGGGACACGATGATATGTGACAAGCAATTCAGCGAGCTTGACCACCCGATCCCGTTAGTCGCCTCTGACGACAAGTATGGGTTACTGAAGATCAATTCTAACCCGGATCTTCACGTGTTCCTCACTCACGTGTGTGGGACACGAGTTATAGGGGACTCTCAAATATTGTGTAGCTGTGGAGGGGATTTTTGTTTGGTTTTCACCAACTGTTAACATAATTTAACTTGATTGCTGACTTGAGACATGTCATTGGTTCCCAATTGTGTATATCGTTGCTCATGATGTTGATCACTGGATTGTCTGGTCCAGACTCGATTATGTACAGACAGCCTCCATATAGCTAGAATATTGCTAAGTGCAGCGTAAATCTCACTCACTCACTCAAACCACAGGCGGCAAAAGCAGAACAGTTGGCACGTTAACTGAGCGACTGGAGCTTCAAGGGAGGGTAGTTGATCCTGATAATGAGGAAATGGAGATAACCCGGACATGGACATGTGTACTTTCACAGGTAACATACTTTTGACGTCTGAATGCCTTTACAGCAATATTAGGAGCACCCACTCGATTTCAACGAAAACCGAAAAAAACGCATTCGCTATAAAATCCGACATTAGTTCGAACAAGTACAGGCGCGCACACAGACGTAGAAACGTGCTGCAATGATTTCACGTGATTTCATCTTTGAGTGGAAGACTAGCTTCAGTTAAGAACCAGAATGCTGCCATGATGATGATTGCTTGTGTTGTTTATTCAACGCAACTCTCAATAATCTCCAGGGTATACGTTTCGATAAATCTCCACTAGTACACTGGATACATCGAGGACTCTGCCCGATAATTTTATCTCCTCACTTTGCTGGCTTTTTATCTAATCAGGTGACTACGCTGGGACGTTGAGCCTACCAATCACAAGGCGTATATCATAACGCACTTCGGGTTTTGGTAAACAGTAATGTTAAGAGGTAGAAGGAGTTCTAGCTTATATGTTTTGAAGGTTTCAAACCTGTCAATTTGTCTGTATGATTTCCCCCTAGTAGGACAGCGATCAAACCTTCGCGGCTATCTTGACACTGGCAAGCTCGGTTGTAACGGCTTATCTGATTGGCTACTGTGAGAAGGCGTAGTCAGCAAAGGAGTTAATAACATTATCAGGCCGAGCCGTCGATGCATCTAGGGAGATTTATCGGAACTTATACCCTGGAGAATATCGCGGTTGATTCAAAGCAGGCTGCATACATAACTGATTACGTGATATATATGTTTCAACGTCTCTAGGACCCGAGTAGGCTGTGTAGTGGAATGCCAGGCCAAGTGGATGGTGATTCCCTCATTCTGAGGCCAGCAAATTTCGCGACGGACGGCCCGTGCGTCTTCACCTTCACAGCCTCAAAGGGGCAGAGAAGAGATAGTGATTCTGTCATAGTCAATTTCGTACAGAGCGACATCAGTGATGTAAGTATGGAGGTTTATTTACGACGGGAGTATAGAGGGTGTATCTGTGATGTGAGTATAGAGGATGTATCTGTGATGTGAGTGTGGAGGGTGTATCTGTGATGTGAGTATAGAGGATGTATCTGTGATGTGAGTATAGAGGGAGTATCTGTGATGTGAGTATAGAGGGTGTATCTGTGATGTGAGTAAAGAGGGTGTATCTGTGATGTGATTATAGAGGGTGTATCTGTGATGTGAGTATAGAGGGTGTATCAGTGATGTGAGTATAGAGGGTGTATCTGTGATGTTGGTATAGAGGGTGTATCTGTGATGTGGGTATGGAGGGTGTATCTGTGATGTGAGTATAGGGGGTGTATCTGTGATGTGAGTATAGAGGGTTTATCTGTGATGTGAGTATAGAGGGTATATCTGTGATGTGAGTATAGAGGGTTTATCTGTGATGTGAGTATAGAGGGTGTATCTGTGATGTGAGTATGGAGGGTGTATCTGTGATGTGAGTATAGAGGGTGTATCTCTGATGTGAGTATAGAGGGTGTATCTGTGATGTGAGTATGGAGGGTGTATCTGTGATGTGAGTATAGAGGGTTTATCTGTGATGTGAGTATAGAGGGTGTATATGTGATGTGGGTATAGATGGTGTATCTGTGATGTGGGTATAGAAGGTGTATCTGTGATGTGAGTATAGAGAATGTATCTGTGATGTGAGTATAGAGGATGTATCTCTGATGTGAGTATAGAGGGTGTATCTGTGATGTGAGTATAGAGGGTGTATCTGTGATGTAGGTATAGAGTGTGTATCTGTGATGTGAGTATGGAGGGTGTATCTGTGATATGAGTATAGAGGGTGTGCCTGGTGTACCCTTTGTGTGTCTGGTATGTGTGTGTGGTGTCTGGTGTTTCTGGTCTGTGTGGAGCGTCCGGTGTGGGTTGTGTATGGTGTCTGGTGTTCGTGCTTTGTGTGTCTTGCGAGTGTGTGGTGTGTTTGTGGTGTTATGCTGTGTGTGTGGTGTGTTTGTGGTGTTATGCTGTGTGTGTGGTGTGTTTGTGGTGTTATGCTGTGTGTGTGGTGTTATGTTGTGTCTGGTGTGTCTGGCGTTATGTTGTGTCTGGTGTTTGTGGTGTGCTGATGGTATGTTTGGTGTGTCTGGTGTGTGTGGTGTCTTTGGTGTGTGTCTTTTTTGTCTGGTGTGCGTGTGGTGTGTCTTGTGTGTGGTCTGCGCGTGGTGTCTGTGGTACAGTACAAACCAGAAATTATTGAGAATTTACAGATTGTAATGTTTTAATATATTCACTCATTACTCACGTATTAAATGTGAATATTAGAAGAACATAACTCCAGATTCAAAGACAGGTGAACAGTTAATGTTTTGTCAAGTCACCATGGGCAGCAATGCAGGCTTCAATGCGGCGGGGCATACTACTGATCAAAGAAGTTAGAAAGTCGTGGTCCATGCTGTCCCTATATCAGACCACCTCTTCTTTCATTTCAGCAATATATAAGCTTTTTCTTATTGACACTTTCCTTCATCAGTCCCCAAACATTTTCTATTGGATTTAGGTCAGGGCTATAGCTTAGCCAATCTAATAATGTCCTATTTTGGGTCCGAAACCAGGCCTGTGAATGCTTTGAACGATGTTTTGGGTCGTTGTCCTACTGTAAAATCCAAAACTTTCCATAGAACACGGGAGTAGATTGAAGTAAATGTCTTCGAGAATATATGTGTACCGTTCAATGTTCATATTCCCTTCAAATACGTGGCGTTGCCCCTAACACAGATATTTGTGCGTTCGGTGTGTCTGGTTTGTGTATGGTTGCATGTTGTGTGCGTTCGGTGGGCGTGGTGTGTGTGGTGTTATTTTGTGTGTGGTGTGTGTATGGTGTTATGTTGCGTGTGGTGTGTGTATGGTGTTATGTTGTGTGTGGTGTGTGTATGATGTTATGTTGTGTGCGTCCGGTGTGTGTGGTGTTATGTTGTGTGTGGTGTGTGTATGGTGTTATGTTGTGTATGGTGTGTGTGATGTTATTTGTGTGTGGTGTTATGTTGTGTCTGGTGTGTGTGGTGTTAGGTTTTGTGTGGTGTGTGAGATGTTATTTGTGTGTGGTGTTATGTTGTGTCTGGTGTGTTTGGTGTTATGTTGTGTGTGGTGTGTGTATGGTGTTATGTTGTGTGTGGTACGTGTATGGTGTTATGTTGTGTGGTGTGTGTGTTGTGTTATGTTGTGTGTGGTGTGCGTGATGTTATTTGTGTGTGGTGTGTGAGATGTTATTTGTGTGTGTTTGGTGTTATGTTGTGTGGTGTGTGTTGTGTTATGTTATGTTGTGTGTGATGTTATTTGTGTGGTGTTATGTTGTGTGTGGTGTTATGTTGTATGTGGTGTGTGTATGGTGTTATGTTGTGTGTGGTGTGAGTATGGTGGTATGTTGTGTTCGTTCGGTGTTTGGTGTTATGTTGTGTGTGGTGTGTGTATGGTGTTATGTTGTGTGTGTTGTGCGTGTGGTGCTATGTTGTGTGTGGTGTGTGTCTGGTGTTATGTTGTGTGTGGTGTGTGTATTGTGTTATGTTGTGTGCATTCGGTTTGTGTCTCCCTCTGTGTGTTGGTGCCTGTGATGTGTTCGCATGTGGTGAGTGCTTTGTGCGTGTGTGGTGGTGCGTGTGTGTGTGGTGTTATGTTGTGTGAGTCTCGTGTGTGGTGTTATGTTGTGTGCGTTCGGTGTGTGTGTGGTGTTATGTTGTTTGAGTCTCGTGTGTGTGTGGTGTTATGTTGTGTGCGTTTGGTGTGTGTGGTGTGTGTGTGTGGTGTGTGCGTTAGGTGAGTGTGTCTCTATCTGTGTGTTGGTGCCTGTTATGCGTTCGCATGTGGTGAGTGCTGTGTGCGTGTGTGGTGGTGCGTGTGTGTGTGGTGTGATTGTATATATGTGTGTGTGTGTGTGTGTGTGTGTGTGTGTGTGTGTGTCTGTGTATCAAGTGCACATGTGAGCCATTTGACCATTTCAGGTGAGGATTTTCACAAAGAAAACCTTGTATTCCGCATCAGAACCCATATTGGTCGTTGCAAGTTGCACACTACCTGCCGCTGGAGTCGCCATTCAGTGGTTCAGTGCAGCTGATGAAGACGGTAAGAACAGACTTTTAGTGGCGTTGTCGCGTGTCCCAAGTTGAAAAGAAAAGTTTTGTCTCCCCATCTTAATGAGTAACATCCCTTTACTGAATCTTAATAGAAACAATGCAACTAAAGTACTGTCGGAAATAGAAAAAAAACTGTTTTTTCGCATTTATATCTGCAATTTATGTAGTTAATATGTGAAAGTGTGAAATATCTGTTAAACTAAGTTCGACCTAACTACAGTCTCATTGGTAGGGAGATAGGAAATGAAGAAAAAGGACTTTACTGAGGAGAGATTAGTGCAGAAATGAGCAATGCGTAACATAACACAAGTCCAAAGCGACATATTTGGAACAGACCATGACTTTATGCAAATTAGTGTGCGATGTGATTGTATTACAAAGGACACTTTTCAAATGCCCATTCCAAAATTAAACTTAGGTTCATTATAAAAAATAGCTGACGTAAAAATAATAACTTTAACACTGAAACTATTAGGGATGTAGCTACCATGGAGTCTCACTATCACTATAAAAAGAAACAGGTAGGAGGGGTCATCTCAAACGGTGTGTCAGGACGGGTGTCACAGACGGTGGTTGGGATTGGGCTGGGGGAAGAGATATCAGCTGAGATAAGATAATCCTTTCGGGGAATTAAACTGGTGAAGCAAACGGCATGTCATAACAATTTTCAAATAATATCCAGTCCTGTCGATCATCGGGTGGTTATGACACCTATATATTTTGAGACATTTAATACGATGGATGATTTAAGCTTTTCTATGGGTATCATACTCTTTTACATATCTCAACATAAACTTTATGAAAGAAAGACACGTAAGATGTTAATCAATACATGAGACATGTTTAACACACACAAAAGAGCATAAAATATCTTTGAGATGACCCCTTGTGCCTGTAGGCAGCACATGCATTTCATGCTAGGTGAGTCGACGGTCCGTCGTCATACCTGGCTGAGCGACCTAATTGCCATCTATAGTCTGATCTATTGTTTTCAGCAGCTGTTCGTATTTTGTCTAAGTTTTGCTCCATTTTACGAGTAAACATGCTTTTCTGGATATCCTATTACGCATCCCACTGAATGCCCAGTTAGGCCGATGTGGGTTATTTCGACATATGCTATTTGCAGTTGTGTAAATTTTAGGGACACAGAGTAACAGCCTAAAAACAGTTGTTGTTTTCTATTTCCGACAGTACTTTACAACACTATTGAACACAGTGAACGCTAGGGTAGCATGGTGGTAAAGGCGTCAGACCAAAGACAGGTTCTATTCTGCTGATAGGTGCAATGTATGAAGCATTTTTTGCGTCTCCCTTTCCTGGAATATTTCTAAAACATACAGAATTCAACTCACGTAATCTGATGAGAAAGAAGGGGCAAGGGACGTGGTATCGTGTGATTTGGGTGGATCACGTCTCTTCTGCAATACATGCCACTATCAGATTAACAGTTAGGATCGAAAGCTCAATGGTGAAAGCGTTTGTTAGTGACAACAAAAACCTGTTTGATTCCCTTCCGATATTTACATTGGAAGTTTCATCGCACAATGCATCTTAACAAAGTGTTACTTTATCCTGCGTGTCCGCTGGGGGTTCAAGGGACCTTGGCCCTTTTTCTCGAAACGTTCGTAACCCTAAGAATTCTTAATTTTGATCGTAGCCAAATGTTAAGAATGGGCTTAAGATGTTTTTAGGGCTACGAACATTTCGAAAATTGCTAGCCAGAAACAGGCAAATGTGTGAGAACAAAGTATTAAAATATTACACATTTTAATTTGTTTCAGGTTTCGACTTTATCGAGCTGAATAATGAGACGGCAGATGTTAGTTTATCAGAAAACATGAAGTTAGTCCGAAGCAGTTTGCTGATAAAGAAAGGTAGACATTTTGTAATAGAAATATCAAAGCGATATTTTAAACACTGACATTTGCTTGCATTTACTATTTGAGTGAAGCAGTAACTATTTCTGCTTCTTGCACTGCTCTCAGATAACTATAAATGGTATACGTATCGATAAATCATCTGTAAGTCTGCATACAGGGAATTCCTTTACGAGATACTATCATGTGTTACTTATGCGTGTGCATCAGGAAGCAAGATCCGGTCTTGTAACAAGTGTCGCAAGAGATACTGAAGGTAGTTTTGGATGTCCATCCTCTTCAATCCAGCGCAGTATATATCGAATTACATTTTCATATTCCGCCTTTACCGTGCGTGAGCATGTTAGGCTGCCACGACGCATGAAGGAATCTTCGGATCCTGCTCTGACCTAATCCTCGAATGGAGAGTGTTCACTGGCCAATATTAAAGATGGAAGAGTGACGTAGGTGTAGGTGACTGGACACTCTGTAGCGGGTAATGTCCGAGTAACTCTCCGTTCCTGAAAAATCTTGAAAATCCTGAAAATTTTGAATAATTACATTCAAAGTATTGATAATTGTAAAAGCCTAACGTAATGCAAATAAAACGCACTATCAAAGTCTTACATTTGAAACTGGTACACAATGGAATCACGTCACAAATGTAATTTAATGCCTCTAGAAGATGCTTATCTCCATGCACGAAAAGACATTTGTTGGAGTTTGATGGTGACAGAGATGGGGGTGGTAAAGGTATATTTTCTTTTGGTGGTTTTACACCGCATTCAGCAATATTCCGGCTATATGTGAAACTGGTGCACAATGGAATCACGTCACAAATGTAATTTAATGCCTCTAGAAGATGCTTATCTCCATGCACGAAAAGACATTTGTTGGAGTTTGATGGTGACAGAGATGGGGGTGGTAAAGGTATATTTTCTTTTGGTGGTTTTACGCCGCATTCAGCAATATTCCGGCTATATGTGAAACTGGTGCACAATGGAATCACGTCACAAATGTAATTTAATGCCTCTAGAAGATGCTTATCTCCATGCACGAAAAGACATTTGTTGGAGTTTGATGGTGACAGAGATGGGGGTGGTAAAGGTATATTTTCTTTTGGTGGTTTTACGCCGCATTCAGCAATATTCCGGCTATATGTGACGGCGGTTTGTAAATAATCGAGTCTGGACTAGACAATCCAGAGATCAATATCATGAGCATCTATCTACGTAAGTAGAATACGATGACACGTGCCAACTAGTTTGACCATCCGACCTCGCGAGTCGCCTCTTACAAGCATTGGTCGCTGAAGACCAATTCTAAGCCGGATCTTCACGTGTAGCATGAATGTTCTAAAGCGGATGGTTCAAGTTATGCAGTAACTGATAAAATATATAACACATGCTGCCCTGATGCTACTCATTATTTGTGTGACAACTCAAGCAGGTAAATTTGGCGCTACTGTTGTATAACGTAAGTTGGTCATTTCCGGTGAGGTGAGGTGAAATGGTGTTTAACGTCGTACTTAAGAATGTTTCGTTCATATGACGACGTGCATGGTTGTGTAGACGTGGCTGCTTGTACAAGCCCAGTGCTAGCTCACTGAGATACAATGCTGCAGTTAAGCATGAATACCCAACTCAGACACATTACACTGACACCGAGCCGACCAGTCCTTGTTGTACCCATTAATACCGAGCGCCAGGCAGGGACCAACAAGTACCATATGGCCTCAGACCACAATTATTTTCCTTCTTTGCTATCTACAGTGACATGCCAATGCACCATAATTAATATCGGTCGTAGGCTGTTCTCCTGTTGCATGCTGACGAACCTGCCACTTGTCACTTAACCGGCAAAATATGGGCCTGAATCGACCATGTCAATTTTGCTGTATTCACGAGCCGAAACACACCAGACAGCCTTGAACTTGGGGTCAAATCAAGGAAGGCTTGTGTCAATACCATGTGTAGATTGTGGACCAAAAAAACTTTGCAATAAAGTACAATGTCTTACCTTTCATATAAGCTGTCACAAGTCACCCTGAAAAAATTAGCACACACAGAACAGCCCATTTAAACAAGGCACTATATTCTCCTATTTTCCTTCCGGGTCATGGTAAAAGTGTAACTGTGGTCTGAGGCCATATATTAACGTCTTTTGGTATGACGCCGCCGGGGAGCGAACCCGCGACCTTCCGCTTTCCGGACGGACGCTCTAACCACTCCACCACAGAGGCGCCGGTCATTTCCGGGTAGTGATGACATTTGTTGCTGTTCAGGGAAGCTGAACCCAGGGTCCAAGTACAGAATTATCGCCAGCGCCATCTACCCTGACAAACAGGAGAGTAGTTCAGCTATCGACTTCACCGTCAGTCCTGGGATTAAGAACTGCGAGCTTGTAGCTGCCGATTACACGGCGTACGACAAGGTAAGCTCCCAACGCCAATCTTATTGTGTTTGATTGTATTTGTTTACAATACACTCAACCATGTTTCAGCTCTATGAAGGCGATCTATCTATCTATGTATCTATGTATCTATCTATCTATCTACCTATCTATGTATCTATATTCTGGGCAGGACTATCCAGTGATTGACATCATAATGAGCATCAGTGAATTGAGTGAGTTGAGTTTTACGCCACTTTTAGCAATACTCCATCAATATTACGGCGACGTACACAAGGAATGGATTTCACACATTGTACCCATGTGGGGAATCAAACCCGGGTGTTCGGCGTAACGATCGAACGCTTTATCTACTTGGCTACCTCACCGCCCCGCCAGTACCAGATACACAGAGGCTAAGTTGCGATTTGTCTACAGTATACAAGGTATTGGGTATCAACTGTCAACAAATGTCTAACTGTTTTGGAATCTTAGCAGTTGTTCAACAATACCTTATACTTTGACGCAGATATTCCTTGATACTAAGAACTGTGAGAGTACTGAGGCCCTCACATACCAGTACTTCTACAAGACCGGACCTGGTGCCAATGACCTGAAGTTCATCGACAATGGCAAGAGAATCGAACTTCATGGCCCTGAAGCATCCGTTCCAGATGGAATCATCTTTGTAGTCAAGGTAATGTACATGTTACGTGAAGCTAATCTGTGTTATATTCAGTCGAAATTTATTATGACAAGAAATCATCAAGAATAAACATCATGTCAGTCACATCCACTTTCACGTCTATCCAGTCTGTAATTCAAAGAACAAGATTTGATTTTATGAGAGGTTTGAAACTTCAGATAAGACAGGTGCTCGATTGCGTGGTGTAAGGTGTTAAATAATCTGTCTTCCCTTCAAGGTACGTGGTGTAGAGTCGAAGGAGTGGGAGCTGTTCCGCAAGACCGTGGCGGTTCAGCCTGTGGGTGAGGCAGGCAAGGCAGCAGCCAAGGCGACACTGGAGGAGGCGGTGGAAGATCAACTGAAGGCCGGTGAGCCAGCACACACATTTCTATTTCCTAGTTTTCTTTTACAAAATCACCGGATTAACAAATCGTCGATGTGGAGCATTGCTCCGCCAGGATTATCCGGTGAAGTGATGTGTAGACTGATGCTTGGCTGAGGAGGTGCCACTGTAAATTGGGCGGTGACGTAGTCTAATGGGTAAAGCGTCCGCTCGTCACGCTGAAGACCCGGGTTCGATTGCCCAATGGTTATACTGTATGAGGCCCATTTCTTGTGTTCTCCGCCGTGACGCCGCACACACGCACGCTCAAGCGTACACTGACACACACACATAATCATTCACACATTATTATATATTCTAAGCTTATGAGACCCGTGAAGATCCGGGGTAGAATAGGTCTTCAGCAACCCATTCTTGTCATAAAAGGCGACTATGCTTGTCGTAAAAGGCGACTAACGGGATCGGGTGGTCAGGCTCGCTGACTTGGTTGACACATGTCATCGGTTCCCAATTGCGTAGATCGATGCTCATGCTGTTGATCACTGGATTGTCTGGTCCAGACTCGATTAATTACAGACCGCCGCCATATAGCTGGAATATTGCTGAGTGCTGCGTAAAACCAAACTCACTCACTCACTCTAAGCTTATGAACACTGTGTTCATATGGTCCTACCTTCTATATTCCGGCTGAGGTCTGCTGGTCTGGTAAAAGAGCGCTTAAATGCTCCATAGATCACATCCAAGTTGACAGGCTGGATCGATGACCATACCATCACCACTAGGACCACAGCGTTAAATAACGCAGCAAACAGAACTACATGTCGGTGGAGATAAATATCTCCAAGTCTAATATATTGTAGGGGTGGCGGGATGGTCAAGTGGATAACGCGTTTACTCGTCAGGCCGAAGACCCCGGTTCGATTGCTGGAATATTGTTGATAGCTGCATAAAATCACAAAGTCTGTTTTGAATGAAACTTGGAATGTTTTTGTTCCAGGATCGCAAGAAAACGCCGCTGCAGTGGCTGCAACAGTTTTAACGGCATTCGCATCAAATGAAATACTGGTCCGCAGAAAGAGGAGTACTGATGCTGACCTAAGACAGGTCATCCTGGACGCTGCGGGCAACATCATGAGCACTAAAGATGAAGGCGTAGACGTCGCAAGTGTACGAAAAGTGATGACATCGCTTGAAGCTTTAAAGTACTCAGACCTTACAAATGGAGACAAGCAAAGGTTTGTCGAATATATGGAGGGCCTTGCTCAGATTTTCATTTCTGAAGATGAATCCTTGCCGAGTCGATCACCGCAGAAGATGGCTGCATTGATGAATGCGGCTAAGGCTGACGGTGTTGTAACTGAAACCGCGATCCGTGCTCTGGGGCAGGGTTTAGAGATGGGGATGATCAGCGGCCTGAACCTTGGCGATGAAGTTGTCAACACATTTCCGGACAGAGACGTGAAGACAACAAAGGTTCCTGCGGGTGTGAGCGTCATCTCCGGACAGGACGGAACTAATGACGTGAAGCTGATGCCTGGCCAGGCCTTCGCTACCAGGTACCCTCGGTCCTGTTGTTATTACAGCCTATAGGATTTAATTATATATTCAGGGAGTAACAGCCTTAGTCAGGAGGAACAACTATAGTAGACTTTTTAAAACAAACAACAACACATATAAAGGGTTTATTTACGGATTTTAAAGCATTCTTTGATAGTCTATTTTTGATTGATTCATTATAAATACTCTCCTTAAAATCCCAAGAATGCAAAGTGTATGACATGTTCCGCCTAACACTGCCAAGCCTCCAAGTTTGATGTCATTTGGCGACAAAACACTTCCAAGTAAAATGACGGACTTGCAGACAAAATGACGGACTTGCAGACAAAATGACGGACTTGCAGACAAAATGACACATTTCGAGAGGCTATAAGTCCGCAAATGCTCAAAACCGTCCCAACAGGACTGAATATCAGTCAATACATCCCAACAGGACTGAATATCAGTAAATACATCCCAACAGGACTGAATATCAGTCAATACATCCCAACAGGACTGAATATCAGTAAATAGAGGAAGAAAAATGCTTCGTTGTAATGTTTTTATGCAAAACGACCAAAGTGTGACTAAAGTTGTTTTGCCGGGAAACCATTCATATATCATTTGGGAGTAGTCTTCAGGGTGGATGGCTTATTGGAGAGAAGAAATGATAATGTGAATGTTTTGGGTGATTGAATGGCCTTGTGTTTTCGTATAAACAAATATATGGTAATATAGTGGAAAGATGAGAGCCCTGAAGACCCGGGTTAGAATTGATCTTCCGTAACCCATCCTTGTCGAAAGAGCCGTCTAACAGGATCGGGTAGTCAGGCTCGCTGACTTGGTTGACACATGTCATCGTATCCCAATTGCGTAGATCTATGCTCATTAAGCTGGGTCATCATTCACTGGATTGTCTGGTCCTGGCTGGATTTTTTGAGTCCAGCATTACACAACAACCCAACCAACCTTCGTATTCTGTTTGATTCTTACATAAAACTGTGTTTCTTAAGACGTATGTTGTATGTCTTTAGCGTCTTTTGAGTGAGTGAGTGAGTATAGTTTTACACACATTTTAGCAATATTCCAGCAATATCACTGCTGAGGTTCGCTAGAAATGGGCTTCAACACATTGTACCAATGTGGGGAATCGAACCCGAATCTTCGGGAACCCGGATCTTTAACCACTAGACCGCCCCATCGCCCACGTGTATTTTGATTCATATTCCTATGTAAGTGGGCCTCTAGCATATATCCCGCACAAAACGGGGGTGTGGTCGAAGAAAGCCCTCTGCTTGGTTGATGTTTGTTAAGGAGACATTTACAAATGATGCTTTCTTTTAACAAGCCATTGCTGGAAAAAAATCTTACATTTCTTCCAAGTCAAGCAGTCGATGAAGTAAATATTCCCGAGAATTTGTGCAGATTTAGCAGCGTTGACCAACCAGAGGGGTTGCTTCGACCACACCCCCGTTTTGTGCCGATATATCGCCAGCTATTTGTGTCAAGATCGTTTAGTTGAGAGTCAAAATCGGGGTTCAATCAACTTGCAGAAATAACAATAAAGAATTGGTAGGTGTCATGAGCGCTGCTCGATAGGCCAATCATCCACGATTATGTTTCAATTGATTGCTTGCGATGGTAGCGTGGCGATCGGCAAAGTAGTCGGGTGGGGTACACCGAAGTGTCCGGCCTTGTCATGATGTATTGTACTGTGAAGCATTTCGAGCCGGGGGTCATCTCAAAAACAATATTTTTTTAATCATTAATCCTCGCAAAGACACGGGGACTTGTGGGGGAGTGACCACAGTTCAGTGGGGGCACCAGAATTATGCTTTCCATATTGTACTCATTTCAGGAATCAATCCCAGGTCTTCGGTGTGACAAGCAAACGGTTTAATCACCATTCTACCTCATACCCTTTCAACAATTTTACCAACTTCGTTTATATATACATCACTCCCCACAAACACGTTTCATTGGTCATGTTTTGTTTCCCTTGGACAGGTTTTCGGATAGCGTAACGCTAAAGTTGGTCACCTATGCTGACGGAGTGAACACTCTTTCCTCTGGTCATATGGAGGACATAAGGACGAGTGGCATCTTTTCAGTGTCCGTGTACGACAGCATCTCTGGTATGTTGACAAGTGTGCATCTGTATCCGTGTTGAATCAACGTGCATGTTGACAAATGTGCATCTGTATCAGTGTTGAATCATCGTGTATGTTGACAAGTGTGCATCTGTGTCAGTGTTGAATCAACGTGTATGTTGACAAATGTGCATCTGTGTCAGTGTTGAATCCACGTGTATGTTGACAAATGTGCATTTGTGTCAACGTGTTGAATCAACGTGTATGTTGATAAATATGCATCTGTGTCAGTGTTGAATCAACGTGCATGTTGACAAATGTGCATCTGTATCCGTGTTGAATCAACGTGTATGTTGACAAGCGTGTGTGTGTATCTGTGTCAGTGTTGAATCAACGTGTATGTTGACAGATGTGCATCTGTGTCAGTGTTGAATCAACGTGTATGTTGACAATGTGCATCTGTGTCAGTGTTGAATCAACGTGTATGTTGACAAATGTGCAGCTGTATCAGTGTTGAATCAACGTGTATGTTGACAAATGTGCATCTGTGTCAGTGTTGAATCAACGTGTATGTTGACAAATGTGCATCTGTGTCAGTGTTGAATCAACGTGTATGTTGACAAATGTGCAGCTGTATCAGTGTTGAATCAACGTGCATGTTGACAAATGTGCATCTGTATCAGTGTTGAATCAACGTGTATGTTGACAAATGTCCATCTGTGTCAGTGTTGAATCAACGTGTATGTTGACAAATGTGCATCTGTGTCAGTGTTGAATCAACGTGTATGTTGACAAATGTGCATCTGTGTCAGTGTTAAATCAACGTGTATGTTGACAAATGTGCATTTGTGTCAACGTGTTGAATCAACATGTATGTTGACAAATGTGCAGCTGTGTCAGTGTTGAATCAACGTGTATATTGACAAATGTGCAGCTGTATCAGTGTTGAATCAACGTGTATGTTGACAAATGTCCATCTGTGTCAGTGTTGAATCAACGTGCATGTTGACAAATGTGCATCTGTATCAGTGTTGAATCAACGTGCATGTTGACAAATGTGCATCTGTATCAGTGTTGAATCAACGTGTATGTTGAGAAATGTCCATCTGTGTCAGTGTTGAATCAACGTGTATGTTGACAAATGTGCATCTGTGTCAGTGTTGAATCAACGTGTATGTTGACAAATGTGCATTTGTGTCAACGTGTTGAATCAACGTGTATGTTGACAAATGTGCAGCTGTGTCAGTGTTGAATCAACGTGTATGTTGACAAATGTGCATCTGTCAGTGTTGAATCAACGTGTATATTGACAAATGTGCAGCTGTGTCAGTGTTGAATCAACGTGTATGTTGACAAATGTGCATCTGTGTCAGTGTTGAATCAACGTGTATATTGACAAATGTGCAGCTGTATCAGTGTTGAATCAACGTGTATGTTGACAAATGTCCATCTGTATCAGTGTTGAATCAACGTGCATGTTGACAAATGTGCATCTGTATCAGTGTTGAATCAACGTGCATGTTGACAAATGTGCATCTGTATCAGTGTTGAATCAACGTGTATGTTGACAAATGTGCATCTCTGTCAGTGTTGAATCAACGTGTATGTTGACAAATGTGCATCTGTGTCAGTGTTGAATCAACGTGTATGTTGACAAATGTGCATTTGTGTCAACGTGTTGAATCAACGTGTATGTTGACAAATGTGCAGCTGTGTCAGTGTTGAATCAACGTGTATGTTGACAAATGTGCATCTGTCAGTGTTGAATCAACGTGTATGTTGACAAATGTGCATTTGTGTCAACGTGTTGAATCAACGTGTATGTTGACAAATGTGCAGCTGTGTCAGTGTTGAATCAACGTGTATGTTGACAAATGTGCATCTGTGTCAGTGTTGAATCAACGTGTATGTTGACAAATGTGCAGCTGTGTCAGTGTTGAATCAACGTGTATGTTGACAAATGTGCATCTGTGTCAGTGTTGAATCAACGTGTATATTGACAAATGTGCAGCTGTATCAGTGTTGAATCAACGTGTATGTTGACAAATGTGCATCTGTGTCAGTGTTGAATCAACGTGTATGTTGACAAATGTGCATCTGTATCAGTGTTGAATCAACGTGCATGTTGACAAATGTGCATCTGTATCAGTGTTGAATCAACGTGTATGTTGAGAAATGTCCATCTCTGTCAGTGTTGAATCAACGTGTATGTTGACAAATGTGCATCTGTGTCAGTGTTGAATCAACGTGTATGTTGACAAATGTGCATTTGTGTCAACGTGTTGAATCAACGTGTATGTTGACAAATGTGCAGCTGTGTCAGTGTTGAATCAACGTGTATGTTGACAAATGTGCATCTGTCAGTGTTGAATCAACGTGTATATTGACAAATGTGCAGCTGTATCAGTGTTGAATCAACGTGTATGTTGACAAATGTGTAGCTGTATCAGTGTTGAATCAACGTGTATGTTGACAAATGTCCATCTGTGTCAGTGTTGAATCAACGTGTATGTTGACAAATGTGCATGTCTGTCAGTGTTAAATCAACGTGTATTTTGACAAGTGTGCATCTGTGTCAGTGTTCTAACTGATGTGTACACATATGTGTGTAGTGTTGAAAGAGAACTCACTGAAATATGGGTAGGTGTTTTTAGCAGAGTAATGTATACGTATGCAAATTGCTGATGTTAATCACTGACCACTGCAAATTAAGATGGTGTAAATATATATGCCTAGTTTGTCACCTGTCACCTGCTTTTTTGGTTACTGCATGCTTGTTCTGTCCAACATCGATATTTATGTCAGGCTCGCTGACTTGTTTGATACGTGTCATCGTATCCCAACTGCATAGATCGATGCTTATGTTGTTGAATACTGGATTGTCTAGTCCAGACCTGATTATGTCGGACCGCGTCCATATACTGGGGGCGGTGGGGTAGCCTAATGGTTAAAGCGTTCGCTCGTCACGCCGATGACCCGGGTTCGAATCCCCACATGGGCACAATGTGTGAAGCCCATTTCTGGTGTCCCCCGCCGTGATGTTGCTGGAATATTGCTAAAAGCGGCGTAAAAACCAAACTCAGTCAGTCAGTAGTTGAATACTGCTAAGTGCGGCGTTAAACAACAAAATACCTTTACGAACAGACCGCCTCCGTGGTGTAGTGGTTAGAGCGTCCGCCCGGAGAGCGGAAGGTCGCGGGTTCGATCCTCGACCGCGTCATACCAAAAGACGTTAAATATGGTACTTGTTGGTCCCTGCCTGGCGCTCGGCATTAATGGGTACAACAAGGACTGGTCGGCTCGGTGTCAGTGTAATGTGTCTGAGTTGGGTATTCATGCTTAACTGCAGCATTGTATCTCAGTGAGCTAGCACTATAAAACCAGCTTAAGTCTGGGCTAGTACAAGCAGCCACACATACACATACACACGCATGCACGTCGTGATATAAGTGAAATATTCTCAAGCACGACGTTAAACCCAATTTCACCTCACCTCACCTTTACGAACACTATGTTATTTGAAACATTACTGTTATCGTTTCAGGTGTGGAGCAGGTAATATCAAGCCTATCTGAAGAGGCAGTCATCTGCCTACCGAAGACGAAGGCTGTTCCAGGATATGAGAACATCCCCATGTACTATGATCATACCACAAACCAGTGGCAAACTAGGGGAGTGACGCTCATGAGGACGCTGCCCCCAGAATGTGCAGGACAGGACTTTATCGCAATAAAGACATCCCATTTCACAGAATTCTCAACGTTTGCAACTCAAGGTGAGCTATATTCTGTAACAAGCTGATATTTATCGTCATTAATGTGTGAGTACACTACGGTTATGCCGAACTCCATGGCACCAGTACACTGAGTTCGGAATACCCCTTTCATCTGGGGGCGGTGAGGTAGCCTAGTAGTTAAAGCGTTCGCTCGTCACGCCAAAGAACCGGGTTCGATTCCCCACATAAGCACAATGGGTGAAGCCCATTTCTGGTGCCCCACGCCGTGATGTCATATTGCTGGAATATTGCTAAAAGCGGCGTAAAACTAAACTCACTCATATTGCTGGAATATTGCTAAAAGCGGCGTAAAGCTAAACTCACTCACTCATATAGCTGGAATATTGCTAAAAGCGGCGTAAAACTAAACTCACTCACTCATATTGCTGGAATATTGCTAAAAGCAGCGTAAAACTAAACTCACTCACTCATATTGCTGGAATATTGCTAAAAGCGGCGTAAAGCTAAACTCACTCACTCATATAGCTGTAATATTGCTCAGTTCAGCGTTAAACAAACAAACAAACAAAGTGAATATCAACACGGACAATTGAAGTTCAAACTTCACAATTACGTGTTTGATAATTTACATCGGAACAAAACAACTTGTTGTATGCATATAATAAGTTCAGATACCATTCAAGTTTATCTTGTATTAGGGAATACGATTGAGAATAATTTGGAATCGATGGACCACTTTTATGCACAGATCATTTGTTGTGCGATGTTGAGTTAAATTGTACGGAGGTACTGTTTCGTTTTTTGGTGAGTGAGTGAGTGAGTGTGTGTGTATGTGTATGCGCGCGTGCTCGTGTATGGCGTGTCCCCATAGTTGATATCATTCTGTTGGCAGCTTGCTCTCGGACTAAACTCTTTGGTCATGTTGACAATGTGCCCAATCTCAGAAAGTCTTGGGTTCGAATTCCCTCACGAGACCCGGAAACTGTTCGGTAGCAAGGTGTGGCTATTTGGTCATGTGTGTGTGTAATACGTTGTAGGTTCATGTAAAGTTTAAAGTCCCTGATATAACTGTTGTCCTGTTTCAGATGTCAACGAATGTTTAGTTGGCCAACCTTGTGGGAATCAACTCTGCCTGAACACCGATGGGGGTTTCCAGTGCGAGTGCGCCAACGGATTCTCCGGCGTGTACCCAGTTTGCCAGTCCGGTACGTGCCAGTTTTTGTCTCAGTAGTTAAATAATCATGTGTTGCCGGGCACATATAGCTGCACTCACGCGCAGTGAGTTTGTATAACACCAATGCTACAGGCTAAATTGCATATCACATGACCGGACGTATCTCATGTTTGTAAACAAGCATGGGAATTCTCAGATAGACCGGCCCAATGCGCTCTACATAATGTTTTGCGAGTTCGTTTTAAATCTACTATAACCGCTATCGTGAGGTTATTAGAAACGCAAAGAGGGACGGTAGGGTAGCCTAGGTGTTAAAGCCTTCGCTCTTCAAGCCGAAGACCCAGGTTCGATTCCCCACATGGGTACAATGTGTGAAGCCTTTTTGTGGTGTCCCCCGCCGTGATATTGCTGGAATATTGCTTAAAGCGGCGTAAAATGATCTCACTCACTCACCTCAGAAAATCAGATTCACTGGCAATAATTGTCGAATTCTAGACAAAAGCTCAACCGCATTTCATCTACCTGCAGAAATAAATGAAAAGTTGAAAATCATGCTGTAATAAAAATATATTTTGGTTTGTTTTTATGCAAAATGATTTATTTAACAACTTGAATGTTAAGAAATAAAACTGCTACAACCATTACCAGACAGTTACTGACAAATGTCTTTCCCTATTCTCGAGGTACTTCCACCATTACATTTTAACCCAAAACTTTTGCTCACTATTAATTAATTTATCTATTCATTCATTTATTCATTCGTGTTTTTGATTATTTATTTATTAGTCTATTCATTTATGTTCTATTGGCTGTCAGAGACTATTTACATATATTTCAAAACCAATACCAAATGACCTGCATTTTCAATTTGCACCGTTTGTTATGAACTCATGAGGTAATGTGCTAAAAGAGTAAAAGTGGTAGCCTTTAATTCTTTCAAACATTTTTACAGAGATCAACGAGTGTGATTCCGGTCCATGCAGCACTAACGCCGATTGTGCAGATCACGTCAATAGATACAGTTGTACCTGTCGAGCTGGATATACCGGCAATGGAATAACGTGTACAGGTTCGTTGTATTTGTTTTTCATCCATAGAAATATAGGAATAATGACAAATGCATGATCAACGAGTGTGATTCCGGTCCACTTTTGCCGATTGTGCAGATCACGTGAATGGTAGTATTGAATTCTTTTAAACATTTTCAGAGATCAACGAGTGTGATTCCAGTCCATGCAGCACTTTTGCCGATTGTGCAGATCACGTGAATAGATACAGTTGTACCTGTCGAGCTGGATATACCGGCAATGGAATGACGTGTACAGGTTCGTTGTATTTGTTTTATATCCCTAGAGAGAAAGGAATGATGACAAATGCATGGTGGATAGACGTCCATCTGTTACATGTAATCTATCGTGTAGACATAAGTGTTTCCAAAATGCAGAATTGTATATTTCTGTTTAGCGTCTACTTTACATTGGTAATCTGGTTTTCTTGTTAAAGAGAGAATAGATTTACAGAATTCTTGCATTTGGAAGTGACTGTAAGACGTTCCTCAGTTATAGATACTAATATATATTGGGAACAGGTAGTATGGAAGTCAAATGATCTGGTCAGATTATTTTTATGCACATATAGTTTAATAAAATTTGCACTGATGGAACAAATCCCTGACATTTTTAGTTTGCACCATTTGTTTTGAACTAATGAGGAAATGTGTTAAAGGAGTAAAAGTGGTAGTTTTTAATTCTTTTAAACATTCACAGCAATCAGCGAGTGTGATTCCAGTCCATGCAGCACTAACGCCGATTGTGCATATCACTTGAGTAATTACATTTGTACCTGTCGAGCTGGATATAGCGGCAATGGAATGACTTGTACAGGTTTGTTGTATTTGATTTTTATCCCAAGAGATAAAGGAATGATGACGAAGTCAGAGTGCATAGACCTCCAAGTGTTACATTTAATCTATCGTGTGTTTCCAAAAAGCAGAATTGTTTTATTTGGTTTAGCGTCTACTTTACATAAGTACATTGGCTTTCTTGTTTAATGGTGGTGTGTGGTCCCGTGTATAGAGCTCAGGTTGCAAATCAGTTGAAGTTGAGCAACGTTGAGCACGGAGACTCCTTGGATGGGTGACCGTGTTTGGCAACTTGACTCCCGAGAGTTTGCAGGCCTTCAGTCCTGCCCCTTAACGAAGCACATGTGATATATGTGATCTCACCTTAGGCAAGTGAGTTTGTTCAAAATTGCTTCTGTTCACCCAGCAGAAAACGGGTAGGCTTTGGGATAATTCATGGATAAATACCCTTCATGAAATTTGCATTGAAGGAACAAATGACTGTCGTTATCAGTTTGCACTGTGTGTTATAGACCCATGAGGTAATGTGCTGAAGGAGTAAAAGTGGTAGTATTGAATTCTTTTAAACATTTACAGAGATCAACGAGTGTGATTCCAGTCCATGCAGCACTAACGCCGATTGTGCAGATCACGTCAATAGATACAGTTGTACCTGTCGAGCTGGATATAGCGGCAATGGAATAACGTGTACAGGTTCGTTGTATTTATTTTTCATCCATAGAAATATAGGAATAATGACAAATGCATGGTGCATAGACCTCCACCTGCATTGAGGGAACAAATGACCTGCATTTTCAATTTGCACCGTTTGTTATGAACTCATGAGGTAATGTGCTAAAAGAGTTAAAGTGGTAGCCTTTAATTCTTTCAAACATTTTTACAGAGATCAACGAGTGTGATTCCGGTCCATGCAGCACTAACGCCGATTGTGCAGATCACGTCAATAGATACAGTTGTACCTGTCGAGCTGGATATACCGGCAATGGAATGACGTGTACAGGTTCGTTGTATTTGTTTTTCATCCATAGAAATATAGGAATAATGACAAATGCATGGTGCATAGACCTCCACCTGCATTGAGGGAACAAATGACTGGCAGTTTCAATTTGCACCGTTTGTTATGAACTCATGAGGTAATGTGCTAAAAGAGTAAAAGTGGTAGCCTTTAATTCTTTCAAACATTTTTACAGAGATCAACGAGTGTGATTCCGGTCCATGCAGCACTAACGCCGATTGTGCAGATCACGTCAATAGATACAGTTGTACCTGTCGAGCTGGATATACCGGCAATGGAATGACTTGTACAGGTTCGTTGTATTTGTTTTTCATCCATAGAAATATAGGAATAATGACAAATGCATGATCAACGAGTGTGATTCCGGTCCACTTTTGCCGATTGTGCAGATCACGTGAATGGTAGTATTGAATTCTTTTAAACATTTTCAGAGATCAACGAGTGTGATTCCAGTCCATGCAGCACTTTTGCCGATTGTGCAGATCACGTGAATAGATACAGTTGTACCTGTCGAGCTGGATATAGCGGCAATGGAATGACGTGTACAGGTTCGTTGTATTTGTTTTATATGCCTGGAGATAAAGAAATGATGAGAAATTAAAGTGCACAGACCGCTACCTGTTAAATTTAATCTATCGTGTAGGTATAAGTGTTTCCTAAAAAGCAGAATTGTATATTTCTGTTTAGCGTCTACCTTTCTTGAGTTAATTGGTTTTAAGTCCATGAAGAAGGCATACGGAATCGATTCCATTCCTCTACTCGAGCTCTGCGGAGTACTAGTCCTGGGAGATTGACTAATGCTAGGCGACGTGTGTATACATGTCGACCGAGTTCATCCCAGGCATGCTCAATTGGGTTGACGTCTGGCGAGCATGCTGGCCACTCATTCCGCTCTACACCTGCTGCCTAAGGAATTTGGTGACAATCCTGGTCCTATGAGACCTGGCGTTGTCATCTTTCAATAAAGAGGGTCGACCAGAAAATCCATGCACAGCTTGCAGGAATGGTATTGCTATATGAGCCAGAATCTCGTCCGGATAACGCTGTCCGGTAAGATTACGGTCGAACAAGTGTAGTGGTGTAAGTCCAGTAGGTGTTATGCCTTCCCAAACCATGACCGCCACAGTTGCATCTGTGATTCTGTCTCCATTGCGACGATTAATCCTTTGCGACCGTCATGGGTGGACAAATTGAATTTGCTTACATCTGTGAAGGGCACACGAGACCATTGAAGTTGATTCCAGCGGCCATGATGTCTACACCATGAGAAACGTGCCTGTCTGTGACGTGGTGTTAGTGGTCGACGAACTGCAGGTCGCCTACAGCGGAGTCCAGCTGCACTTAAACGTCAACGAATGGTGCTCCAGGATATCCTTACATTGTGAACATTGTTCTGTCTGAAGGTCTGCTCCTTTAAGGAATCTGTTACGTAATGCAGTGTTAATCATGTGTCTGTCATCTCGGACTGTTGTGACTCTACCAATAGCACTCTGGGTCACATTAAAGTTGACAGCAACCTGCCACTGAGTTTGACCAGATTCCAAAGGCCTATAGACTGACCCCCTTCGGCAAGTGTCAAAAAACGTCTGCTATTAAGCTGCGACTTCAAAGAGGTGCCGGAACAGTGAACGACAGTGGAAATGCATCAATGCATGTGTATTGTCCTCCACTTTCCCGGGATAAAGCGACTTGCACGTGCAAATATCATTGCCATTAAGTGGCAGGTGGGTTTCCATTTGAATAAAAATGTGTCATTTGTAACAGAAAGTGTCGGACGTTAAAGAACGTAATAATGACATTTCAACGACCTGCTGTTTTTTTCCATACTGTTAAGAAAGTTTGTAAAACATTCAGTTGTATATATTTCAAACAAAAACAAAGATTTAACAAACTTTAAGCAATAGTGTTAGCAATAAATTGACCCTTCATTGTTGACGCCAAGTATAATTATAAGACGTTCCTCAGTAATCGTTAGTGAATAATAATGTAATTAGAAGGTGCTAGAAGGATTTTTAGCCACAATACAGATGCTAATACATTCTTGGCACTGGCAATACGAGGGGCTATCAAAACGTTGTGAGCCTAAAATACTTCCGGCATGATAAAAAAACTGTATGCTATTGAAGGATGGTTTAAATCATTCACATAAACGTGATATTGACATGCACGTGTCGCTAGTTTCCGGGTCACATGATATTTGATCACATTATCCCTATTGAAATGGCAGAAATGGATAAGCTTGAGTACAGAGCAGTCATAAAATTTTGGTACTCGAGGGCTACTCCCCGAAGCACATTGAAGAGCGATTGACAGCAGTATGAGTACCCCCATGGGGCTTTATACTCGTAATGCTGTCAAATCGCTTTTCAATGTGCTTCGCCGATGGCGAACGCATTCATTTATAAATGTCTTTTTGGTACGGTTTAGATCTCTTGTTGCAATATTCGAGACACAAGAAATATGATTCATATTATGAAAGACTACCCAAGCATAGTTTTGAATGATTTCCGTTTCTGAATGACCTTTTTCAGAATGTTCCTATGACTGCGCCAATGTCTGTGATGGGACAGCTACCCTGGATTGTAACAGCACCTGTTCAGGTAAGCAAGTTAGAATAATGTTGGCACAAACAACATTCATTTCTGAAGGTTCATTTTTATATGCTCATGTACGTGAGTAAACCAGCAAAGGAGAAGACATGCCTATTGAGTCCCAAACGTAGGTAAAAAATGAGAATTGGGAGCGAGTTCGATGAATAAACTTTTATGATTCAAATTCATATTATTTATATATTTTATTGAGTTAATTGAGTTAAATGGTTCAATGTATACCTTTTAATTATGATGTATTTAGACATTCACAAAATGAAACATTTTGTTTTAAACTGTTGTTTTTTATCATTTTAACCAACGATTTCGCGAGAATGCAATCTCTTCATTATTACGCCCTGTGTATTTAATGCATAACCTCCGTTATATCTCTCGAAATAAAACTAGCTTCTGAATTTGCGCTTTTATTCCGATTATACATTATTGGTTACGTGACTAATTGATTCACTCGTATACTAAAACTGTCAATCTGTCAATCTACGTTAACGTGTCGTATTTCATCCCTGTGAATTCCAGTTGAAGTGTTCATACAAGTCTGTCTCAGAGTCCCCGAACCACATTATTTTCCTTACTGCCTAGCCATCCCTGCGATGCTAAAGTCTAGATTTCCCCAGGTCGGAATCTCTGGTCTCTCTGGGGCTCCTTTTCAATTTAAATGGGCTTGTTTGTTACTATCAAAGTTATATATATTCAGAGACTAAGCATTAGTCTATGCTCATAGATGTACACTCGATGGGTGGGACCCAGGAACCTAAGTTACAAGAGTATTTAAAACTAGTTCAATGGCTATATGTTTACATTTTTCCACAGAGATGCCCTTACCTTTGATGATACTATGGTGAATGGCGTAAACACGGTTATAAGTCCAATATTATTAAAATCAATTTCAATCAGTAACATACAAACCTACACGCGATAACGATACAACTCTGTCCACGGAATGGTAAACGATTTCCAAAGTCAAACGTGTAACGATACAAAAGTTGAATGGTAAATGACTTTAAATTTGAAACCAGTTCAACGTGTGTTAACATTGTTGCACGATGTTCTCCCGTTAGGAGAGAATAACGTAAACTTGTTTACGGTAACGTCGGGACGCTATGACGTCACGGGTAAAATGAATGGATTGGTTGGGCTTTTGTTCACGTGGGGACGTTAAGACGTCACGGGTAAAATTCCATGATTGGAGATGACGGTTGCGTTTCCTATGATGTGGGGACGCTATGACGTCACGATATTTTCTGTCATGAAAAGGGGACGGGGCTTCCGGTCACATGTGGACACTATGACGTCATGGTGACCTCAAAGTTTGCTGGGACTCAATAGACATGCCTTCTTCTCAGCAATCAACCATTTTTTGTACTCCTAGACGTAAACTTACTTTCTGACATATTTTTTTGTAAATGGATGGTTGAATAGTATTTCATCGTGATGCCGTTGATCACTGTATAGAGGTGGTTTGCCTCCTGGGCCAGATTACATGGCTCGGATAGGATATTACTGGGATAGATTATTACATTTTTGCCCATAGGGGGAGACACTGGAGTGACACCGAAGATGGAGGATGCTTGTGAAGTGTGTGATGGTGATGGTACATCCTGCATCGCGGTCACCGCCGTCAGGCCTACACTAGTCCGCGCAGACCAGGATCAGGTAAGCCAGTACTCGGCTGTAAATATACAAGAACCGCAGAACGCTGGAAACCTTTGAATCTCTGGCGATCCATGAAGATCAGGGTTAGAATTAATTATTTTGGTCTTCACCACCCATGTTGTCGTAAGAGGGGAGTAACAGGACCAGGTCAGGCTGGTCACACTTGATTGACACATGTCATCGAATCCCAGTTGCGTAGATCGATGCTCATGATTTTTGATCACTGGATTGTCTGGTCCAGATGTTAAACTACAAACAAGCAAATACAATCTCCGTCAGGCAACTTAGCCTATGGCACTTGAATATGCTATATCTGAAATATTCTGCAATTCATATCAGGGGTGTTAGACCACATGTCATTAACGGACGTTATGTCTTGGAACAACAGAACCCCCTTTGATTCAATAATCTACAATGGAATTCTAAACTCTTGCTTTTGTCATTTGTTAACAATGAGTAGTGTTTAACATGTCAAAAGTAGCGATTCTTGCATTTAGTTTTGGGACACACTTTAGGCTTATGGTCTGCACTCGCATTAATTTGGCCACTCACGATTAATACCAATAAAAACGATGTCGTGTCACTAGATTTCAAAGTCCATCACTTGATTGTCTGTTTTGCTTACAGACTGTCGTCGCATGGCAGTAGTACTGTGTCGCGCCGGGAAGCAAATAATTACGTGTTTTATCATTAAAGAGGGCTGAGAGTTAGGGCGACTGGTATAAGCATGGCAGGACATGCTTAACATGTTTCGAAGAATTGGGATCATGACTGATTTTCACTTATCCATTCATATCATTTCCACCGCTTTCGGCGGATGATCGAGACTAATGGTTGTCTGGTGTTGAGTTTCGTGTAATTAAAAACATTGCATAACCCTAGGTTCGTTTATATTCCCTTTTTGGTTTTGCTCCTGGCTCTGTTTTTAGGAAAACACAAACTTAACCGTCTATAATGTGTTTTACAATTGCAGACTCTGTAAATTGACAAAGGTTCCTGATTAGATCAAGGGGCGGTGGGCTAGACAAGTAGTTAAAGCGTTCGCTCGTCACGCCGAAGACCAGGGCTCGATTAACCACCGGGGTACAATGTGTGAAGACCATCTCTGGTGACACCCGTCGTGATGTTGCTGAAAGCGGCGTAAAACTAAACTCACTCACTAAATTATTTCAGGCTTTGGCAGTGACTGGCACCAGCTTGTCTTCGACATCGGTGCAGTGTGTAGCCAAACTCACAGGATCGACAACAGAACACCGGGTGCCCATAACATCACGTAGTAATGTTACGTACATTGAAGTCAGCATTGAAGCATATGCATTAGAAGGTAGGTGTAATTGGATATGGCTTGACAAATCGTGACTCCCGTTGTACCTCGCAAAGGGTGGTCCATTGGCGGAAGTATATCGTCATAGTAGATTGTTGCATTGGTATCGTTGATTAATTGCAATATATCTTTGAAATGGGCTATGGCCCGGGAAAGCGAAATCTTGACCAAACCTCCTCAATTTATGTGTCGCTTTCGCGACACTGAAATTAGCGTTCCCGGGACTCTCAATACACAAGAAAAAGAAAGAAATCTGAGTCGTCGTCTGATACCGTAGAAATTTGATAAATAAATATTTACGTTTAACATTAGCAGCCATGGTGAAGCATGCATATTAATTTCTAGCATTTGTCATAAAACAATGTGAATTATAACTGACATTTTATTTTGGTGTACATTAGTAGCAAGTTTAAACCAAAATGAAATTATTCACTTTTTAATATACTAGGCACATAAAGAAACTGTGCATACAAAAATTTAAAATCTAAATTTATCAAACCTGTGTAGACACATAAGGATTTAAACTCAGAGATTAGTGACATGTATCCAACATGCATGCACGTGCTTCGTTCCATGACGTCAGTGGGTTCGTCCTGGAGACGTGCAATACGTTGTTGCACGTGCATTCCGGGAAAGAGAAAACAGAGCAAATGAACGCCACCCAATACTGTCACTTTGGAAAGCTCAACCCCTGCCCTTGCGATTGTTCAAAAAATTAAACGGCTATTGAAACGCATAGCATGCTAAGGCTCACGTCTGCACAACGTCATGAGCCCATTGGGATGGTCTGTGGGGGAATGTCTAAACGACAAGTGGCTGCACATTTCCACTGCCACCAGAACACCATTTCTGCACTGGTGATACGCTACCAGAACACAAATGACATCGATCGGCCACGTTCTGGACGTCCACGTGTAACAACGCCAACACAGGACAGATTGATAAGGGTGACCCATCTTTCGCCACAGGTTTCAGACTGCAGTGATGACTGCCCGAACCATCCCAGGACTTCGCCGTATCCACCCCAACACAGTTTGACAACGTTTACGTCATCACGGGATCAGACCACGACGTCCCGCCATACGGCCTATCCTGACACAACGTCATCGACAAGCTCGCCGAATGTGGTGCCTAAATCATGTCTGCAGACCCTTGTTTTGGTGGAGAAATGTTGTTTTTACAGATGAGTCCAGGTTTAACATTCCCCATAGTGATGGACGTCAACGTGCCTATAGACGCGTGGTTGAACGTTATGCACAGGCCTGTGTCTTGGAGAGGAATCGCTTTGGTGGTGGTTCCGTGATGATTTGGGGTGGAATAACAGCACGCCAAAGAACTCCTTTGGTGATTGTTCAGGGCAACTTAACTGGAGTGGGCTACAGGGATCAGATTCTTCGACCTGTGGCAATTCCTTTTCTGCAACGTCATGGCCCTGGGTTAACATTCCAACAGGACAATGTCCGCCCTCATACGGCAAGGGTTGCTATGGATTTCTTGCAACACCACAACGTTGACTTACTGCCTTGGCCTGCAAATTCACCGGATCTCTCCCCGATAGAGCATGTTTGGGACGAGATGGATCGTCGTCTACGCCGTCTTCCTCATCCGCCAGATAACGTCCTTAACCTTGCAACAGAACTTGAGAGAATCTGGCAAGTGGTTAAAGCGACGACGCGTCCTGCAGCAGGTTTGAGTTCGATTCCCTGAAGACAACGCATAAAGCCGTTAGAAAGCTGAATGAGCCATGCTCACTCGCTTACTCACTATTCTTCGTGGTGGGGAGATGCTTGCAAGTATTGAAGTTGAACTTCACCCAATGCTAATTGCAATAGTGGCCAGGTTGTCCTCATTTTAATTTTCAGCTGGTTAAAAGTGACCAGTCCCCGTTTTATGAAGCGACCTATCGTAAACCTAAATTCTGCCTAAAACTCGAGCCAAGAAAAGTCTACATTTCTTGCCTTCGCAATGATTGAAAATGTATATTTAAGGTTGAAAATATAAGAACACTATGACTAAATAGATGCTACAGTGACGGTGCCATCATCTTAGCAGCTTTGTGGAAGTGTGGAAGTGAACACCTTTTCGCGAACACCAGGCACCATCGTTGATTTTCAGTGATCCATTGATCGCTATTTTGCCTTGTAGGTCCAGAGTTATTTGTTTCAGGATATAACCAAGGGACCTTATCCACAACCCTTTACGTCATTCGTAAGCGAATGGTGTAGTATAGAGTTACGATATGTCGTAACGTTACGAACGCTTTGTGGATCGGAATCCTGGCTGGTTAATGTTCTTTGGCGGTGCGATATTATTTCTGTAATGAAATACGCCTACGACTGGTGGGTAAATGATTGATGTATGAATGATGTTCTTCTGTTCTCCAGCTGGAGAGTACACGCTGTACTGTAGGGTGACGGCCACTGCAGCCCTGGGTACCAGTAGGGGGACGTTCACAGTCTACGAACCATCAGGTAAGCAGAGAATTACTTAACACGAAACCCGTGAAGATCCGGGTTAGAATTGGTCTTCAGCAACTCATGCGTGTCTTAAAAAGCGACTAACGGGATCGGGTGGTCAGGCTTGCTGACCTGGTTGACACATGTCATCGTATCCCAATTTCTTAGATCGATGCTCATGATGTTGATCACTGGATTGTTAGGTCCAGACTCGATTATTTACAGACCGCCGCCTTATAGCTGAAATATTGCGTCATTAAGCAGCTCAAGATTGGAAAATAAGCGCTATACAACTTAATTATTATAGCATATAGCATAGCATAGCATAGCATAGCATAGCATAGCATAGCATAGCATAGCATAGCATAGCATAGCATAGCATAGCATTGCATTGTATTGTATTATTATAGTATAGTATAGTATAGTATAGTATTATATTATATTATATTATATTATATTATATTATATTATATTATATTATATTATATTATATTATATTATATTATATTATATTATATTATATTATATTATTGCTGAGTGCGGCAATAAACAACAACCAAACTAACAAAAATATTAATATTTCAGAGGTCACTGGCAACCCGACGTGTGTCATCACTGGACCTACCTCGATCGATACGTGCACTGATTTATTGATGAACGGGGTCAGCAGTCGAGGAGGGGGCGTCTATGGCTTGTTCTACACTTGGACCATTTCTCCTAACTCAAGTGTGACATTTAGTAAGTAATGTCTGTTTAACCTATAGAACGTTCTTACGGATACCCCCGTTGTGTATGTGTGAAGCCCATTGCTGGTGTCCCTCGCCGTCATATTTCTGGAATTGTTCAAACAGCGTAAAACTAAACTCACTCACTGTTAGTTGTGAAAGCCAATATAACTGTGAGTTGGTGCAGAACCTTTCTTGTCCGTATCGTTCTTCACCTACACCTTCAGAACCAATGTATTTTATCATTGTCAATCTGGCCGCCTTGTGGGTTAGTGCAGAACTAACGTGGCTTCGTGAAGATCCGGGTAAAAATTGGTCTTCGGCAAGCCATGTACATTGTACGTGTCGGCTTGTTAAGCTGGGGCTGTCTTCATGAACCAACCTTTACTAAAGTTAACCTTATCCCATTCTTTAACATTACACTAAGGTTACCGTAATGCTTTGTGAACGGAGGCGCTGGTTGGTCATGTCATTGTATCCCAATTGCATAGATCGATGCCAATGACGACTATCACTTGATTGTCTGGTCCAGACACGATCATTTACAAAAATTGTGGAGTTGAACAAAGTAACAAACATACGAACGAACAAAGATTTAATTGTGTCTTTATTATTGCTGAAAGTGTTAATTACTAAATTTTAATGTAAGTAAAGACATAACTTTATAACTTTGAAAATGCAAGTAGAAACATCTCTCTGAATTTGATTCCAGCTGAACCCCTGGATGGCTATGCCAGTTGGACGGGCCTCGTGGCCGATACTTCTTACACAGTGGCTCTGAGGGTGTGTACAATATTCGACACATGCTCAACGTGCCAGGAGACAGTAACGAAGACATCGGCTTACCCTCCCGAAGTCAGCATTGAGACAGTCGTGGACGTTTCTACTGCCCCGGCCAACAGAGAGTAAGAGAGCTTGTTGACAAAGTTTCATGGTACACCTGTGGAGGGTATTTCAAAATTTCACGCTGACAAACGTGATGCCTGATGTCGATCAGTATTTTGATTTGTACCTATTGGCCGTGTTTGTGGGTAATTGATTTGCCTTTGCATGTGTTTCTGACGGGTGCCTAAGTAGGATGCGTTCATTTATCGCAAACCTTGTGTTAGCTCTATTTAATACCAAGTCATGGACTTATGATCATGGTATAATCGGAATCGGACAAATCACTCGGATTTGTGAATATTTTCCTCGTTGGATATACAGTCGAACCCCAAGTCTCGAACTCGGTTGTGTTGAACTCATCTCTCAGTCCTTGCCTATTTACATATCTTTATCATTATTTTCACCCTGATGTCTCGAACTAGAGGTGTCGAATTCCCGGTTGTGTCCCCAAAGCCCTAATAAGTACAAATTTACCCTTTTGTCTCGAACTGTTGGTGTACATTGTAGTGTTCAAAGCCAGTATATTCAGACTCTCTTATTTTTTGTTGCTTCTAATAACGCCTATTTCGATACAACAGGGGTGGTGGGGGGTAGCCTAGTGGTTAAAGCGTCCGCTCGTCACGCCGAAGACCCGGTTTCGATTCCCCACATGGGTACAATGTGTGAAGATCATTTCTGGTGTCCACCGCCGAGATTCTGCTGGAATATTGCTAAAAGCGGCGCCGAACCATTCACTAACACCTGAACGATATACGTGGACAGTAACGGTGTTTATGAATACCAGGGCCATTTGTGATGTGGTACCGTTCTCATTATTTAATCAAAATATCATTACTAAAATGCTTTTAGTTCGAATAGACTGGGAGGCTTCGTGTTCACACGCAATGTGCACAATTTTACTTGACATTTCAGATTTGAATTGTTCGGACTTGCCTGGCCCTCCTTTTGCCCGGGAGCACCTGAAGAGACAGACTTGAATTACAGGTGGACGTTCAGTAACACCCCTGGGCTGACCATCAACACCGACAGACAGGATGACCAAGTGTATCAAGTCCGGGCGAGAGATTTCCCACGTATGTGGTAGTAATGTCACAACTCACTGATGCCAGCTTTGCACGATACACGATTCATTTGTTTTAGTATCGATTCATATTTGACATATCTCTTGTTTGAGTGTTTGAGTAGTTGGGACGTACAATATTGAACAAACGTTATGAAAACAACTTCTGTATTCCGTGAGTGCGACGTTTCTACACAGATTCTTGTACCATTGTCAAGTAGGAATGATGCATACAGAGGAGATGTATATCTACTGAATGCAACAAAGGAAACAACATAGCCATTGAGTAGACAAAGATCAGGGCGTGGAAGCCAGAGATGTGCAAATAAAGAGTAGCTTATAGAAGCTGTTTATACAATAGATTGGACATAGTGGAGGATTGCCTCATAAGCTGATGGAATGAAGTATCCTTGGTATCGGTTGGCCATTCCCTTTGTCTAACCACAGGCTTCATCAATTTACTACCTAGCCAATTATGTTAACAATAACTGACTGACTGACTGAGTTTGGTTTTACGCCGCTTTTAGCAATATTCCAGCAACATCACGGCGGGGGACACCAGAAATGGGCTTCACACATTGTGCCCATGTGGGGATTCGAACCCGGGTCTTCGGCGTGACGAGCCAACACTTTAACCATTAGGCTACCCCACCGCCCCTGTTAACAATAAGAAGTTGTTATCCATAAAGTGTGTTCAATACTGACATATATCGAATATTATTTTGAAGTTGTATCGATAGTTCTTCTAAAATATGGTTGTTAATACAAACAGGACGTTATTAGAAGTGAACTTCAAACATCAAATGTGACTAGACTTGGTTAGTGTGGTTGATGGATACTGGGCTGATACCCAGTCCTCTCTTAAATATGACTTTATGGATGACAACTTCTTAGTTATTGCAGAGTGCGACGTTTCCATGTAGATTTTTACACCGTTATCAAGCTAAAGTGTTTTAGCTTGATAACGATGTAAGAATCTACACGTGGCTCTATGCAATGAATAAGAAGTTGTCATCATTAAAGTTGTATGTTTCAATTTTTGAGTTAGCAACTTCTAGAATGCCGATGAAACAATCAGTCTTCGCTTCTCTAATAATCTCCACCAAAATCAGAGGTTTCAAATTCAATTTGACGATGTCTTATCATCATCATCATCATCTGCTACTGCTACCACTTCTGTAAACATACGCTAAACTGTCACATCACGTCGGTGGGGACGAGGTTTTAGAATAGTAACATTTTGATGAAATGTTTGCAATTCTTTCTCAAATCCCTTTTGAAAATGTTTACATTTTATTCTCGGTACTGTATTTCCAAATTCACCGGGATAGGATGATGCATGTGGTGTATTGATGGAGTAACATAGCTTTTGCACAAACCATTCCAACCGTTTGAAAACATCCTGTGACACTTTTCAGCTGGACAAACCATAACGGTAACCTTGACGGTGTCCCTGGCATCAAACACCTCAGTGTCAGCAGCAAGGCAATTGACAATCGTTGTAGCCAGCAGTGACCTGGAGGTGTTTATAGATGGTACGTACGCCCAATAACGCAGCATATAGATTATTATTAACGCACTAGCAAATAATATCTGTAAATGGCGGCTGTCAGTGACAACCCATTAACTGATATCATGAAGAATTACTCACAGTGAGAATATTGCGTCTGTACCAACGTTAAAATGAGTCTAAATTAAACAATCTTAGATGGCTCGGAAATAGAAAATTACCTTTGCATACTTATTGGCCATCACTTGGACCATACAATCTCTTTTCTTGCAGTTGTTCTTGTTGACCAAAATATTAAGGTATTCAGTTCTAAGATTCATCCTTTAACGGATGTGACTTTGCTGCTGCAGGTGGTGAAGAACGCACGGCTAGTGTCAACAGTGGACTGCAGGTGTTCGATGGCTCTCATACGGAGGACCCGGATGACCCGACAGCTACGTTGGTGTACTCGTGGTCAGCAGCCGGAAGTGACAGCAGTGTGAGTACGACGACATCATCCCGAGCACAGGGGGTCTTCAGGAACCCATGCTTGTCTCCACGTGAAGATCCGGGATAGAATTGGCCTTCAGTAACCCATGCTTGTCGTAAGAGGCGGTTAACGGGAGTAAGGCTCGCTGGCTTGGTTGACACACGTCATCGTATCCCAATTGCGAAGACCGATGATGATGATGTTGATCACTGGAATGTCCGGTTCAGGCTCGATTATTTACAGACCGCCTCCGTATAGCTGGAATATTGCTGAGTGCGGCGTTAAACAAACACAAACAAACAAACCCTAGCATAGGCTCTGAATTATCATTACACTATGAGCAGGTGGATAACCTCTTGAAAGGCACCACTGTTAGCAGAACACACGTACTTGATGGCCACCAGCCGTTGATGGAACGTTTATTTAAGAACTCCCTGTCAAGCATGGTAAACAGTATGCAATATTGTAATGACATGTAAATGAGATAGGGAAATTATTTGTTGTTTGCTATTCTCCACGATGGATTGAAAGTTTTGTGCAACTGGATCCTCTTGCACCTCGGCCCCGTTCCACAAAACGATGGTACCGCTAAGATGATCGTTAATCCCATATCTTAACATAGACTTACGGCAGTCGTAGCGCGATGATCGCTTTGAGGAACGGGCCCAGGCTGTCTTAGCGCTAAGGTAATCGCAACTAACTAAGACTTAAGACAGTCATTGCGCTCAGATCGCTTAATGCAAATGTGTCCCCCGTCCGGTAGCTAAAAGCCATCTCGGCGCCACGACTGTCGTAAGCATGTATCAAAGTATCAGAGCTACGATCACCTTAGCGCTACGACTGTCGTAAGCCTGTATCAAAGTATGAGAGTTACGATCACCTTAGCGCTACGACTGTCGTTAGCCTGTATCAAAGTATCAGAGTTACGATCACCTTAGCGCTACGACTGTCGTAAGCCTGTATCAAAGTATCAGGGCTACGATCACCTTAGCGCTACGACTGTCGTAAGCCTGTATCAAAGTATCAGAGCTACGATCACCTTAGCGCTACGACTGCCCTTAGCCTGTATCAAAGTATCAGAGCCACTATCACCTTAGCGGTACCGTTTTTTTGGTTATGCCCTGGATTATTTGGCGTAGATCAAAGTGTGAACCTTGCAGGATTAAATTAAAAGGGGTGTAATTTCATTACATGCTCCTTGAAACGGGATAAATTGTTTTGTTTTCAGGGAAACAGTATTGGCTCTTGTGTTGAACCCGGTGCATCAACAGACGGCCCGCGACTGTCAATAGATCCGTCCTTGTTCTCGGCGGGGACGCAATGTGCGGTAATGCTCACTGTTACTGCAGGGGCTAAAACCGGCTCAATGAATGTCACCTTTGACATCGTGAGTGGAACTTCACCAGTGGTACGTATATTTCACTTTGCAGATTCTCACCTATACACAATAAAAGTATTGGCAACTAAATGTAAATAAGAGAAGACTGGCGATGTTAGGGGTCAAGAACTTGATTTACACTGACAAGGACGCTGATTAACAAAAACACTATCTGATTTTCTAATCAACGGTATAACCTCTGTTTGGTGACAAATGTAGCAAAACCCAGGCTCTGACAAAACAAGTCTTGAGTACGACGCGCGGACGTCAGAGAAAGCAGCCTTATATTATATTATATGCCAGCTAGCGCAGACTGCTTTCTCTGACGTCTGTGCGCCGGGTGTACACTAAGATAAAGAAATCCCAAGTAAGGGTGGGTGGGGTGGGGGTTTGGGTGGGTGGTGTGATGACCGTAAATACGCGATCGATACAATGCCATCATTGCAAAGCCTACGATTTCTATCGAACGTTGTTCTTGATACCAAGTTACAGAGATAAATTTGGCACTTGCTTCATACTTGATGTGAAAGTTTACATACAGAACATTTTGCATATACAGTATGTACAGATCATAATAGTTTGAAGATGTGCTTGCTCGTGATTAAATGGAATTAATGTGGATTGTGGAACTAATAGAAAAGATGAGTGGCATTGTAAACCAGCGTATATTATTTTACCCAAAATCATTTTGCAACGCAAAGGGTATACATTATGTTAATTTTGTATGCTCTTTGCAGTGTTTTGCAACGAACAATCGACCAAAGGTGCGGCCAGGTGACCGGACATTGGTTGTGGTCACCTGCACGTCATCGACAGCCATCAGGGACGCAGTGTGGTCAAGCCAGACACGTGGGGGTAAATATAATACATGTAGCTTAGGGCTGCTGTATGTGTGGGTGTGGCAGGGTGGCACAGAGAAAGAGGGTGTGGAGCGGCGAGTGGCAGTGCTGGGTGGGACAGAGAAAGAGGGTGTGGAGCGGGGTAGGACGGGTTGGGACAGCGTAAGAGGGTGTGGAGCGGAGTAGGGCGGGTTGGGACAGAGAAAGAGGGTGTGGAGCGGGTCGTGACGGGTCAGGGTGCGACAGAGTATGAGGATGTGGAGCGGGGTAGGACGGGTTGGGATAGAGTAAGAGTGTGTGAAGCGGGGTAGGACAGGTTGGGACAGCGTAAGAGCATGTGAAGTGGGGTAGGACGGGTTGGGATAGAGTAAGAGTGTGTGAAGCGGGGTAGGACAGGTTGGGACAGCGTAAGAGCATGTGGAGCGGGGAAGGACGGGTTGGGACAGAGTAAGAGGATGCGGAGCGAGGTAGGACAGGTTGGTGTGGGACAGAGTAAGAGGGTGTGGATCGGTGTAGGACGGGTAGGGGTAGGACGGGTTCGGACAGCGTAAGAGGGTGTGGATCGGTGAATGGCGGGTAGGAGTAGGGGCTCGGTGGGACAGAGTAAGAGAATTTGGAGCGGGTAGAACAGGCAGGGGTGGGTCAGAGTAAGAGGGTGTGCATCGAGGTGCAACAGGGTAGGACAGCGTAAGACGGGGCATGACTGGGTACGTAGAAAAGGGTAGTGTGGAGCAGGGTGAGTTAAGACCAGGTAAGATAGGGTAGGGCTGGATAAGACGGTGTAGGAAGGGGCAGGGCAGGGAGGGTCCAGAGAGGGGTTGGACGAGATAGTTGTTGTAGACCAGGCTGGGACGGGTAAAGAGGGGATGAAGTAAAACAAAATGGAGAGAGACCGAATTAGCTCGAAATGCCATGATTTGAGATATACTACCCATCACAAGTTTAGACTCACTTAAAGCACTCACTATATACGTTATGTATGTGAAGATAAATTTCTCAACTGACTTAGGAAACAACTGCAAACCTTATGCAGATGTATTGCACGAGGATCATGCATCAAATTGCTGAAAAGCATGTGCAAATATCGTGCATGTGAACAGCTGCGTTTTGGTGTAAAATTGTGTTAAAAATTCACTAATTTTCACTGAGTGTTTTCATTTATTGAACTCATGACGGTAATCTTTTCAACGTTACGAATTTGTTTTACAATACATCAGTTCATGTGTAAACAGTACCCTTAAACTGTATACAATATTTTGCAAAATCTAGTTTAGATCAGTTGACTGAAGTAAGTGGCTACATTTACACTAGTGAGTCTAAACTTTTGATGGGTCGTATATATATAAGTTAGACTGGAGACTCGTCCTACATGTCATTACCTTTCCTTCAGACGTCAAGGCACTGGACCTAGACGCAGCAATAGCTGACCAGTACACAGACGCACTGCCTGACAACATATACATGATGTTCCTGGTAATCGGAAAAGGTACGTGCCATATCTATATTTCATAATCCAATGTCAATCCAGCTAATGCGCACCTGAACCAATGTAAAATGTGTAGTAGCACGGTTAAAAATAGACGTTGCAGTTTAAAGGTGTCAAACATTGATTTGATACCTGTAAGTATTTTTAAACGTAAAATCGATTTATTCATTGTGGTTGCAAGCAAATTCCAGCTTTAATTGGACGAGTTTCGCCTGAAACGTGCCAGCAGTATTAGACGAATGAACCAGGGTCAATTAGGACCCAGCTGGGGGGACTCAAATGACGGACAAGGATGGTTTAAAAGGTTGATCTATTTTCAGACGTTATTGAAGGCGGCAACAAGTACAATCTACAGGCTACAATAACGGATGTCAATGGCGGCCAAACCAAGACAACGGTTATTCTGAACGTAATTAAGGGACTATCTGGCGGCCAGCTCGCATGTCCATCGTCTTACACCGAGCTCAGTAAGGTACGTTGCCATTATTACTTTCTGCTTGTTGGCTGTATTGTAAGGCAGTTACACCAAAGAAGACAGATGTGCCCCTCATATGTGGTCGCGTGGACCCGTGAAGGTCCGGGTTAGAATTGGTCTTCACTTTTCAGCAACCCATGCTTGTCGTAAGAGGCAACTAACAAGATCGGGTGCTCAGGCTCGCTGACTTGATTGCCACACGTCATCGTATCCCAGTTGCGTAGATCGATGCTCATGATGTTGATCACTAGGTTACCTGGTCCAGATTAATATTTACATATTCTGTTAGTGACATTACAGCAGGATATGCTGGTCCTGGGACACCCGGTGTCTTCGCTAAGTTTCGGTGGTCCATTCTAATAATTTGATATTTGAATATATATAAGCTGTCAGTTTAACAGGAAAGATCAGGAGTTCAGATTCGGTTAGCTATTAACTAGACAGTAACTACACAGTATGTCAGAGGCTACTGAGTTAGTGAGTGAGTTATATTTGTACAGATATACAGTTATATCACTGCGCGTAGCCAAATGTCATGGCGCAAAAAGGTCACGCGAGAGACATGTTCACAATTTGTTTCCTTGTCTCGAAGTGGGTTTGTTGTTGCAGATATCAGTCACAACAAGGAAGGTGGACGGTGAGGGCGGACTGACGTACATGTTGCTGGTCCAGACCTCCCCCGGCCAATACATGGGGTTGTCACAGAAACAGAGCACAGGGGATTTCAGTGTTATTGGCCCACCTGCCTACAACGGTGCAGGGAATATCTTCCATGTTGAGGTGAGGACTTTGGGGTTAGGTTTCACAGGAAATACCTTCCACGTTGAGGTGAGGACTTTGGGGTTAGGTTTCACAGGGAATTTCTTCCATGTTGAGGTGAGGACTTTGGGGTTAGGTTTCACAGGGAATATCTTCCATGTTGAGGTGAGGACTTTGGGGTTAGGTTTCACAGGAAATACCTTCCACGTTGAGGTGAGGACTTTGGGGTTAGGTTTCACAGGGAATATCTTCCATATTGAGGTGAGGACTTTGGGGCTAGGTTTCACAGGTTTCACAGGGAATATCTTCCATATTGAGGTGAGGACTTTGGGGTTAGGTTTCACAGGGAATATCTTCCATGTTGAGGTGAGGACTTTGGGGTTAGGTTTCACAGGGAATATCTTCCATGTTGAGGTGAGGACTTTGGGGTTAGGTTTCACAGGGAATACCTTCCATGTTGAGGTGAGGACTTTGGGGTTAGGTTTCACAGGAAATATCTTCCATATTGAGGTGAGGACTTTGGGGTTAAGTTTCACAGGGAATACCTTCCATGTTGAGGTGAGGACTTTGGGGTTAGGTTTCACAGGAAATACCTTCCACGTTGAGGTGAGGACTTTGGGGTTAGGTTTCACAGGAAATACCTTCCACGTTGAGGTGAGGACTTTGGGGTTAGGTTTCACAGGGAATATCTTCCATATTGAGGTGAGGACTTTGGGGTTAGGTTTCACAGGGAATATCTTCCATGTTGAGGTGAGGACTTTGGGGTTAGGTTTCACAGGGAATATCTTCCACGTTGAGGTGAGGACTTTGGGGTTAGGTTTCACAGGGAATACCTTCCACGTTGAGGTGAGGACTTTGGGGTTAGGTTTCACAGGGAATACCTTCCATGTTGAGGTGAGGACTTTGGGGTTAGGTTTCACAGGGAATACCTTCCATGTTGAGGTGAGGACTTTGGGGTTAGGTTTCACAGGGAATATCTTCCATGTTGAGGTGAGGACTTTGGGGTTAGGTTTCACAGGGAATACCTTCCATGTTGAGGTGAGGACTTTGGGGTTAGGTTTCACAGGGAATACCTTCCATGTTGAGGTGAGGACTTTGGGGTTAGGTTTCACAGGGAATATCTTCCACGTTGAGGTGAGGACTTTGGGGTTAGGTTTCACAGGGAATATCTTCCACGTTGAGGTGAGGACTTTGGGGTTAGGTTTCACAGGGAATACCTTCCATGTTGAGGTGAGGACCTTGGGGTTAGGTTTCACAGGGAATACCTTCCATGTTGAGGTGAGGACTTTGGGGTTAGGTTTCACAGGAAATATCTTCCATATTGAGGTGAGGACTTTGGGGTTAAGTTTCACAGAGAATACCTTCCATGTTGAGGTGAGGACTTTGGGGTTAGGTTTCACAGGGAATATCTTCCACGTTGAGGTGAGGACTTTGGGGTTAGGTTTCACAGGTTTCACAGGGAATAACTTCCATGTTGAGGTGAGGACTTTGGGGTTAGGTTTCACAGGAAATACCTTCCATGTTGGGGTGAGGACTTTGGGGTTAGGTTTCACAATGTCATCTGACTGAAAAGAAACGTTTCCGATTCTTGCCTGTCTGGATCATTTTCTTTAGCTGCCTGTAGAGTGATCATTTTCTGCATGGGGACTGCAAGAAGGACAGTGTGAGATTGTTCGTTTCACAAGAACAACGATCTGTTGTTTATAGCAGTTTGTGGATGATATTCAGATGCTTTTCGTAAACACATTCACTAAACACATTGCTAAATGCGACGTAAAACGATACTCACCCACCCCCATGTATCATGTTTATTTGAAATCAACACATACACAATGGGACACATTGAATGTGTCTACCTGTGTGTATCAGGTGATAGGCACCCACTAATATAACCGATATAACTTCCAAACTTTTCCGATTTTTCAGAATTTCCAAACTCTTGAGTTTGGTTGGCGCTACAGCGGTCATAAAATCAATTTTCTTAAATCAGTTTATATGAATAAAGTCATATGGTCATAATATTTTAATGTTACGTTTACACTATAATTTTCCCCGTCAGACGAAAGGCATGTTGCATGAGTGAGTCAGTGAATGAATGAATGAGTGAGTGAATTTGATTTTACGTCGCTTTCAGCAATATTCCAGTAATATCACTGCGAGGGACACCAGAAATGGGCTGCACACTTTGTACCCATGTGGGTAATCGAACCTGGGTCTTCGGCGTGACGAGCGAACGCTTTAACCACTAGGCTACCCCACCGTCCCCGTGTTGTATGACCAAGAAAGTGACTTCAATAAAAGTATGACCCATTTTGACGTCCATACTCTGTACCTGCATACCATGTGTTGGTGGCGATGGCATCGACTGACCTGGATTCGCTGACATTTTCGTGACCACCTGGTGTCATCACCATGTAATAATTCAGTCGGAATCTTACAGTGGATTCTGCTTTTTGCAGAAATCTCACATGACTCTTGGATGAATTCTGTCACTTTTATTTATTCCTCTCGTTTCTTTAATTGCTGGTATACAGAAAACATAGAGCAGAACAGTATATTTTGTGAAGGGAGATAATATGACACAGACTGTAGAGACAACCCGCTAGCAAAATTGCAGAGTGATTGACAAAGGGTGATGAAATGTTGTTGACGAGTGTTTGTCAGTCGGTAGCATTTATCTCATTGTTTTATTTCTAGGTGTGTGTGGTAGGCGAGAACGGGCTGTGCAAGACACTGAGTTGCGTGGTGCCAACAGTGAACGCTGTCTCGGGGACTGACGCGGTTGTTGCGGAAATCAAGGCAGAGATCAATCGACTCAAGTCGCAAAGTAAGGAAATGTGACCTGGCCCCGATTTCTTGACACAAACTTAAGTCTGAGTTTTGACTTAAGTTAGAGTTTTTACTCCAAGTTGAGAAAATGATTTTCCAAGAATGAACTGAAATTGATATTAAACTCAAACATAGTAGACATTTTGAGTTTGGTGGATAGACTACTTAAGGTGTTTGGGCTTTTTTATTTCAAAAATGCAGTTGAGTTAAAATTCAGCTGTTTCAAATTGTCAAACTCAGTTTGAAATTTAAGTAAAACCTTAAGTTTGTTTCGAGAAATCGGGGCCTGGTCATTTTGTCTCAGGAAAATACAAATAGAAAACTTAAAGGATTTCATGAAAGGGAGGTACATAGCTAAATGTTAGGCTGGAAATCATATGTTATATAAAGACTCTAAGGCTTCTGTAGTTCTAACAAACAACAACAACAACAACAAATTATCGTTGTTGAAACTTATCTTTCTAATGCTGGTAATGGAGAGGGCTGCAATGTTGGGGAGTCTACACATTTTCCGAAAAGGTCGTAGTTGGTAAGACCAGGCAACGCATGTGCTGTCTGGGCTGCAGGGGACCAATGGCCCTGGGCTGATGATAAGATGAACGAGTTGATTCCAGAATCACCCCTACCGTGAAAAAAGTAATGAAGTTGGGTTGGGAGATATTGACCATCCTATGTGAGGTCAGATCTGTAGGTATATTGGGATACAGGTTAAACTCCAAACTGGACAATTCAAGGACGAACTTTGGCCAGTATGCAATTGTAGACCGGTCTTCAGAGCTGAGCTGATTGTGCCAGGTTATATAAATATATAATTATATATGTCAGTGTTTTACCGATCTAATCGTGTAAATAATTATGTCACGATACACAGTCTCACCCAATTAAATCCGTTCTTTAGTTGCTTGTGGCTTGTGGCTTGTGGCTTGTGGCTTGTGTGTGAACTATCGTTTTGATACATTATTCTCATACAGTTAAATGTAGTGTGACCAGTGTGAATACTACAGGTCGACAGCTTATTACATGTTACTTGAGATATTTGTTGTGATAAATATACTGGACACATTCTCCACTATTGACAACTTTTTCGGAAGTGACGTCACTAATTCCCTTTTTGAATTAATAGATCGTTTTGGGTCGTTCAAAAGAAGCCTGAAAAGGTTATTAGGAAATTTAGGATACTAGGTGACCTAGTCCTCTGAGGCGCTGCAAGTCGCCGTTGAGAGTCGCGTCCCTTGGGAACGCAAGGAACCTATGATCCGGGTTTGAATCCGCTTTGGCCCGATATTACTTCTAGGTCTGTTAGCACCATACTCGTTCTGGTGGGTTTATAGTTTGGTCTGTCCCTCTTAACGTTATTCAATATTGAAGCTGGATTTTTGTCTTTGTAGGCCGTTCCATGGAAGCCGCAGTTCTTCTTGGTACACTGTACGGGAAGACAGCAGAGAGCTCCCTTGCAGCAGACCTTGTTTCCCTGGTCAGTGACATAGCCACCAAGAGGACTCTGAACGATGCCTCCGCAAGCACTTTCCTCGACATCCTGACCTCAGTCCCACCCCAGGCGTTCACAGCTGCCGAATTTGCTACTCTCGCGTCTCAGATAGGGAACGTGGCCGACTACTTCATCAACAATGACGTCAAAGTCCCGGAACGTTACCTCGCTCGCCTGAATGCCTGGATCTCTGAAGCTAAGGGTGCAGGTGCTTCCAGTACTGGGATCGCGACAGTAGAGGCTAAAGCTGATTTAGCGGCAACCTCTGGCATTGAATATGGAAACTCAGCTACTTATGACCTGACGTCATCTCTGCTGAGCATCGTCAATGACATACCAGGGGACGACTTGAAGGTCAAGGACGGAAGCAACAACGACGTCAAGATAAACTTCGGTGAAAGTGTCAGATCAAAGTAAGGACGAGTTATTTTGATGATTCGCCATCTGCCCATCTTCTCTGCAAACTGGCAAAGACTGCTGTGTGTTTAAAGAACGCCCTGCACTTTTATTCAAATTTTACCATAGCAGCCATATTGAAACTGTCACATTTGTCGCTCATATCATATGACATGACTTGTGTAGTACGTATTATACTTACGGAAGCCAGTACATTGTTTTGATGTGTCATTGTGAAAGGTCATTTTACAGACGGCAATGAATATGAAATGATATTACAATATATGTTAAGTCTCTGGTTTGGCCAGTTACACATGGGGCCGTGGGTAGTCTAGTGGTTAAAGCCTCCGTTTGGAGGCCGGGTTCAATTCCTTACATGGGCACAATATGTAAGGCCAAATACTGGTGTGCCCGTTATGATATTGCTGAATATTGCTAAGAGCGGCGTAAAACCACATTGCCCTCACTCAAGTGATACATTTAGCAGCTTACAATGATGTGCCCTTTGATCCTCTCGAATATGTCGATGGTGTCCGACATTCAGTTTGAAAACACCACATTGGTCAGTCTGTTAGTAGATGGGCTGACACCAAAAACAATCTATTCCGTATACCCGGTTCAATAATTCAGAATGTTGATGAAAATTACAACATGTTGACAAGTCATACAGGTCAGATCGTCTTAGTAAATCAGCTTTGCTTAACACTGACGTGTTTGTCTGCAGGCTTGGCTACAAGAACGTGGTGATCAAGGTCACCTCCTTCAAAACCACCCCACCGGCTGTCACCCAGTCGTCTTCTCGCCATAGCGCCAATCATTGACATTTCCTTTGTGGACCCGTCTACAAGTGAGTAGCAGCATCAGCAGCAGCAGCAGTTTGGTATTATTCAGTGCAATCGTTATCGTACTAGCAACGGCAGTATTCGTGTCAATAGGCGCCTCGTAACAGTGCCAGCCAATGCAGTATTGGTGCCATTAGGTGCAATCGCAGTAGTAGCCATTTGTTTGTTTGACAATAATAGTCGAATAATCTGAATATTCAAGACAGTCCAGTTGTTGGCGAAAGGATGACCTTTCCACCAATTCGGATGCAATGACTTGCATCAGCCGTCATCATGTTTTATTGTTTATCGCTTCTTACGACAAACATCGGTTGCTAAAGACATATTAACTGCATAGGCGTAGTAATAGTAGCAGCATGCATAGTAGTAGCTGTAGCAGTAGGGTGCATTAGCCGTAGTAGTAGTAGTAGTAGTAGTAGTAGTAGTAGTAGTATTGGTGGTAGTAGTAGTAGTTGAAGCAGAAATATTTCTGTGTAGCTGTGTAGAAAAGAGATTACCTCTTGTTTGTTCTTTGTGTTTCTGCCATGCATATTGAACTTGGGTTGACTTGAAAATCTAACTTTGATCGTTGATGTCTCAACCCTCTAATTGGGTTCATATGCTGGACCGGCAACACCAACCAACATCACCTGCCCACTCATAGATTACATGCCGCGATATAACAGTATAAACACGGCTTAAAGTCCCAATTATATTCTTCTAGATGAAAAGAAGTCGGTGACAGGGCTACAGAAGCCAGCGTCCATCGCCATGGCCTTGAACTCGGACCAGGCTAACCAGGGTCAGGTGGCTCAGTGCGTGTACTGGGATACTGCTACAAGCACGTGGTCACTTGAGGGAGTCGCCACATCCCTCCAGACGGGGACTAACGTGGAGTGCCAGGCATCCCATTTCACCACCTACACTGTCATACATGCACACCAAGGTAGGTCGGGCGCATGAATCATTATATATAAAATAGATGACCTACACACATAGACCAACACATGAATCATGGTTTGCTAAATCCATGACCTACACACGTTAACTGGTGCGTGGATCATAGTATACTAAATCAATATCATACACCAGTACCGGTGCTTGGATAAGTTTACATTGAACTAATGATTAACATGATTAGAATGTTTTGATAAGTAATAACCTACCCAGGCTTTGTATACAGGAAATGTATATATTCAAGTATGACTTTAATGTCTTCCTTCATGAAAGACTTAACTCATCTTCGTGCATCATGAAGTGATTGTGTCCGCTTGCGTCACAGCAGTGAATGTCCTCTTGCGTCACAGACGTGAATGTCTTTTAGCGTCACAGACGTGAATGTCTTTTAGCGTCACAGACGTGAATGTCTTTTAGCGTCACAGACGTGAATGTCTTTTAGCGTCACAGACGTGAATGTCTTTTAGCGTCACAGACGTGAATGTATTTTAGCGTCACAGACGTGAATGTCTTTTAGCGTCACAGCGTCACAGACGTGCATCAATGTGAATGTTTAGCGTCACAGACGTGAATGTTTAGCGTCACAGACGTGAATGTCTTTTAGCGTCACAGACGTGAATGTATTTTAGCGTCACAGACGTGAATGTCTTTTAGCGTCACAGACGTGAATGTCTTTTAGCGTCACAGACGTGAATGTCTTTTAGCGTCACAGACGTGAATGTCTTTTAGCATCACAGACGTGAATGTCTATTTGCGTCACATATGTTTTTGTCTTCATGAGTCTTCCGTCTCCACGTATCCCCGATTTGCTGTCTTTTAGCAACCCAGATTTGAATGTCTCCTTGCTTAGGATGTTAGGTGCAATATTTATGTTCATGTCGATATGTTTACTGTATGTTTATTTGTATTGTGTTATCCTCACAGCCTTCAACGACGACCACAACGTGGGCATGATCGTCGGAGTCGTCTTAGGTATCATCATCCTTATGATCGTCATCATCCTTATCGTCGTCTTCATATTCTACAAGTGTACACGGAACAAGGTCCTTGATATTTCCAGGTAACCTTTCGACTTGACCCATAAATATAAACCCTGTTCTGCTACCTGCTATATATTGTTAAGCACGGAATGTGATCGTGATTTTTTTCCTTTTTTTCTTATAATGCGACATAAAACCAAGAAACCTGATAGGCGTGTACGAATGTAGAACGAATGGGGATAGTCGCGTTCAGGAGTTACGTCCCTTTAGAATCAGAATCTTCTGATTGAGGGTTCGAATCCTGATTCACCGATTATGGTTTGCCAGCAACGTACATACGCTCGTGGGTACCATCAAATTGGTAAACGTGTCAGACGTACATCACTTCGGCCTTTCCTCCCTTCATCATTAAGATGAACGGAACGGTATTCAGAACCTCCTTGAAAGTAACTCACGCAGCCTGGATAAAGAGATCATTTTGACTGTGATGAACATGACTTTTGATATCAAAGTCATTGCAGCCATAGAGATGACACACCTATAAACTTTCTACTAATTAACTAATTACTAATTAACGTAACAACGTTTCATTTTTTTGCCATCCATGTTTGATCTAATGTCTCATTCTTAAGATTCATTTCTTCCTGTACATAGCTTGAAAGATACATTTGCATATTATAGGTCCAGCTCAAGGATGAACAACATCGCCAGAAGGAACTCGAGGTCCCACTCTAGAGTTCACACTATTAACGATTCACCCCACCGGTTGGTAGGCTCCCCTAGCGACAAGCGTCCCGGGTCAGGTGACGGGCTCAAGCGGAGCATTAACTAACAGAGAAAACGACGTGATTAGTGGGCGAGCAATAAGTACTCATCTACAGTACTTGTAAGGATACTGAAACAGCAGTGAAAGTCTCACGTTCTTTATAATTTTAATAGCCAACAAAGATTATTAGGTTCTGAAATCCTCTTTATATTAAATCACCATATATATATTGCGTATATATTTCGCTGTCTATGACGCCACAATTCGTTGTGCAGAGTTGCGTCCCTTGGGCACAACCGGAACCTGTGATTGTTTCTTCGAATTCCGCTTCGTGCTGATTTTGTTTGTAGGTTTGTCAATGCAGATCGATGCTCATGCTGTTGATCACTGGATTGTCTGGTTTGTCAGCACTATGCTCATGGGTTCCATGGAATGAAAATAGGTGAGACTTGCATTACTACCGGCATTATCTCTACATTATTCCGACATGCCGTGGGTAGTGTTCAAAACGGCTTAAAACTCAACCCACTCACTCACTCTCTTTAATTTCAAAACACTATGACAAGGGATAGGATTCTGCTTGAACATCTATCGAGTTTAATTATACGACTTGCAAGACTGACTTTATATTAATGCATGAATGCACGGGTCAACATTTAAGTTCATTATTGAAATTCTTCTTTCTGTTTCTTGTAGGCTGTTGTGATAGAATCCTTTAAGCTTTAAGATACACAATAGTATTAATACCTGTTTAGTAACAAGTTATTAAATAAGCATTCCTTAGATAGTTCGTGGAACTTTATGTATTATTTGTGTTTAGATAGAGCTTATTTAGAAGACAGTGGTAATGATTTTATATACCAATACTCCTTTACGCATTAACATCGCAGAGTACTTTTTTATATTGCTTCATTATTTTGTGAAAGGTATTTGTCAGTTAATTCAAAATTCCTTCAAAACGAGTGTCAAATGGGATCTGTGCGAAATATTTGGCAGTCACACACACAATTGATGATAGAATCATTTAATGAATTAACATTCAGCTAAAACGCGAAAACATCGACCGAAAAACACGAACGTGCCATGTTCGTGTATAGGAACCATGTATCAGATTGGTCAATGCATATTGACCTCAGTGGTGTTTATTTATATATTGGTTGTTATGAAATATGGCTGAATGATTACGTATACTATAACTGTGATATTTTCTGTACAGAATATTTCTATGTATCTATTATCAGTTACCGTCCAATATACATTGTAGCTTATTTTTATATAACTGTCGACTTCCTGTGAATGTTCTATTATAAAATGATGATAATGATGCAGTCTAGAGCCTAGTTCCAAATTTCACTCATGGAACTTTAGTGAAAAACAAAGGAAACGCATTTACAAAATTGAGTTGTCCAACAGTGCCTTTGTAAAAATGTATGTGATATATATATATATGCTAATGTTTGTATAAATAGCTGTTGAGATATTTAAAAACGGTACCTGTATATATCACTCAATGTTTCGTAATAAAATACTGTATCAATAAATGTGTTTGCTTTTCAATGACGAAAATTCACAATTTGTTATTTTGTTAATGAACGCTACACATGAAATATGTATCACATGTTTCACGTTGACACATATATAGAAAATTTGGGTGAGATGAGGTAAAATGGGCTTTAACGTCGCACTTAAGAATATTTCGCTCATATGACGACGTGCATGTGGGTGTAAATGTGGCTGCTTGTACTAGCCCAGACATAAGCTGGTTTTATAGTGCCAGCTCAATATAACACGTTCGCATGCACCTGTTTACACACGTGAGCTAATTTACACACCATGTAAAAAATACACACGTGTGTAAACGTGTCATGCGAACGCATCTACACACGTGGGTATACATGTATTTACAAAAGAAGCACATTTGCATGTGATCTGGAGGTCATGTAAATGTATATTTACACATACACGGGTGTGTTTTTCAAGTTATTTCATTAACAAAACAAGTTACATTTTGATGTAAAAAAATCAGAAGTCAGACTGACAATGCATCATTCTAACCTGAAAGATGAGGATTTTTGTTATGTACCCTATTTTGTAAAATATATTGGTACTGGTAAAATAAATTGGTAACATACTGTTTTATTGTCAACGTTTTCATCATGACGATATTGTCGAGATATGATTCTAACGTGTTATTAAACTAAGGAGTTAATATATTATGTTACAATTCCTAACACCTGAAAGGTGTGACAGTAGTATCTGATAGTCAATGGTGCAAGCCAGGACTTATGCTGATGAGTAACTGTCAATGGTACAAGCAAGGACTTAAGCTGACGAGTAACTGTCAATGGTACAAGCAAGGACTTAAGCTGACGAGTAACTGTCAATGGTACAAGCCAGGACTTATGCTGACGGGTAACTGTAATGTGATTGTTAACCTTGTAACGTCAAATCAGCGATTAACAAGGTTAGATAATAAGTCAGCAGACAAGTTGCTCACTTTCAGAAATGACTTAAGTTGAATATAAGAAATTGAATGGAGAGAATTATTTGAGACTGACATCCGATATGGCTATATAACAATGAGCCAAGTACTTAACCTACATAAACAGGTGACCATTAGTTTAGCACCACCTGAATCCAAGAGCAGTTTTTTTTAATATTGGCCCAAACGGATCACCATACCCTGTTACTGGAATAGAAAAGCATGTGCTTCACACAGGTTCTCAAAAGCAATGGATCACATGTTCGCCTAAAAAGTAGGTGTGCTTGATTAACGCTCACGTGTAGCTGATAGTTGTGTTTACTTTTATTTGTCAGAAACATCTAACAACACACTTTCTGTACAAACATTAAGTTTATGAACAAGCGTCTCTTCACATTATTTGTATAGTACATTTCTACTGGAATACAATTCTAAGGTTCTTTCACAGATGAAACTATATCATGTTCGCGGCAAAGGCCTGCATGACCTGGTGACCTGATCGACAGGCTGTAGCATCGTCAGCAGGGTCGTCCTGATCCCCAGGTTCCTCCTCATCCTGGTGCTCATCCTGGTGCTCATCCTGGTGCTCATCCCACTCATCACCACATATCTCGTTATGCAATTCACAAACATTGTGCAAAAATGCACAGGCGGCAATGATACTGCAGGCAAACTGCATTCTTGCACGACTGTAATTGAAAACCTTTTGTTCATCTGAAAGCATATCTCTGTGAGAATAAGGTTTGAGAAGACATGGTCTTAGGATGTAACATCTCCGAGGTTAACTACTGGAAGGGACACCTCCTTGCTTTATGCAGATCACGAAAATCATTTCTCAAATGCATTCATATTTGGGTGAAATGCATCTTTTTCAGAAGAGTTAAATATGCCTATTTTCGACCATGCCGAAATAAACCAATAACAGTGATTTAGATGTCCAAACGAAAGGTTGAAATAAAATTCTGCTTTGAGACAAAGATAAAACATTTAAAGTCACCATTTTAAACTATTAAAACAAGAAACAACTGCTGTAGAGTGTGTACAATTGTAAAAGAATCATTCGCATGACTTCAGTCTTTTAAAACATTTTCTGCTGATTTGCATTAGTGAACACATTTGAGAAAACATGCAGAATTGGTGCTAACTGCAATGGTATCTAAAGAGGCGTGAACAACAAAACGTGTCTGAGAATGATTTGGAATCCGTTAGTGCTGTGCCGGTGATAACGGTATTTTCTGTCTTCGCCAGTTGTCCCCAGACTCGAAACTCTATAGCTGTAGATGCTGAATGAGTGACAACTCACCGGAAGTCGGTCATTCATTGAAATCAACCAATCAGTAAAACGGGGCCTTGTACTTGACGGATCCGTAAAGATTCGGGTTTGAATTGGTCTTCAGTAACCGGGATCTGGTGACGGTTGACACATGTCATTGTATCCCAATTGCGTAGATCGATGCTCATGCTGTTGGTCACTGGATTATCTGTTTAACGCTTAGCAATATTCCAGCTATATGGCGGCTGTCTGTCAATAATCGAGTCTGGACCAGACAATCCGGTGATCAACCTCATGATCACCGATATACACAATTGGAATGCGATGACATGTTTCAACCAAGTCGGCGAGCCGATCCTCTTAGTCGCCTCTTACGACAAGCATGGGTTGCTGAAGACCAATTCTAACCCGGATCTTCACGGGTCGGTTGATGATTGTAAGGCTAGGTGTTTCAAGTATGAGTGAGGAGATAACCCCAGTGCTACTGTCTGGACGATCACAGAGACAAAATAAACATCATTCTTAGACAAAATCATTGCTTTTTTTATTCACAGAAGATGCAACAATAACGATGACAACAAAATGACACGCTCAATTCGAACAAACATTCATATCACAGGCTCGGTTGTGACTTGTCAATAAACTACAAGATACATACATGTACCTGAACGAGTGCAGTCAACTTACTATAAATTTAAAAGAAGCTTTCACCCAAAAGGGTCGGATTACAGGAAAGAAAACTAATCATGCCAATTATAAACTTTTGCAATTGTTTTTGAATTGATACGAATTACAGTTCTCAACATTTCTCAATGGCAACGGTTTATGCAAAAACTGACAAGTAACAAATTTGGTGAATTTAGGCTTGGTTCTTATCGAAAAATAAATTATCCAAGACAATTCATGAAAAAGACAATTATGCTACAGACTAATGAAACATGAAATTACGAGCCACAAATAACTTTTAAGATGCTTGAAAACATAGCGGGCTCATGATTTTGAATACAAAATGTCAATTCGGCGCTCCCTTTCACACCGATAGATATGTCACATCAGCCGAATCAGGCTTATTTATAGTCACGCACAGCCGACAAGCCGATTTTAGTGTTTCTTGTTGTTGTCTACCTTGAAAACCGACCAGGGTCCTGTTTCACAAAGCAATCGTAGCGCTAAGATGATCGTAACTCACATACTTTAGCATAGACTTACGACAGTCGTAGCCCTACGTTCGCTTTGTGGAACGGGCCCAGAGTCCCGATCTATAAAACGTCAGTAGCGCTACGAGATTCGTAAGCCTATGATAAACTATAGAGTTACGACAGGCCGTAAAGATACGAACGCTTTGTGTCGTAGAATTACGAACTGTCGTAACTAAAGAGTTTATCCCAGGATTACGAATGACGTGGTGCTACTAACGCTTTGTGGATCGGGCGCCAGGCTGGCAAGGAGAATTAACAGAAGTCTATAGCATTGGTGAAAGGAGAGCACTCTATGTTCCACTGGAGAGACACACGTTGAACGATGTAATTCGTATCGAGATAATATTACCCCAGAGTCAACATTCGAGGTGTTTGCAAGCATATGTTGCAGAATGCACTGGTTGTTAGTACCGACTAAACAATCATAGTCTGAAAGTGTAGCCACTATATAAAGGATGTATTGCCAAGTGTATTTACACACAGAAAATGTACATTAAATGTAAAAATATCTGCAGGTCTTTCACAACAACTCAGACAATAATTTATTAACAGGATGCAAGTAAAATGACTAGATGATGACTATAACATAGGGTTAGTGAGTTAGTTATCAAGATTTTCTCTTTGTTAACAATATTCAACCGCCGTCATCCTAAAACGTATATGCGGGAATAAACAACTACTTTTACTTAAAAGTGTAAATCACAAAAGAATAAAATTTCGTATATAAAGATTATTCATTATTGACATTTAGAATATCACCGTAAAATATATTTTTCGATTTCTGTCTGAAATTATGGATACAATCTTTTATCTGACGGGTACAATCTGCTATTGCATATACATAACAAGGCCAAAATGCGGCTACGTGGGGATGGGTGGTGAGAGGGTGATGGGTTAACTGCACAAAACCATGCCCGAACACAGGCCCTTGTGTCTTTGCGAGGATTAAAGATGTTAAGAAAAATGTAAAAAAAATTGAGATGATCCCCGACTCGAAATGCTTCATAGTAGAATACATTTTAAAAAAATCTTCGCACGGACACGAGGGCCTGTGTGCCCGAACTCTTATGTAACACGGTTTCAACACTCTCAATTGCCGCATCAGTCGACTGTTACTTACTTTGATTTACAACTGATGTGAATTTTCATCACCATCCTCCAGCATCATGAAACCAACACTGCCACATCCCAGCCATCCTCTCCGAATCAAACCCGCTGCACCCCAAATCGAAACTATTCCTCCTCAGTTCTATACGACTGGTAGGGCAACAGTGTGTATTGACTTCCGTGGTTAGTAACAAAAGCGGAATAAATATAACAGGTTATACATGTTTCAGCCATAATGACATCATTTGGACGGTATTATATATAATGAATATTTACATAGAAAATGTGCATAACTTTCCAATATATTTCAACATATTTTCTTAATACTATAATGTTTTATAAAATCACAGAGTCTTTCAGTACATTATCACCACTTTGCTCGATAAACTAATTCAATGGTCATTAAAAAGTGCTCTTTTGTATGAAAATATGAAAAAAGTTCAGTCGTTGATGCAAAAAGACGTCTTCATTCACGGTAATGCAGCACATGTCGTCACTTCTTAGACAAGTAACATATTTTGTAATATGTTTCGGTTCACCAAGCAGTAAACAGGGTTCCCGTAACATCCTCTAGCGTCTAACGAGACGACTGGGGATGTATTCTCCTAAGGGAGTTGAGTATGAATGAAGTTCACTCTGATCTATCGACCGGGATAATAATATTCGAAATTGAATGACCATGCACCGTGACATATTTTTAACCCAGAGCCAAGTTGATATCACTATCATACGCGATCAATATGTAAAGTACGTTTCATTCCACTTGCTGCCTATTGAAATGTGTAATTCACACTGATCTGTTGATAAAATTACATTTCTTAATTGTTATCAAATTTGATTTTATAAAATATTTTACAAACAATGGGTACCAATTTAGAAGAAGAAACAAGATGTGAAAACTTAGTTTAATAATTGGTTAACAAACCAGATCTACACGTGACAATAACATCGAATATGTGTGACGGTTTTCAGAAATATTTACACCAGAGAAAAATGGCCAGAGAAAGCAGAGGAGGAATTCAACGATATGCATTGTGTCAGTTCAATATCGCCTCGTTAACTACTATATACACTTGCTTCTTGCTTTATTAGCAAAGGAAGTTCTGATCCAACTACAACTATCGATTTCACTTAGTGGACCCAGCCTAAAAACACTGTAAATTAAGGGTGGTTGGATTTTCTTATCCCCTACCTCAATCAACGAGCTCGAGCAGCAAGCCGGGAAAACATAACAGGCAAAATATATAATTTAATAAATCTCAACAGTGACTTAAGACTACTTCAGTCAGAGAGTCAGAGGTCACATTCGTTGAGATATATTCAGTATGAAAACCATGTCATACACTGCAATATTATAATTCAATATAGTCACTCCAGGGGATCATGAAGAAAAAGTCGATCACTACAGTTCAAAGGTCAAGAGAATAATCAATGTGTTCAGTCCCAACGGTGACACAATACTAACGTTATACAACCAACATTTCTTCATATTCTTAATTTTATGTACATGGAGGGGTTAGATTATGGTCTACTTCGTTGTAGTTAAATATAATTCTTCAACATAATGCATTATGGCAACATAATGCTATGGAAACGCCTTGGTAAAAAATATTTAATAAAAAAGAATCTACTCGCTATTATATACTGGGCTAAACTGACTGACTGAGTTTGGTTTTACGCCGCTTTTAGCAATATTCCAGCAACATCACGGCGGGGGACACCAGAAATGGGCTTCACACATTGTGCCCATGTGGGGATTCGAACCCGGGTCTTCGGCGTGACGAGCCAAAGCTTTAACCATTAGGCTACCCCACCGCCCCATACTGGGCTAAAGAAGTTGGGGATCACCAATGTCTTTTAATAGATGATTGAAATACAGTTTCATAAAATATTCCCCAAATATTCACGATCTCTTTACTTTGACAATGTAACCTTTTCCGTTGATATTATTTGTGCCATTAAAATGTTCGTATTTGATACTTGAACAGAAATAAACATCAGATCTGTGGGTAAAGCTGTATGTGTTTGTGGACTAATTTGATAGTTTCAAATAATTTGAAGTTTCACAGAAAACAAACCGAGTACAGGTAGAAGAAGTGAAAATTTGTCAATGTCTCAAATCCACCGCAAATGAATGTGAGCACATACAACAGGGCCCGGGCCGTAAAGGAGGAACGAAACGGCCTTAAAATGGTAAAACGGGTGCTTTCTTGGACACCTTGGCATCATGCCAACATACCGGTAATGACGTCACATAAATATGAAGTCATTCTGTTCGTAATGCGAGACAGTCGTACATTTCTGGCACGAATCAGAAATCTTATCGTATTGACCAAAGATCCCATTCATTCATGGTATTGATTCAATTCATTTGTATAAATATAAAAAGCATTTTGTTATGTAAATATTGATAAAAAATAAAACTCCCTTTAAATTCCCATTTCATCATGAACAGAATGTACGAACGTAAAGATCAACCTTTTTTACGTCCAAATACATACATTAACATACTTGAGAATAACCAACCAATGTATTTAAGCAAGAACCTGATAGGCCGGCGAGACGTCACTGATGACGTCACTCAGGGTTCCGGACCAAGTGGCGGAGAAATGGCCTCGACAATGTTCACTTTGTTCTTCTTGTTGACAGCGAGGGCTATGACGATGGCGATGCCTACGATGACACACATCGCAATGATACCACCGAAGACGATTCCAACGATCAAACCTGTTTGTGATGAATTCGCTGCTGTTGTTGCTGGAAAACATAAACATGGAAGATCCATTACTATTTTTTTAAGATACATTTAGGAAATGATGTGAGAGACAGTGAGTGAGTGAGTTTAGTTTCACGCCGTTTTCAGCAATATTCCAGCAATATCATGGCGGGGGACACCAGAAATAGGCTTCACACATGTTGGGAATCGAGCCCGGGTCTTCGATGTGACGAGCGAACGCTTTAACCACTGGGCTACCTAACCGCCCCTGATATCTGAGGCAACTCTCCATATTGACATGTGACGGGTGACACACATCCCCTTGGTTTTTAAGGTCACCGATGGACCTGCTTTTGCTTGTGTTTGGGATGCGTGTTTTTGTTGGTGCAATATAGCTCGCTTTTTCATGAACACCGTGGATCATTACTATTTGCTGGGGATTAAAAAAAATGCCCATAAATATTGTTGGAATCGAACCATATTTGTAGCTGACTTATCCCATGAAGCCAATTATATACAGGACAAAAATAGGGATATATGTAAATTTTGAAATTATGAATAATGATCTTTTCATTCATTGACCCACTGATAAAATATCAATCATAAAAATACCAATATCCCTAACTTATTTTGACCAGTATATTATATATCATCACCCTCGATCATTAATTTGGTGCAATACCTTTTTCGAAAGTCACACATCTCCCACAAGGATGAGCGAATGAAAGTATGAAGGGTTTTTTTAACGGCTAAACAAAGCAACAGAATACGAATTCAAAGGAAGGACGAGTGAAAAAATGTTTTTGAAAAATGCTTACATTCCCCAAAGGCTGCAAAGCCAGTAAGATGGTCACTGGTACACGTGACGGAGCTCGTGGACTGGGAGGACACCGACAATCCATCTGTTTCCCATCTCGCGCTCAGCGTGTTCCAGTACTTGCAGCTCTGGGTCGACCCCGACTGAGGCCGAGTCACTACAAAGGTCATGGACACCGGGACGCTCAGACCTGTGATGCTGGATAACTGATCTCCTGGAACGAAATAGGAGCATTGAAACATAGATATGTATTTCAGGTTATGATTTCGTAAAAAATACAAAATCGATTTTAGAAGCACAGCAAAACATTAATGCAGTGAATGAGTGAGTGTGGTCGCTTTTAGTAATATTCGAGCAACATCATAGCGGGGACAACTGAAATGGGATCACACATTGTGCCCATGTGGGGAATCGAACCCAGGTCTTCTCGGATGAATGAACATTTTAAACCACTAGGCTACCCCAGGATCGAATAGATATGAATGATATATTTAACAATTGAAAATATCATCTCTATTTATCAGCAAATGAATCTTACAATACAAAGCAATTTTGCAAAACCTGATGTTTAAATGTGATAAGGCATTCTTAACCATATCATACCGAATGGAAAAACATAATTAAGTTACATAAGCCACGGATAACTAAGTTACGGATATCTTCAAATGATACGTTTTGTTTAACGTTTCAGTACAGATACTCGCATGTCTATCAAGCAGATATACACTGCTGATTAGCTATCCGCCATTTTGACCTCTCCGAAAGAGCGTTGCATGATGGGAATGTGAAGGAGGTATGATGCGTTAAGGAAGGTGACAACCCTCTTTGATCACGATCATAGCATTTTTCCGAAACGAAACATATTAAGAATAAAGATGAAAACAATTGAAACTGACGTTGAAATCCATACGTCAATATTGTTTTCACACATCGTAAGGGCTGTAAAAGAAATCCCAGCGAGTTTCCACAGCAAGCACAACAATCCCTAACCCAAAAACAGTTGCTGCTTCTATCTTTACCTGAGACCGGATCAATGAGCAAAATGTCCACAACGTCGGATGATCTCCGCTTGATGTCGTCACTGGTGGTGGAGTAAGGATCGACGTCGGTGTTGCTGCTTGTGATCTCGACGCCTACGCCCTCGCACGTTCCCGAGCTGCATGCCCACGACGCAAATCTGCAACAACAGAGCATATGTGGTAAATCCGCGATTGTTTATCTTCAGGACATTATCTTCGTCCTAAGTGTGAACGTGAGTAAGTTTAAATTTAGTTTCACGCCGCTTTTAGCAATATTCCAGCAATATCAGGGGAATCGAACCCGAGTCCTCGTCGAGACCAGCGAACGCTTTAACCACTAGGCTAACCAACCATCCCTAAGTGTGAACGAATTAGGTTGAATTCATAGAGCTAAAATGTCCATAATCTCTGATAAAGAATATTTAATTTAACATATGTTAATGTTTTTGCTTTTTTGATGTTGTTTTATGTCGCACTCAGCAATATTTCCTGCTAGATATGTTGGGAGCCAGCCAGACAATTCAGTCACTGATATCTTGAGAATCGATCTATGCAGGATTGACCTGCATCAACCAAGTCAGTGTACCTGACTACCAAATGCCAGTTGTCGCATGGGTTGCTGAAGACCAAATCTCACTCACATCTTCAAGGGTGAGCATTTACAATGTTTAGTAGGGTATTTAATGTGGATGTGTTGGAGGTTATGGAGAGACTGGACAAAGCCATGAAAAAACCCGGATCATTGTCATGCATGCTTTGTAACGTCACAGTTAATATTGTCCGAGTTTATAATAGTGCCTTCTCACAGTATTAAAGACATAGCATGACATATCGTGATATCGCATATAGGAATACCTTTTCCTCAGAGTATCTCCAAAATTGATGGTGGTACTGTTCGTGTCCTTGCTGATGTGACCACTTCCGGGTATGATGAACATGTACTTCCGGGTTGAAGTTGCGAAGGTGAAGGTCTGACTTTCATCCAATTGAAATCCCAGCCTAGCGGCTTTCGTTATTTTTGAGGTCAGATCTGTGACGTCACTACCGGTTACCGACCTGGCAGCCAGTGCCGCCGTCCATGTATGTATGTGTTCCACACTGCTTGCTGTCATTTTGACCGAATTTGTTTGGAAATAGTTTGTGATGGTCACATAGAAGGATGTGATAACTAGCATGTCGCTGTCACTGACTGTTGTTGCGGGTAATGCACCGAGAACACCTAGCAATGTATTTGCCTCTGTCTCCTTCAACTGCATGGTGTTGAGTGTTGTGTTGACGAGATTTATCTGAAGTGTTGCCAGTGTTGTGGTGACGACTGTGCTACGTCTTTGACGGTCCAGCGCTTCATCAGCGCTACGGCGACGTCTGCTGATACTTTGTTGCAGGGCAGCAATGTAGATGCCGAGCGCTACTGCTGCTTGCAGAGGTTTACCTGCGACATATGGAAGTACGTACATAGAGTTACTGACCCACAGACACACAGATAGTCACTGACACAAAGACACACAGATGTTATATTTGGGATTGCACTTTCTCGGTAAGTACAGATTCTAGTACTTTGGGGTGGGGGTGGGTTGAGTCTAATCGCCAGCACACAAAGTCAGCCGTCTACCCCTTTTACAGCCACCGGGGCTTCCACAGAATTGGAGTCGGACAAAAAGTAGTCAAGACAACGGACTTTGTGTACCCCTCTGATAAGGGTAAATTGGCATGGCTCCCACGGCCGAAAGTTAAGAGTACACAATGCCATTTAGAAAGTGGTCAGATTATATTTGGGATTACTTTCTTAGTAAAGTTCAATAAAGTATAATGTGATCTTAAATATTTCATGTGTTACAACTGGCCGTTTTCTAAATGGCATTGTGTATTCACACACACACACGCACGCACGCACGCACGCACGCACGCACACAAGCAAGCAAGCACGCACGCACGCACGCACGCACGCACGCACGCACGCACGCACACACACATACACTTGACGTGTTTGGATTGCTCTGCCGGCTTCAGCATTTCTTTCCACCTCTTTCTGTTACGGCGGGCTCTAGTGGGTACAATAGATACTAACGCGTCTGCTCGTCACTCCGAAGTACAGGGTATCACGCTCAACAACATTCTAGATGTATGACAGTGGTCTGTTAAAAACCGAGTGTGCACAAAAAACAAGTGATTGACATCATGAGCATTTATCTTCGCAATTGGAACACGATGACATGCATCGCCAAAGTCAGAGAAATCTATCGCACGCAACAGGCCCTCGTGTCATTGATGTTGATGTAAAGATGTTTAAAAATATCTGAAAAATGGAGATCTCTCACTTTCTCCCCCACCCCGATTTTGTGTCGCATGCCTATACAAGGAACACTTGATGCTGACTACCACTTGAATCCTGGACCATACGTGATAGGATGGTCATACCTTCTTTCTGGAGCGTGTCAGTATTGCTGATCACCGACGTCTGCTTGGCTACCAACGCTGCTGCAGTGACTGCCGTCACGGTGACGTCTCCGCTTTTATATATCATACATCCCCCTTTGTTCGCGCACACCTGAAAACAAAGGATTGAGAATGTTGAAACTGTCTCATCATTTGGTGTTCGTTCCTCGTGCAAATCGAGTACGGATCAGACAATCTAGTGATGGCATCTAACTATAAAGCCCCACTCCGCAATATTCCCGCTATATGAATAATCGAGTACGGATCAGACAATCTAGTGATGGCATCTAACTATAAAGCCCCACTCCGCAATATTCCCGCTATATGAATAATCGAGTACGGATCAGACATCTAACTATGCAATTGGGATACAATGAAGCTAAGTTGACCACCCTAGCCCTTCTCGGAATGAGCATCTTTGGGTCTAAATGAAAAATAAAACATGCTGGAATTAAATGATAATGGGATTATAATATTTTACTCTAGAAGATGAGTGAGTGAGTGAGTTTAGTTTTACGCCACACTCTGCAATAATGCACCTGTATGGCGGCGGTCTGCAAATAATCATATCTGGACCAGACAATCCAGGGATCCACAGCATGAGCATCGATCTACGCAATTGGCATGTGAACCGATGTTGATCACTGGATTGTCGGGTCCAGACTCGATTACTCACAGACCGTCGCCGTTTAGCTGGAATATTGCTTCGTGTTCTGCCTCATGTCATACCTAATCAAAACCAACTAAAACATAATGGAAATGATTTCATAAAAAATCACTCATCCTATACTGACAGTACAACACTAGTCCTAATTGTAATTGGAAATTTTCTTTGCGTATTTTACCCGGATACGCAGCTTATTTGTGCCTCTGTATTATATATATAATAACCAATCATAAATCACATGTGCAAAAGTACCAGAATATGACAGAATACTTGCCTGAACGGCAAAGACGTTCTTTCCGGACGCGTCGGCCTTGGGGCCAACTGTTACTGTGAACTGCCCACTGTCCTGAGTAGTGGAGAGGGGCACAGAGGTGTCGCTGCCGCCCGACACTTGGTAGAGGGTGTAGGTGAGGGGAATGCCGTCACTGTCGGTGTAGCACTTGCTCACGCTCAGACTCACCTGAACAACGCAATGAAATTCGTTTTGATGAACACGTGGGAACTTAACATAAATATGTCATCGGTGAGCCTATAAGATAGTTGTTAATCTATAAGAGTGGCTTTGTGTTAATTGAAGAATAACTATAACGTGATTCGCAGTGAATTGTTTGTACTATGCTAATCAAAACTTAAAGGACAATCACAGAAGTCCCCCCTCGCCCCGAAAAAAAACCCTGAGGAGCATTTCCCCCATGACCTTTGGACTTCATGATTTATGTGCAAGCCCCCTTCTCCCAAATTCTGGGTCCGCCACTCACCGTTAGGGGCGTAGCTTCCATTATAAAAAAGCCGGGGCTTACACATGATAGTTGCTAAAAAGGTTGGGCAAGCCCTCAATACTGTTTCAATATAAAGCTTTGCAACCTATCGGGCTTACACGAAAAAAGTGGCTTGCTACGCGCCTGACCGTTATCAAGCAAGTGGTGACATGACAGATAAACTCTAGGAATATGAATTACTCTGGTGCTCCTTAACTTCTTTGAGTAGTATAACTACTCTGAACTACTGATATACAGCATGACACGGTGTGCTTCACTTTTGATACCAACGAATAAAGCGGGCTGGAGATAATGCCCTTGCCTCTCACCGAGTCTAGTTGTTGGTAGGACGAGGGGGCGCTGATAGAACAGGAAGTGACGCCATTGTAGACATACACGTCTTCCGTTGCCACGCTGCTCTTCCCGTTTGCATCAGTAACGGTACACTTGAAGCGGTAGTTCGTCCCACGCTGCAGGATGCCTGAAAAAGATGCAGTTACTCAATATAATGTACAAACTCGAAGCAGTAAACAAAATAAAGACCGGTAAATGGCGCTCGAAGCTCCGAATTCCGGAACTAAAAAAAGTAAATTTAAATGAGCATGCTTGAGGAGAACAAGTCCTAAATTTCGCCTTAGTTTAATCTAATTTCGAATATGAAATCCCATCCTTGGACTAACGACAGTCCAAATCAATTACGCTAAAGTTGGGGAAAGTATTGAGGATAATACGACGCAAGATTAGGCATCGCCAAAACGGCTCATGTTCTTGGAGTATGAGACAGTGTTAGGACATATTGAAGGGGAATATTTCTTTACAAGGTTACGACATCAACAACTATTCCTATTCCGTAATTGATATTGTTTTACGCCACTTCGTTGTAACATTCTTGTAATATCATGATGGGAGACATCAGGAATGGTCTTCACAATTAAACTCATAAATGTAATCAAACCCAGGCTGATAAAGCATGTAACATAATCATGACATTAAACTGTGTAATTATTTTGTTTTGTATTTGTGTTTGTTCTTTAACGCCACACGTAGTAATATTCCAGCTATATGGCGGCGGTCTGTAAATAATCGAGTCTAGACCAGGCAATCCAGCGATCAGCATCATAAGCATCGATCTACGCAAATGGGATACGATGACATGTGTCAATCAAGTCAGCAAGCCTGACCTCCCGATCCAGATAATCGCCTCTTACGACAAGCATGGGTTGCTGAAGACAAATTCTAATCCGGAACTTCACGGGTGCTGTGATGGGTGGCTGAAGACCTATTTTAATCCGGAACTTCACGAGTGCTGTGTAAATGTGCCTACCTGCTTTGATTGACAGCACTGTGACAAATGACGTGCTTGTGATAGCTGTTACCGTCGATGGGGTCTGTAGGTTGTTAGCGTTCGTCACGTCCACAAACCCATAACCTGGGGAAAAACATGTACAAGCAAGATTACTTTTAACTGAAAAAGAAACTTTACATCCTTAATATACCACGATCTGGGGGACGGAAAAGAGCATAAGAGTGGGAGGGTTGAGGGATGGTATTATCTTTACAACATCAAGACAAGTCTTGAACAACAAAATGCTTCTGCTTCAGATTGTTAAATACAATACTATTTATCATCCAAAACTGTGTTCCACAGGAGATATCGCTTGTGTGAGATCAAACGATATCTCCTAGGAGATATCGTTTTGACAGTAGATTTTGTACAATGCCCTAACAATGCTATGACGTCATGTACTTGATGACGTCACAATGCTATGACATCGCTGCACTGCAAGTCTAATGGCAGTACCATGTTCAGAGATGTACTTTTTTCATTGAAAATTAATGAAGAGTGATTTTGGATGATAAATAGAATCTCACCCTCGTGTCTTCTGATATCAAATATATCAACACTCGTTGATAAAAGTAAAAATATCCTCGGCAAGCCTCGGATATTTGTAACTTTATCAACTCGTGTTGATATAATTGATATCAGAAGACACTTGGGTGAGATTCTCTATTTCTGCTACAAAATAAGATTGTTCGGAAAAAAATGTTTTGGCGCATAATTTTATTAAACAAAAAGCAAAATTGGTGGTGCAGCTAACAAGTGTATCTCCTCCCTACGTAATACCATCTCACTGAAAATCAATTCCGACCCCTTATGAAAACATAATTTCAATTATACAACATATACTTTATTATAGTAATTCGTTTCTTTTTTTTGGAATTACAATAACCTTATCTGTGACCTATTAGTCACACAAAATGGTTTATCATCCAAAACTGTGTTCCACAGGAGATATCGCTTGTGTGAGATCAAACGATATCTCCTAGGAGATATCGTTTTGACAGTAGATTTTGTACAATGCCCTAACAATGCTATGACGTCATGTACTTGATGACGTCACCATGCTATGACATCGCTGCACTGCAAGTCTAATGGCAGTACCATGTTCAGAGATGTACATTTTTCATTGAAAATTAATGAAGAGTGATTTTGGATGATAAATAGAATCTCACCCTCGTGTCTTCTGATATCAAATATATCAACACTCGTTGATAAAGTAAAAATATCCTCGGCAAGCCTCGGATATTTGTAACTTTATCAACTCGTGTTGATATAATTGATATCAGAAGACACTTGGGTGAGATTCTCTATTTATCATCCAAAACTGTTTTCCACAGGAGATATCGCTTGTGTGAGATTATATGATATCTCCTAGGAGATATCGTTTTGACAGTAGATTTTGTACAATGCCCCAACAATGCTATGACGTCATCAACTTGATGACGTCACAATGCTATGACATCGCTGCACTGCAAATCTAATGGTAGTACAGAGTTGAGAGATGTGCATTTTTCATTGAAAACTAATGAAGAATGATTTTGATGATAAATAGAATCTCACCCTCGTGTCTACTGATATCAATTATATCAACACTCGTTGATAAAGGTAAAAATATCCTCGGCAAGCCTCGGATATTTGTAACTTTATCAACTCGTGTTGATATAATTGATATCAGTAGACACGAGGGTGAGATTCTCTATGTATTATATCGCCAAAAATGAATTTTCCCGTTCGAACAGCCCTGGATGTATTTGAGAACCTCTGTAATCATACCGTCCGTGATCACTGATTCCCAGGAAGCGGTAACTGTCGTCGAAGACTCTATGATGGCTCTGACTGTGAAGACGTTGTTCGCGTTAATTTTGTTGCCTCCGGCCAGGTCTCTGAACAAGACCTACAAATAAACATGACGTGAAAACTGTGAATGGGATCTGCTACAGGCTCGAATATTATCACAGGAAATGTAATAGCCACTTACAGGGAGACGACTGTGTCATCTAATAAACTGACATCAATCAATCACAGGTTAACGACCTATTAACGACCAGTCATTTGTCAGCGTTATAAACACTTATCAGTTGGACATATTGAGCATTTATGACTGCATAAAGGATTAAAACTTGAAAGGTGATAGTATCCGTTAAAAATCCCATGTTCTAAAGTTATATTAATATATTGTTCTCTGTTTTTACACTAAAAACCATCATGTTTGTATTTCTATCTTAACTACCGAGTCACAAGAGGAAGTTTCAGTCACATTTCCCTGCCCATTCTTACGGCAATAACGTATTACTTTTCTTTTCTTATATTACAATGTTTACTTTTATACTACATTATTCTCCTTCTTTTCAATATTACTTGCTTAAATCGATTTTCATCCGTGTTTCAATGTATGCTCTCAATCCCTCCCTTTAGTTCACACCACTAAGTATTTACTGAATGTTGTACCTTAACTGTTGATGCTCTCGTCTACGATTACAGATCACGTGAAAACTGTGAACTGAGATCTGTTACAGGCTCGAATATTATCACAGGAAATGAAATAGACACTTAAAGGGAGACGACTGTGTCATTTGATAAACTGACATCAATCAATCACAGGTGGGATATTGATGACTTTCTGAACACTCAAGACCTCACTAGCATACCTGCCAACTCTCACTCATATTGAACCCGTGAAGATCCGCAAGCAACCCATGCTTGTCGGGATCGGGTGATCAGGCTCGCTGACTAGGTTGACACACTTCATCGTATCCCAATTGCGTAGATCGATGTTCATGCTGTCGATCCCTGGATTGTCTGGTCCAGATATGATTATTTACAGACCGCCGCCATATAGCTGGAATATTGCTGAATGCGGCGTAAAACTAAACTCACTCACTCATTTGGCTTGAGACTCGTGCTTTTATAACTCACGTCACGCTCTCACTACAACACTGATAGATATCTTACCAAACTAGGTTCATATGAAAAATATAAATGAAAACCCGTTAAAAATTACCCAAATAGGCCTGAATATATCGTTCTCAGAGATTTTCTGAGAAAGGAATTTGCAATTATCTTTGGATTCACGAGGGCTACAGGACCCGGCCGGGCCGGTATCTCAAGCATTTCTCTCATGGGGGTTGAAGCTCTACACTTTGTTACTGTGACCTGCGTAGTCTCCATGTTAAACGCTCCTGCATAGTCTCTATGTTAAACGCTCCTATATAGTCTCTATGTTAAACACTCCTACATAGTCTCTATGTTAAACGTTCCTACATTGTCTCTATGTAAAACGGCCCTACATAGTCTCCATGTTAAACGCTCCTACATAGTCTCTATGTTAAACACTCCTACATAGTCTCTATGTTAAACACTCCTACATAGTCTCTATGTTAAACACTCCTACATAGTCTCTTTGATAAACACTCCTACATAGTCTCTATGTTAAACACTCCTACATAGTCTCTATGTTAAACACTCCTGCATAGTCTCTATGTTAAACACTCCTACATAGTCTCTATGTTAAACACTCCTGCATAGTCTCTTTGATAAACACTCCTACATAGTCTCTATGTTAAACACTCCTGCATAGTCTCTATGCTAAACACTCCTACATAGTCTCTATGTTAAACACTCCTACATAGTCTCTATGTTAAACACTCCTACATAGTCTCTATGTTAAAACTCCTACTCCTGCAATAGTCTCTATGTTAAACGGTCCTACATAGTCTCCATGTTAAACGCTCCTACGTAGTCTCTATGTTAAACACTCCTACATAGTCTCTATGTTAAACACTCCTGCAATAGTCTCTATGTTAAACGGTCCTACATAGTCTCCATGTTAAACGCTCCTACATAGTCTCTATGTTAAACACTCCTACATAGTATCTATGTTAAACACTCCTACATAGTCTCTATGTTAAACACTCCTACATAGTCTCTATGTTAAACACTCCTACATAGTCTCTTTGATAAACACTCCTACATAGTCTCTATGTTAAACGTTCCTACATTGTCTCTATGTAAAACGGACCTACATAGTCTCCATGTTAAACGCTCCTACATAGTCTCTATGTTAAACACTCCTACATAGTCTCTATGTTAAACACTCCTACATAGTCTCTATGTTAAACACTCCTACATAGTCTCTTTGATAAACACTCCTACATAGTCTCTATGTTAAACACTCCTACATAGTCTCTATGTTAAACACTCCTGCATAGTCTCTATGTTAAACACTCCTACATAGTCTCTATGTTAAACACTCCTACATAGTCTCTATGTTAAACACTCCTACATAGTCTCTATGTTAAACACTCCTGCAATAGTCTCTATGTTAAACGGTCCTACATAGTCTCCATGTTAAACGCTCCTACGTAGTCTCTATGTTAAACACTCCTACATAGTCTCTATGTTAAACACTCCTACATAGTCTCTATGTTAAACACTCCTACATAGTCTCTATGTTAAACACTCCTGCATAGTCTCTATGTTAAACGTTCCTACATTGTCTCTATGTAAAACGGCCCTACATAGTCTCCATGTTAAACGCTCCTACATAGTCTCTATGTTAAACACTCCTACATAGTCTCTATGTTAAACACTCCTACATAGTCTCTATGTTAAACACTCCTACATAGTCTCTTTGATAAACACTCCTACATAGTCTCTATGTTAAACACTCCTACATAGTCTCTATGTTAAACACTCCTGCATAGTCTCTATGTTAAACACTCCTACATAGTCTCTATGTTAAACACTCCTGCATAGTCTCTTTGATAAACACTCCTACATAGTCTCCATGTTAAACACTCCCGCATAGTCTCTATGCTAAACACTCCTACATAGTCTCTATGTTAAACACTCCTACATAGTCTCTATGTTAAACACTCCTACATAGTCTCTATGTTAAACACTCCTACATAGTCTCTATGTTAAACACTCCTGCAATAGTCTCTATGTTAAACACTCCTACATAGTCTCTATGTTAAACACTCCTGCATAGTCTCTATGTTAAACACTCCTACATAGTCTCTATGTTAAACACTCCTACATAGTCTCTATGTTAAACACTCCTGCAATAGTCTACATGTTAAACGGTCCTACATAGTCTCCATGTTAAACGCTCCTACATAGTCTCTATGTTAAACACTCCTACATAGTATCTATGTTAAACACTCCTACATAGTCTCTATGTTAAACACTCCTACATAGTCTCTATGTTAAACACTCCTACATAGTCTCTTTGATAAACACTCCTACATAGTCTCTATGTTAAACGTTCCTACATTGTCTCTATGTAAAACGGCCCTACATAGTCTCCTTGTTAAACGCTCCTACATAGTCTCTATGTTAAACACTCCTACATAGTCTCTATGTTAAACACTCCTACATAGTCTCTATGTTAAACACTCCTACATAGTCTCTTTGATAAACACTCCTACATAGTCTCTATGTTAAACACTCCTACATAGTCTCTATGTTAAACACTCCTGCATAGTCTCTATGTTAAACACTCCTACATAGTCTCTATGTTAAACACTCCTGCATAGTCTCTTTGATAAACACTCCTACATAGTCTCTATGTTAAACACTCCTGCATAGTCTCTATGCTAAACACTCCTACATAGTCTCTATGTTAAACACTCCTACATAGTCTCTATGTTAAACACTCCTACATAGTCTCTATGTTAAACACTCCTACATAGTCTCTATGTTAAACACTCCTGCAATAGTCTCTATGTTAAACGGTCCTACATAGTCTCCATGTTAAACGCTCCTACATAGTCTCTATGTTAAACACTCCTACATAGTATCTATGTTAAACACTCCTACATAGTCTCTATGTTAAACACTCCTACATAGTCTCTATGTTAAACACTCCTACATAGTCTCTTTGATAAACACTCCTACATAGTCTCAATGTTAAACGTTCCTACATTGTCTCTATGTAAAACGGCCCTACATAGTCTCCATGTTAAACGCTCCTACATAGTCTCTATGTTAAACACTCCTACATAGTCTCTATGTTAAACACTCCTACATAGTCTCTATGTTAAACACTCCTACATAGTCTCTTTGATAAACACTCCTACATAGTCTCTATGTTAAACACTCCTACATAGTCTCTATGTTAAACACTCCTGCATAGTCTCTATGTTAAACACTCCTACATAGTCTCTATGTTAAACACTCCTACATAGTCTCTTTGATAAACACTCCTACATAGTCTCTATGTTAAACACCCCTGCATAGTCTCTATGCTAAACACTCCTACATAGTCTCTATGTTAAACACTCCTACATAGTCTCTATGTTAAACACTCCTACATAGTCTCTATGTTAAACACTCCTAGATAGTCTCTATGTTAAACACTCCTGCAATAGTCTCTATGTTAAACGGTCCTACATAGTCTCCATGTTAAACGCTCCTACGTAGTCTCTATGTTAAACACTCCTACATAGTCTCTATGTTAAACACTCCTGCAATAGTCTCTATGTTAAACGGTCCTACATAGTCTCCATGTTAAACGCTCCTACATAGTCTCTATGTTAAACACTCCTACATAGTATCTATGTTAAACACTCCTACATAGTCTCTATGTTAAACACTCCTACATAGTCTCTATGTTAAACACTCCTACATAGTCTCTTTGATAAACACTCCTACATAGTCTCTATGTTAAACGTTCCTACATTGTCTCTATGTAAAACGGACCTACATAGTCTCCATGTTAAACGCTCCTACATAGTCTCTATGTTAAACACTCCTACATAGTCTCTATGTTAAACACTCCTACATAGTCTCTATGTTAAACACTCCTACATAGTCTCTTTGATAAACACTCCTACATAGTCTCTATGTTAAACACTCCTACATAGTCTCTATGTTAAACACTCCTGCATAGTCTCTATGTTAAACACTCCTACATAGTCTCTATGTTAAACACTCCTGCATAGTCTCTTTGATAAACACTCCTACATAGTCTCTATGTTAAACACTCCTGCATAGTCTCTATGCTAAACACTCCTACATAGTCTCTATGTTAAACACTCCTACATAGTCTCTATGTTAAACACTCCTACATAGTCTCTATGTTAAACACTCCTACATAGTCTCTATGTTAAACACTCCTGCAATAGTCTCTATGTTAAACGGTCCTACATAGTCTCCATGTTAAACGCTCCTACGTAGTCTCTATGTTAAACACTCCTACATAGTCTCTATGTTAAACACTCCTGCAATAGTCTCTATGTTAAACGGTCCTACATAGTCTCCATGTTAAACGCTCCTACATAGTCTCTATGTTAAACACTCCTACATAGTATCTATGTTAAACACTCCTACATAGTCTCTATGTTAAACACTCCTACATAGTCTCTATGTTAAACACTCCTACATAGTCTCTTTGATAAACACTCCTACATAGTCTCTATGTTAAACACTCCTACATAGTCTCTATGTGAAACACTCCTGCATAGTCTCCATGTTAAACACTCCTACATAGTCTCTATGTTAAACACTCCTACATAGTCTCCATGTTAAACACTCCTACATAGTCTCTATGTTAAACGCTCCTACATAGTCTCCATGTTAAACACTCCTACATAGTCTCTATGTTAAACACTCCTGCATAGCCCCCATGTTAAACACTCCTACATAGTCTCTATGTTAAACACTCCTACATAGTCTCTATGTTAAACACTCCTGCAATAGTCTCCATGTTAAACACTCCTACATAGTCTCTATGTTAAACACTCCTACATAGTCTCTATGTTAAACACTCCTACATAGTCTCTATGTTAAACACTCCTGCAATAGTCTCTAACCCAGCAGGTAAACCTTACCACGTTTAGTCAATGTATATAGATCAGAGGCGATTTGGTAGCCTTGTGGTTAAAGTGTTCGCTTGTTAAGCCTAACACCAATGTTCGATTCCCCACATAAGAACAATGTGAAAAGCCTATTTTTCTGAAGGATATTCCAGTGATACTGCTGGAATACTTCTAAAGGCGACATAAAACCATACTCACTCACATTTTCAGGAGAAAGGAATTTAGGATCAGTACCCGACTTTCATAAAGGATTCAAAGTGGGATGGGTAAGGTTGGTTGTTCGCGCTATTGTACGACAGGATGATGTTTAAATCGGGGTCACACTCAACTCACTCATAGTTGTGTAGCTCACCTTTGGTGGAGTGCCCTCGATGGTGACCACTGTGACGGAAGCGGAGTTTGACCTCGTGCTGCCCCCGCTAGACTTGCTGACTGTCAGTGTGAAGACGTAGGTTTTTCCTCCCGATAACCGGGACGTCGCCATCGTCAGTGTTGCTGTAGTACGCTCAGACGATGTCGGGAAGGTAGCTCCGGTAGGGTCTAGGCATGTCGCTGTTGTTGACTAAAAAATAAATATAGATGTGAAAATGGGATTTGTATTTGTATCAAATTGACTTACAGTGAGTGGAAATAATGTATGTGGATATTTGCGTTTAAATACTCTCCTAAGAAATGCATTGATGGTAACAAAATCGTATATTTGTGATTGGAAAGTATACCATTTGGTTACTTCATGAAAATAAAATTTAAATGTTATCTTGTGTTTAAAATTGTTCGTAACTGATTCATTGTCTTTGATAAGTAATATCGATTACCCTGAGTCATGGAATGTGTCATGTGTTTTAGTGTGCAGGTTAATGATATAGGGAACGTTCTGCATACCGTTAAGTCGACAGATTCTTTGGAGGAAGTGTCACATAAATATATGATATATGCACCATGACACTACCTCCAACGAATCTCTCGACTGTTTGTACCAAACAGCGGTTATAACGGAACATTATGTCGATACGTCCTCCATGTACGTTACACTGTTCGTTCAGTCGTTCGGATCCGCCCACTTCTTCTTTGAAGAAATAGAAGGGATTTGTCACTCAGCCATACATACATTTACACGTTTGTTATGTACATGGTGCTGGAATACCGTTGACTGCGGCGTAAAACAATACAGACATGAGCACACATCTTACCGATAACTGCTCGACGCATGACCACTCGTACTTAAGGCTACCAGAAGCGCCATCTGGGTCTAGGGAACCACTTCCGTCCAGTGAAAGCTGACCTGTCTGCGTTCCTATGGTAACTGTGTCCGACCCTGGAACCAACAATCCCAGTATGTTATTTTTATCATACAAACAGGTGGCCCCCGGCTTGCAGTGGCAAAATATGCAATACATTCTTGTCATGGTCCATGCTAATCAGATCTCGTACTCGATGGAAATCTTCAATTCTAAATCTCCCAGCCTACACAAAACCTTCAACATATGTTATATTTGGGAGCCAAACTCGCTGTGGCTGAGCGGGTTAGGCGGCTGACTTTCTGTGCTGGCGATTTGGTGCCTGACTCTGAGGGTGTGGGTTCGAATCCCGGATGGGACGGAAACACCAAAAAGTACTAGTATTTGTACTTTCCTAAGAAAGTGTAATCCCAAATATAACATATGTTGCATTTGATAACTTTCTAAATGGCATTGTGTAATCACTAAACAAAACCTGGAATTAATTTAGATCAAAACACAGTCATTATCAATACAGAAATCACCGACAACAAAACAAACTCAAAAGAATCAAAACGGGAAACTTTCACTGAAAACCACGTATTCTTGGAAATTTGGGAATTTTAAAGTTTATTACCGTTCATTCTATGTTTTCTCCAACATGAAAAAAAAGTATTTCTCAGTTTTACGGTAACCATTGGCTGTCAGTGTAATCATGACTTGCCATATGTATTAACCTACACACGTGATCCAAGAATAACCCTGAGACATATTTTTTGAAAACAGTTCATTCTAGGATTCCGACTACATTAAAAGCATGTGTTTCTCTCTTCAAACTGTTAATGACACCGGGTGTTCCAGCTCCTAGATGTCGTGTGGGTATACCATAAGCTGACGCCGTGAACCAAAACCTTAGCATGTACATTAAAGTTTTTAAAGTTGCCCGTTTAATTATATGTTTTCATACCCGTGAAGATCCGGGTTAGAATTTATCTTCAGTAACCCATGCTCGTCGTAAGAGACGACTAACGATCGGGTGGTCAGGCTCGCTGACTTGGTTGACACATGTCAATTGCGTAGATCGATGCGCATGCTGTTAATCACTGGATTGTGTGACCGTAGCCATACGATTGGAATATTGTGGCGTAAAACTAAACTCATTCAATACATGTTTTGAGAAAAGGTAAGTACACTTCAAGTGTGCTGTGGTGATTCTTAAGAGGATAGACATTTATGAGACGCTTCTTTCACTTTCGAATGCCAGCGTGTCCACTAAATAGCGATCAGCGCCACTTTTGCACAAGATTTCTAACCTTATGTACACATTCTCAGTTTCGATTTTAGAAATATATATTAAATACAGATCTTGTAAAAATATTGGGGTTTCTCTTGTTTGCATATCTTAACGAATTTGAATTTGTCCTGAACGTCTAAATTACAGATCGATGACATCATCTAATCGAGGTAATGGGTAGAATGCAGGGAAATATGTTTGTCCACGTGGCATTTCAGATCTTTTTACCTCCAGTTGACAATGGCATATATAGATATATAGAAATGACCATCATGACAAGTATTCGCGATCGTGAACGAGTGATGCGAAGTCCCGCTAAATAATCCAAAAACTTTTCACAGACAAAAGCCGTTCTCTTGGTAACGCAATGCTGTTCATCGCGACAGAATTTTGTCACAGTTCTTTATAGGTAACGCGCCTATGTAACTCTAGCTGTTATTGTTCGTAACGATTTAGTACTAAATTCCGAAACGACAAGGTTGCACTTTGCAGGAAACCTTGTGTTTCCAATACCTTTAGATGTGAGTCGGTGCTCTCTACACCTTTTCATCCCCACTCATTCGACTCTCGCAAAACATGGATGTTTTACCTTTGATGGAAGCGACTAGAGCCGTTGACTTGGTAACGAGTGAGATGGAAGCTGCAACTGTCCTGGTGGTGTCGCTGGCCAGTGATACCGTCACTGTCGCCGTCACTGTAACGTCACCTGGAACCAAAACACACACTATGATGCTAATTATCAAGGTGAGTAGAAATAACTAAAGATATAATAGCAGCGAAATAATCATCTCCATAAATATTATAATTGTTTTGTAAAAACTGCCCATTGTACGATTCCGGCTGTCGTGAACATGTGTTGTTGAAAGAAAATAACTTTCCACGAAAAAAAGATCATTTCCTGGACAAACAGATATCAACGTCATTAAACAACTTGTGACAATGTCATTAACTATTTTCAAACAATGGCCATAACGAAGACATATATCACGTTCCAAATTGAAGTAATATCATTAAAACAATTCATTACATATTATTGTTTTAAAACAAATTTAAACAACGTGATTAAATTATGTGAAACGTAGTTACTCTTCAGCTGGAAACAATGTCAAGAAAGAACCAGCGTTAGTTCGTTATTGGCCAAATGGTGATTATTGATCAAGGTCGTTGTAAGCTAGGGTTTAGGTCCTAAAGTTAGTTGCGTCCCTTGGGCCTGACTGAAACCTATGATCTTATTTCTTAGTAGTTCCCGATTCCACCTGATCATGTTTCTATTTTGCATAATATTATTAAATATTCATAAGTATTTGCAATATTTGATTTCCGGTCCTAGGTATAATGAAATAAAGGTCATGTCATATTTCTAAGGTGGATTCATTAACAGGTCGTGCGGATTGACGAGGTTACTTTGTACCCAGTTCCTGCCACCTCACCTGGAAGGTCTCCGGTACGGACGTTGTACACCCTGCGTGTCTGGTCGACGGTGTTGATGTTGACGCGGGAGTCACTGAAGGTCCACGAGAACAAGAGCGTGTCGTCCACACAGCTCGTCAGCTTAGCATTCGCTGTCAGTTCAAAACTGAAAAAACACACAAATAATGATGGCTTTGTTGAGACACGACTATGCGGTGGAGTGTGTTGGGTTTTTGCGGGGAGATTCGACATTTTAGTTACAACGACAAACAAGATAAAACGATGAGCGTAAATACTCTTTCAAAGAAAAATCACAGCAACAATAGTATTACATCTTTAGGCATCATTTTTATAGATGGTCGGGAAGTCCTAGCCTCTCCAGAATTTCACATGCTCGGTGCTTTAGAGATAATTCAAAATGTGAAATTGGAATAAAACAACAGCACTGCACTGACCCCTCGGACACCAGAACGTTGGAGGTATCAACACCAGCCGTAACGTAGACGTCGGGAATGGCCGTCGTAAGCTTCTGCACGGTCAAGGTCGGGGTAGTGTCGCACTCGTTCATGAAGTTACACACAGTCACGGTGACAGTGTACGTCGATCCGCTCATTGTGCCGGTGACGGAGAGACTAGCTGTGCTTTGCCCGGCTACAACACGAAGACAGCGTCAAGGAACCAGTATATCAAGGTCTTAAACACTCAGAAACAAAGAGGGGCGCAGGGGTAGCCTAGTGGTTAAAGCGTTCGCTCGTCATGACGAAGACCCGGGTTCGATTCCCCACATGGGTACAATGTGTGAAGCCCATTTCTGGTGTTCCCTGTCGTGATATTGCTGAAATATTGCTAAACGCGGGGTAAAACTAAACTCACTCACTCACTCAGAAACAAAGATCATTATCAGGGCGATTGTAGCATTCACATCCCCTTCTATCAGGAAACGTGGTAATGTTTTCTAAACTGTTTTGTTTCACACACAGATCGTGTTACTCTAACCTCCAACATTCACACACAGTTCGTGTTACTCTCATCTTCAACATTCACACACAGCTCGTGTTTAGTCCCACCTCCAACATTCAAACACAGTTCGTGTTACTCTCACCTCCAACATTCACACAAAGATCGTGTTACTCTCACCTCCAACATTCACCCACAGTTCGTGTTACTCTCAACTCCAACATTCACACAAAGATCGTGTTACTCTCACCTCCAACATTCACAAAGATCGTGTTACTCTCACCTCCAACATTCACACACAGTTCGTGTTACTCTCACCTCCAACATTCACACAAAGATCGTGTTACTCTCACCTCCAACATTCACACACAGTTCGTGTTACTCTCAACTCCAACATTCACACAAAGATCGTGTTACTCTCACCTCCAACATTCACACAAAGATCGTGTTACTCTCACCTCCAACATTCACACACAGTTCGTGTTACTCTCACCTCCAACATTCACACAAAGATCGTGTTACTCTCACCTCCAACATTCACACAAAGATCGTGTTACTCTCACCTCCAACATTCACACAAAGATCGTGTTACTCTCACCTCCAACATTCACACAAAGATCGTGTTACTCTCACCTCCAACATTCACACACAGTTCGTGTTACTCTCAACTCCAACATTTACACACAGTTCGTGTTACTCTCACCTCCAAAATTTACACACAGTTTGTGTTACTCCAGTGTGACATCAGTGGTCAGTGTGTGTTACTACTTACTGAGAGTGAGTCCGGTTGATGGGGACACTGCCCAGGTGTAGGTCAGCGCCCGACCCCCACCACCAAAGCTTCCGAGGGCATCCACGGACAGGTCACTGCAAGTGCCGAGTTGGCTTGGTCCCCGGATCATACCGGTAGGTTTGAGAGGGTTACTCCCCTTGGCTAGTGTGATCGTTCCACTGGCAGCAATGGCATACGTTTCCCCAAAGGCTTTGACGGCTCCAGTCTTTAGAGTCAAGCTGCTGTCTGATAATCAAGAAATAAAGATTATTACACGAGCAAGTGTGTCATACACAATTTTGGACAAGTTTCGTATAAGTCTTGTGGCACACTTGCGAGTGTAATGCTTTCTTTATTATCCATTTTATTCATGTACATTTGTGCAGTAAAACATGGTAAACAAGTGTGACTGCCTTGTTCATTGACGTCACGTTCAATTGTTTAATGATCTAAAATGTATACTCTTCCGCCATTTCCACAAGCACTGAATAATATTCGGCCGGAATAACAGCGGTGTAAAACAATACATACTCACTCTAACACTCTCTTATCGGGTTGGTTCCATAGACAATCTGTGTTAACTACATCAATAAAAATGTCTTTTTAAAATCTTTCAAATTCTAAGCAAGCGTCACGCCGAAGACCGGGTTCGATTCCCCACATGGGTATAGCGTCATGCCAATTTCTGGTGTCCCCCTCCGTGATATGCTGGAATATTGCTACAAGCGGCGTAAAAGTAAATTCACTCCCTACTGGCATCATAGTCTTACCTATAGCCGCTGTCGTACTTTCAATCAGCATGATGGTCCGAGATTGGAAGGAACATGTCGCAGAGGATCCGAGTGACGACACATCCTGGAACACCGCTGCACAGGAAGTGAGACTGGCTGTGGCCACAGGCGCACTAAATGTCACAACCACCTTTTCACCTGCAAGAAACAATAGCCTGTTGCAGTATTTATGTGACACGGTTAGCTAATACCCGTCTTACAATGAGGTACCGATGCGATTAGTGTGAGGCAAGGGCGGCCCATCCTCGTATCAATAATACATACTGCCTTTGCTGTCACGTTAACTTCATACCGAAGGTCAGCAGGATACAGAATCATTTATAACGGAACAGTTATACATAGTTCATTTAGTGTAGGCGCGATAGGGTAGCCTAGTGGTTAAAGCGTTCGCTCGTCATGCCGAACACCCGGGTTCGATTCCCCACATGGGTACAATGTATGAAGCCTATTTCTGGTATCCCCCGCCGTGATACTGCTGGAATATTGCTCAAGGCGGCGTAAAACTAAACTCAGTCACTCACTTATTAGTGAGTGAGGTAAAATATCAAGTCCCTTTGGCAATATTTCAGCCATATCGTGACTCACTGAGTGTAGGGGACGGGTGACTCTGCCATCCTTGACGACAAAGTGCAATGTACAGTGTCACGTTCTTTAGTGTCACGTTCACGGATCCGTTAATTGGGAATTCGAATCCCTGGGTCCCCCTCCACAAAGCGTTCGTAGCGCTACGACATTCGTAATTCTATGATAAAGTATAGAGTTACGACATGTCGTAACGTTATGAGCGTTTTGTGGATCGGGACCCAGATATATTTCTTACTTTGTCAGGAGATTATCAGGATTGTACCTGAAGTGACCTGCTGTCTGTGTCACGTGACGTTCCTTGCATGGTATGCTGTCACACCGTGACTGAAATACCACTGCAAGCGACGTTACATGCCACTCACTCACTCATGCAGTGTGAACTACATTGCGGTGATCATGGCTGTGTTTAACAAACAGGTGCATTTCTCTGAACACCTGGTGTCATCACATATTTTCAGTGATTCATTCATGTAACATCTTGCATTGTACGCATAACAGAATCAGATTCGGTATATTCGGTACCCAAATGGACAACAATTCTCTGTCATTTTTCTACCCCGGAGCCGACAATGTTCAAGTTGTAGGACGACTGTTTGTGCCCATGTACATAATCTTGACCAGACAATCCAGTGATTGATATTATGAACAACGAGTCTGACCATCGTGTCCACTAAATCATATAATACCGTACATGGAATGTCAAATAGAGGGTCATAGGGTTAGCTTAGGCTTGGGGTTGTTAACATTTTGTACCTGAGTTGGTGAAGGCGGCGGTGGCGGTGGGGGCTGCAGCCTGTGCCGTCACTGTGGTGTCGCTGGCGAGTTTGTCCACCTTGTTCAGACTCAATGCTACCAATATTTGAGATGACGTCGCCGGATGCGTGACGTCACATGCAGCATTACTGCCGTCGGTGACACTTGCAAGGAAGGTAGTTTCTGCAGCCGCTCCCACTGAAACCAGAACATACAAACATCCGTAATATTTGTTTAGTAATTTGAGAATAGTAATTTCTTAGCTTGAATTTGTAATCATTTGTAAGCTTGTTTTTTCAGAATATTTGTTAAATGAATAACATTTCAAGGTTGGTTTCGCGGAATGGTTTTAGGGACTGATGCCCGGTTAACCTGAGCATCCACAGATAACATATACATGAGTGAGTTTAGTTTTACGCCGCACTCAGCAATATTCCAGCTATATGGCGGCAGTTTGTAAATAATCGAGCCTGGACCAGACAATCCAGTGATCGAGAGCATGAGCATCTTTCATGATAGAACAGTGATTCTTTGCGTGTTCCGAGTTGTATATCATGGTGGTGTACAGTACCTTTAACGTGGCAATAGGTGTGGTTGACAACGAAGCCAGATCCCACGAATGCTAGAGACTGGGTCGATCCGGATATAGTGAACTGGGTAGGGGTCACAGAGGTCACGGTAGCACCTGTTGCGATCAAAACAAAATATCAGAGTTAGTAGGTGGGAGATAAATGTTGGTTAATCAGCATTCCATTCTTAAGTTCAGGTTGACGTGAGTGGGTTTAGTTTTACGCCGCACTCAGCAATATCACACTATATGACGGTAGTCTGTAAATAATCGAGTCTAGACAAAAAAATGCAGTGATCAACATAATGAGCATCGATCAACGCAATTGGGAACCGATGACATGTGTCAACCAAGTCAGCGAGCCTGACCACCCGATCCCGTTAGTCGTCTCTTACGGCAAGCATGGGTTGCTGAAGACCAATTCTAACCCGGATCTTCACGGGTCCAATCGAAACAAATTTATTAGAGTTAGTGGGTGTGAGATAAATGTTGGTTAGTCAACATGACATTACATTCCGGTTAAGGTGGGATGAACTTACAGAAACATAGTATAGACTAGTCTGTCTCAGCTGCTGACCCATATGTATACCTTATGCCCAGCCCTTTCCGTAATGCAAAGTCTTGAATGACGTGCAGATTGTCCTCAGGTTCAGGATCTCAGCTTTTACACATGGTTATTTGTTTCTATCAAACTTATACAGTTTCAGGCAGAATACAACTTTATTATATACCCATGTAAACTTAGGCTAGTAGTACAGGGGCGCATTGACTAACAACTAGTCTCTGAAATGAACATATTTTACTGAAAAAAGTTCATAGTAAAAAAAATATATATATAATGAAAAGGAGCCCTGAGACTTTCGTCATTTCAAGCTGAGGAAATCTAGACTTGCCACATTTTCTAGACTTGTGTGGGCTTTCTTGGATATATTTGCTTCAGGGTCTGTACGACAGACTAAGGGGCGCAATACGGATGACGTCATCAGATTCCGTATTGAACCTCTGCCAGGTCTACATTGCTACGCTATGTTTTGTTGCATTAAGTAACAGATTAATGCAAGATAAGAGGGTATATAATAAATCTAGAACGTCATACTAGTGCATTTGGATCTTTTGTATTGAGCTCGAAGATATCATGGGAGCAGAGAAACAACCCGTTCTTCTTTATATTTATATCACCCCATGGGCCCAATCCACAAAACGTTCGTTGCTCTATGGCATTCGTATGCCTGTGATAAAGAACAGAGCTACAATAGATCGTAACGTTACGAACGCTTCGTGGATGAGGACCAAAGGGAAGGTTCTGAAGCCGGTCTCTCAGATGACGTCCAGATGGAATTAGCTCCGACCAAAACGAATGCTGCAGTTTAAATGTATTGTGGACCGAGTTCCAGGACTAAAAACTGTTCAACGACATCCTGCGTAAATCGATGCTACAGACGTGAATCAATGAATTGCCATTTTCAATTGTTTACAAATCGCCGCCATATTGATGGAATGCAGTGCGACGTTAAATTAGCAAACAAACAAACATGTTCATAATGTAATCGGAATTATTATACAATCGACTCCGATTTTAGGCGAGATATGGAAAGAGGTTTGTCGCTTTTATTTACTTACTTGAAGCATACACTGTCACAGTGGCCGTGCTGTTGGCTAAGGCTTGTCCCGAACCTAGGCGACACGATATCGTGTACGTAGCTGAAACAGAAAAATGAGAAATTGATATACTCACAGTAATAAATAAAGGAACATGCACACAAAGGAAAGCAGAGTGTTTCGGGGCATGACCCATAGTATATGAACGTGTATCTAAATCTATGTCTCATATATCTATGGAATGCCTCTCAATGAAGTATGTTTTACTATCTGCGTTTTGTTGTTTCACCCATATAGATGTCAATATAGGCTGGATGTCTGACATAATTATTGGAAAATATCTACTCAAATAATGGCAATCTTATACATCCTTTAATGAAATAAGTCTTGCGATTCGTTTTCTCCTGACAGGACCGATTTAATTCGAATAAGTTTGTATTAGGTTAGGTTGGTCCAAGAGAATGGGTCGTGTTGACTGTCAGAGAATGATTCCATGGAATGACATCGGGGAAAATAGCTAAGAACTTGAGGTGTTTCATAAAGTCCATGAATCCTGTGCGTGTTTGGTTAGTGCTTGTAAACCTACCTGCAGCTAGAGCGGGAAGAGATATGGTGACTTCTTGGGCAGTCTTTTGGGTGATGGTCAAACTGGTTGCAGCGTTTGTAGCCTGGTTGATGGCCACACACACTAACGCTGCCCCATTTAACCCCGCGCCGCCCACCTTGACAGTCTGTCAAAAAAAATTAAAATGAAAAGGCTATTTATAAGGCGCCTGTTTCCACACACTTGTGCATGCTCAAAGCGCTAACACATTTATTACCCCGGATAACCCAGGCTGCCTGTGAGGCGCTAGAAGGTTATAGTCACATGATTTATTCCACCGGGTACCCATTTTCTGCTGGGTGAACAGAGGCAATTTTGAACAAACTCACTTGCCTAAGGTGAGACCATATGTATCACATGTGCTTCGTTGTGGGACAGGACTGAAGTCCCAGACACTCTCAGGGGTCAAGCTCACGAACACGGTCACCCATCCAAGGACTCTCCGCGCCCAGTGTTGCTTAACTTCAACTAATTTGTGGCCAGAGCTCTATGCACAGGACAACACACCAGACAACATGTATCACGCGTGAAATATATAATATTATGGTAAAAAGCAACGTGTGACTCCATCAGTTATATTCACGTGTGACTGAGTGGTTGACAACGTTCTTACCAATGTCCCAGCCAACGCGTGAGGTGAAAATGAATGGAATTTACGGATTTACCCGTGATGGGAATCAGACCACGACCATTGGCATGAAGAGCAGATGTTTTAACCATTGGACTACCCCTCCGATCCTTAACACCAGTTATGCAGTGCTAAAGTTGTGAATCTTACCCTTGCGGTTTGTGCTGGGACGTAGTCGAGGCTAACCGACGTCACAGCGAGACAGGAAGTGCCGTCCCCATTGCACAACCCGCATGCGTCGAGAACCTTTCCTCTGAAATGGTAGAAACATTGTCGAATGAAAGATCGAAACAATTTAAACAGTTTAAATTTGCAAATTGTGTTCATGCACTGCTTAAAACTGCTGAGCGACAGATTGGTATTGTCTCGTCCAATTTTATCTGCCTAAATAGTTGTATTAGGACTAGTATTTTATCATAGCTTGTTCGTATGAGTGCTGCTATGTATGAGTAGGTATTTAACGTAAGGGATGAAGATCGACTTCCAGCGTCTACTCGGCTTCCGACTTCATCACGAAAATATCATATACTGTGTAGAAGTCAAAGAAGGAGAAATTATACATTTTAGGAGTCAAAGATTCGTTTCACGGCGGCACACAGAGAGAGAGAGAGAGAGAGAGAGAGAGAGAGAGAGAGAGATGCAGACAGACAGAGAGAGAGAGACACAGACAGAGAGACACAGAGAGACAGACCTTCTCTTTCACACACTCTCTCTGTCTCTCATTCTCTCTCTCTTTCTCTGCTATGGGTGCAGGCAAACTGCCTTATAGGCAAATGTATACAACAACTATATGATTACACAGACCATAGATATATCATGAAACGATGTCATCTGCATGCAAATAGGGTGCTGAGGGTTTATAAGAAGCAAACATTCATATTCCTAAATGTGACGTTACTAACTAGTCCTGGAGAATTCTTAAAGCATGTGCTAAGTTTGTTGCTTAAAGCTGCTCTCTGCAATATGTCTTTAATACAGCAGGCAGCCAAAAAATTTGTGATTGACATCATGAGCACCGATCTGCACAAATGGGATACAATGTCATGCATCATCCATGTGCGTGAAGTATGACCATCAAGTCCTGTTAGTTGCCTCTTACAACAAGGGTCGGTGAAGACCGGATCTTCCAAAGATGTTTATTTTAAAACAAGATTTACAGTCCGAGTAAATGTGGAATACCAACCAGCACTCACCAGGATTTGCTCAGGTACACGATGCTTCACGTGAGTTCTTGGCCACCCCCCACCCCCCGACAGTATGTTGAGAAATCTCTTAGGCAACACAAGTCAGGCGTGAGACAACCAATATGCAACGTCAAGCCTTTTCCAAGAAATTGCACTCAGTTGAAACATGTTTTAGCGACTCAACAACCATTGTTTGGAATGGGGACGATCAATTGGATTATGTGGTTACAATTACACCGCCCCTTTGCTTTAGAAAACGACCAAGCGCAGCGTGTTAAATTTCTAAACATCGATTTGCATGATTTGGTCCAGACATGTGATATGGCAGCAGCATTAAAGGTACAAGGCGAGTGTTGCTGGTGTTTGCTTGTCAAGTATTAGTCACATAACATCACAGTTATATTGAGTGTTTGTTGTTAAATGCCGCAATGATGATGATGATGATTATGATAATGATGATGATGATGATGATGATGATGATTTTGGAGTTTTGAGTGCCCTTTCTGACCAGAGACGATATATGGTCTCTGATGTGACACCATCTGACATAACACAGTTATATTGAGTGTTTGTTGTTAAATGCCGAAATGATGATGATGATGATGATGATGATGATGATGATGATTTTGGAGTTTTGCGTGCCCTTTCTGACCAGAGACGATATATGGTCTCTGATGTGACACACCCATCTGACAATAGTGTATCGCCGAACATCACGTGACCAGAGACGATATATGGTCTCTGATGTGACACACCCATCTGACAATAGTGTATCGCCGAACATCACGTGACCAGAGACGATATATGGTCTCTGATGTGACACACCCATCTGACATAGCATCGCCGAACATCGTGACCAGACGATAATATGGCTCTGATCGCCGAACATCACGTGACCAGAGACGATATATGGTCTCTGATGTGACACACCCATCTGACAATAGTGTATCGCCGAACATCACGTGACCAGAGACGATATATGGTCTCTGATGTGACACACCCATCTGACAATAGCGTATCGCCGAACAGCACGTGACCAGAGACGATATATATGGTCTCTGATGTGACACCCATCTGACAATAGCGTATCGCCGAACATCACGTGACCAGAGACGATATATATGGTCTCTAATGTGACACCCATCTGACAATAGCGTATCGCCGAACATCACGTGACCAGAGACGATATATGGTCTCTGATGTGACACACCCAGTTGACAATAGCGTGTTGCCGAACATCACTTGACCAGAGACGATATATGGTCTCTGATGTGACACACCCAGTTGACAATAGCGTATCGCCGTCTAGCACACTCGACGAGCGATGTGTTTCTTTAAAATATTGATTCCACTTTAAGTCGGCGTTATGTTGTTTTTTTAAGACAGTGATTCCTCGATAGATAGCGCGACAATGAACAATGCTGGGAGGCTACACTGTGAACTAAATCAAGGTTGACAATTGTTCGTGAGGAATACGTCTCAAGCGGATTAGAACATATAATATACATGTGTTGACAGGTTCTCATCACCGCGGCGACTTTCAAATTGAATTCAATTGATGTAAAACTTCATGGGGATCAGGACAACAAAAAACAACTTCCCTATGGACAACAGAAATGACGGAAGGACGACTTTTGTCATTTCCAAGGGAATATATATATGGATGCGATGACTGATAAACAAATTATTATATTTGTCAAAATTGAGTAGATCATTTAAAAGATAAAGTGACACCGCAGATGTATTTAAGAGCGTGTGAGCTGAAATGTGGCATATTGACTAGTTCATTAAATTATTCATGATTTTGACTAAATTTGGAAACACTGTGAAGCAGGATCTATTGACAGTATATAGTAACCTTTAGCTAAAGTCGATAAAGATATGCATGATTTGTAATGTGTCTCGATGGAAGAACTCAAACAAAACACTTTTGTACCTGTTTGATTAAAGGTAAGCACTCGAACTGCGCCACGCTACCTGAACAGATCCAATTCTTCTTATCGTAATAGCATGTCTCTGCAAATGCTTGATTGCATATGGACCTTAATTTTTCAAAGAAATCAGCCATGTCTAACTTACAGATATCTCTCGAGGATGAATTAGTTTACAATCAATATAGTTCTTGAAAAAGAAAAGTACGTGCTGCAACACGATTGTCTGAGTCAAGGTGATTTGTGATTATTTGTTCAACGCATCCCTAAGAAACATTCCTACTGTGTGATATCGGGCTGTAAGTCTGGAGATAAGAATCCCAGGATTGACTTAATGAACCTCAACCTACACAATGACGCATGATACAAAGACCTGTATCTCGCTTGTCAAAGCCCCACCGCTCAATTCCGACAAGCTCATCGCCTCCAGTAACAAACAAAGACCACATTCTTCGTGGGGGTAAACATGTTTATACTAGACATTTAAAAGTCACATGTCAACCATTATTAATAACACGGATACAATGTATGTGTACTGACTTACTGCATACAATCTATGAAAATGATATTCAGGTAAAGGGGGTGTTTGGTGTTGATAGCTCTTCAGATAACGTTGAAGTATGAAGGATCTGTTCTGACTTGGAGTAAGTGAGTGAGTGAGTTTAGTCTTACGCCGCACTCAGCAATATTCCAATCATATGGCAAAGGTATATAAATAATCGAATCTGGACCAGACAATCCAGTGATCAACAACATGAGCATTGATCTACGTAATTGATATACGATGACATGTGTCAACCAAGTCAGCTAGCCTGACCACTCGATCCCGCTAGTCGCCGCATGGGTTACTGAAGATCAATTCTAAGCCGGATCTTCACGGGAGATCTGACCTGGAATCACCCAAGGGAGTAGACAACGTTATACACACTGTTTTGTGTATATTAGCTGAGTGTATTGTCATATAATTGTCAGCTCATTTAGAACCGGCCTTAAAGTAAATAAAGAATAGTTGATGCATTTCCATATGAATACATTATCGCATTTAGAAAGTGGTGAAATAGCCCGATGGCTGAGTGGGTTAGATCGCTGACTTTGCGTGCTGGCGACCAGGTGCAAAGGTACTTAAAGAATTGGTTCGAATCCCGAATGGGACGCAACCTAAATAAGTACCAGAATCTGTACTTTACTGAGAAAGTGTAGTCTGAAATATAACGTATGTTACCTTTTCTAAGTTATGTGACCCGTGAAGGTCCGGGTTAGAATGAGCCTTCAGCAACCCATGCTTGTCGTAAGAGACGACTAACGGGATCGGGTGGTCAGGCTTGGTTGACACATGTCATCGGTTCCCACATGGCATCGGTTCCCAATTGCGCAGATCGATGCTCGTCCAGACTCGATTATTTACAGACCGCCACCATATAGCTGGAATATTGCTGAGTGCGGCGTAAAAGTAAACTCACTCACTCTATAAGTTATGTAACCGTGTATTCCTGAACATATTAGAAAGCAACGGCATATTGCTTTCACACCTACGCTGCACCTACGCTGATACTCTTATTTAATTACATGCACCAAAAGTATCTTTAAACACACGTGAAACCAGTGACATATTGCGTTCACCTGCGTCACACGTAGCTTGTAGCTATCGATCTACGTTCTGGTCGATGCGCCTATACAACGACACCCCGGGAATCCGGACATCTGTGGTCAGCGAATCTCGCCGTCACAACTAAATACAGAGAAATCCATACAAATCGTAGGGTAATCTTGCAATGTCAGCTTCGTGACAACTTCACTGGAACGATTAAAGTTACTGAGCCAAGTTAATAATTCATCCAGTTCATGTAAATCGATTGGTAACGTGTTGCTGAACCTACGCCGTATGCAAACTGATCCTGACTTGATGTGGGGGACTAGGAAAGGACGGTGGAGTGGGGAGAGGGTGGGGTTTGGGGTGCCCGCGTGTTTGGAATCGAAACAATAGCCCACTTCAGCTAATTTGTCGTTGACAATATAACACGGATATATAAATTAAAACATCATATCATAGATACGTCATACATATATGTGTTTCTGCAGGCCTCATAAATACCTCATACGTGTGTTCCTGCATACATCATAGATACGTCATACGTGTGTTCCTGCATATATCATAGATACCTCAAACGTGTGTTCCTGCAAATATCATAAATACGCCATACATGTGTTCCTGCATACATCATAAATACCTCATACGTGTGTTCCTGCATACATCATAAATACGTCATACAAGTGTTCCTGCATACATCATAGATACGTCATACATGGGTTCCTGCATACATCATAGATACGTCATACATGGGTTCCTGCATACATCATAGATACGTCATACATGTGTTCCTGCATACATCATAGATACGTCATACATGGTGTTCCTGCATACATCATAGATACGTCATACATGGGTTCCTGCATACATCATAGATACGCCATACAAGTGTTCCTGCATACATCATAGATACGTCATACATGGGTTCCTGCATACATCATAGATACGTCATACATGTGTTCCTGCATACATCATAGATACGTCATACATGGGTTCCTGCATACATCATAGATACGCCATACAAGTGTTCCTGCATACATCATAGATACGTCATACATGTGTTCCTGCATACATCATAGATACATCAGTGTTCCTGCATACATCCTAGATACGTCATACATGGGTTCCTGTATACATCATAGATACGTCATACAAGTGTTCCTGCATACATCATAGATGCATACATCATAGATACATGTGTTCCTGTATACATCATAGATACGTCATACATGTGTTCCTGCATACATCATAGATACGTCATACATGTGTTCCTGCATACATCATAGATACGTCATACATGTGTTCCTGCATACATCATAGATACGTCATACATGTGTTCCTGCATACATCATAGATACGTCATACATGTGTTCCTGCATACATCATAGATACGTCATACATGTGTTCCTGCATACATCATAGATACGTCATACATGTGTTCCTGCATACATCATAGATACGTCATACATGTGTTCCTGCATATATCATAGATACGCCATACGCCATACATGTGTTCCTGCATACATCATAGATACGTCATACATGTGTTCCTGTATATGTCATAGATACGTCATACATGTGTTCCTGCATACATCATAGATACGCCATACATGTGTTCCTGCATACATCATAGATACGCCATACATGTGTTCCTGTATATGTCATAGATACGTCATACATGTGTTCCTGCATATATCATAGATAGTCATACATGTTTTCCTGGATACATCATAGATACGTCATACAAGTGTTCCTGCATACATCATAGATACGTCATACAAGTGTTCCTGTATATATCATAGATAGTCAAACATGTGTTCCTGTAAATATCATAGATACGCCATACATGTGTTCCTGCATACATCATAGATACGCCATACATGTGTTCCTGCATACATCATAGATACGTCATACATGTGTTCCTGCATAAATCATACATACGTCATACATGTGTTCCTGTATATGTCATAGATACGTCAAATATGTGTTCCTGCATATACCATAGATACGCCATACATGTTTTCCTGCATACATCATAGATACGTCATACATGTGTTCCTGCATAAGTCATACATACGTCATACATGTGTTCCTGTATATGTCATAGATACGTCATACATGTGTTCCTGTATATGTCATAGATACGTCAAACATGTGTTCCCGTATCTATCATAAATACGTCATACATGTGTCCCTGTATCTATCATAGATACGTCAAACACGTGTTCCTGTATATATATATGTGTTTGCAAATTTCCAAATACGTGGTGCAGCTTGTACGTCAGAGCATAGTGCTGTATATGCCAACTAGTCATTACGACCAGTCTGTAAATAGAAAATACATAATGTCCGCGTTATGCAGACTTTGGTATAACGAGTATTTCATTAGGAATTCTAGATATATCAGCAGAGTCGTTTATGCACAGACTTCGGTAAAAGAAGACGGCCCACAGCATAATGAAGACTTGGTGCATAAATTCGCAATAATGGACGTGATGAAACCAGACCTCGATAATGAAAATCAAGATGTAGATTGAACTAATTCATCTGTAGAGGTATTGCTTCTACATCTGCGGCAAAAAAAATCCAGGAAATAAACAGAACATCTAAGTAAACAGAACTGCGGCTGCCCATAGCAACCAACAGGCACCACACTACATGCGATGTGGCAATTCATGTTTGAAGATAACCCAAATACCTGTCCCAGATACACAAACAGGGATGGCTCCACGGTTACATACCGGACAACGAGAAGAAAAACAATGAATCATTAATCAATCGACATTCTTGTAATCAACTAGCAGGAAATCAATCACTTACCTGGGACAGTGTATTGCAATGCTTGTATATTTCATGTTTGTAACGAGGGCTTGCGTGTGGGGTACTAGATTTCGTGATAGCGGTCTTGTATGTATTTTGGGACCTCCGTAACGTTACTGAGGTAAATCGAGGTTTGTGAAATAAGATGTTCTTTTTGGAAAAACAAAATTAAAAAAAATATTCATCGATTTTACTTGTGGTCTACGTTCAACATGATACCAAAATAGACCGACATTTTTAAAGACTGATATAACCGATTATTTGCTAAAACACTTGTTGTTTATACATTTTTTAATATATAGAATCCCACAGAACCCGATCTCTGTCAAATCTCAACTCTGTCACTTGACGAAATGAATATCGTCAAAATCCCATCCCCACTCCCCCAATATGGAAAGCGCTGTTCTTAAATTAAGAACAGTTGCTGTATTTAAATTCACGTGGAAGGTTCTAAATCTTTTGTACACAATACTGTTCACTTCAGATGTATTGGCTGATATCCATATATTTTTACTGGGATAAATGAGTCCGGTGTTACGCCGCTTTTAGCACTATTCCAGCAATAAAACGACGGGGGACACCAGAAATAGGGGACACACGTTGTACCCATGTGAGGAAACGAACCCGGGCCTTCGGCGTGACGAGCGAACGTTTTAACCACTAGGCTACCCACAGACTTTCTATATGAACTGTAATTTATTTCAATTTTACGTGCGAATATATACAATACCTTTAACTTGGGTCATGTGATAACAGAACAAAACAAGACCACAGTCTATAATGTACACATTTCGTCTATGTAGAAGCTAGGTTTCGACACCGATTTCAGCAATGTTTCATGTTATTCCAGAATGTCACCTGAGAGAGGAAGAATCAAAGTGCCATGTCTCTGGTTGATCTCTTGAGGAAATGGTACGAGCACTGGTATGGTGCCGATAACTGAAGAATCTTAACTAGAGATCACTCCTGTCACCAGCAGCAGAGCCTGATACAACAAGGGGACATAACTCTACACGAAATGTCACTTAAGACGACCAGGCCACCAGTTACCTAAACTGTTTCTGGTCTTCAAGTCTGACACTGAGAGGTTTTACTTGAACAATGTTTGAGAAAGTATGGACTCCTAGAAGGGACATTGTCGCGTTGTCGCAGTTTGGTAAATTTTGCCACTGTTTGCTTGTTTTCGTGAGGGTGACAACGCGACAATGCGACAATGCGACAACGCGACAAAGTACCTTCTAGATTCCATAAGAAAGTGTAACAGGGCTAAACAAATCAGGTGATAACAAACAGGACCTGGTATGGTCATGGAGTAACGGAGTAACGGAGTACCTGACAACCACAACGAGTTAGTTCCTGCTGTTTTAAGCAGTGTTGCGTTAATCGATGATATCACGCACGGCGGGGTGTCTTCAGATGCAATCTGCACCAAACACACTTCTGTCGACATGACTCATTGAGCAATTAACAATATTACGCTCAACTAGCTTGGCAACTTTAACATTCTGCGCACACATTAAATTAAATATGGCGGACAGATGCAAGTCACTGGTGTTGACGTTAGAACATTTATCAGTCCTTCATCCTTCATCAGCTGAAGAAGGAGCAAGAGCAAACAGCTTATGTTCATTTGTATGTCAATTCTGAATAAGCAGAATCCAGCGTATTAGTCCTCAAAAGCGCTGCAAGATCTCCAGTGCCCCGTTCTTCAAAGCGATCGTAGCGCTACGACAGTCGTAAGTCTATGTTAAAGTATGGGAGTTACGATCACCTTAGCGCTACGATCGCTTTGAGGAACGGGGCCCTCGTCTCCAGCCTGAGGCGTGTCACAATCCTAAGAGAGCGGACTCGAACCCCAGTTCGACCTGATTATGCTCCCCACGTTTAGGAGCACACTCATCGTGTTCGTGGACTTCAACAAATTTCTACAACTTTCTCTCCGTCAATTTAACACGGTGTCTATATTTCAATGATACATTGTTCAGAGTGGTTCAAAATAAAATTCACTCACTCACTCCAAACTTTTGCTGACCTCCAATTCTATATTTACTTGACTGCGTTGTATTGTTTGGTATTGCATTGAAGTGTGTCATGGTGCTTCATGATGTCGGTCTTCGTGCTTTTTAACTGACATTATAACGAAATTCCACATTTCGATACATTGTTAAGGTTTGGGATGAATGATTTGCGTTAAATACAAAGAAGCTTCAGAAGTGGAATTAGACCTTAATCTGGATTAACAGTACTCACCCATTCGGAACACCGCTACAGTCAGAGCAGGTGGAGTTGTCGCCGTTACAGACGCCGCAAGCGTCCATCCCTCCGTTGCCGCATTGCCTGTCCGACCGCCGACACATATCAGACAGGTGTTGTTTGACGCCATCTGCGACAGTGTACCTGGTAAAGGGTGAGAAGGTAGATGTGTTACAGCAGGTGAGAAGGTAGAAGTGTTACACCAGGTGAGAAGGTATCAGTGTTGCAATAGGTGAGAAGGTAGAAATGTTACACCAGGTGAGAAGGTAGAAGTGTTACACCAGGTGAGAAGAAAGCAGTGTTACAGCAGGTGAGAAGGTAGAAGTGTTACAGCAAGTGAGAAGGTAGCAGTGTTACAATAGGTGAGAAGGTAGAAATGTTACACCAGGTGAGAAGGTAGAAGTGTTACACCAGGTGAGAAGATAGCAGTGTTACAGCAGGTGAGAAGGTAGAAGTGTTACAGCAAGTGAGAAGGTAGCAGTGTTACAATAGGTGAGAAGGTAGAAATGTTACACCAGGTGAGAAGGTAGAAGTGTTACACCATGTGATAAGGCAAAACTGTTACACCATGTGAGAAGGTAGAAGTGTTACACCAGGTGATAAGGCAAAACTGTTACACCATGTGAGAAGGTAGAAGTGTTACACCATGTGATAAGGCAAAACTGTTACACTAGGTAAGAAGGCAGAACTGTTACACCATGTGAGAAGGTAGACGTGTTACAGCAGGTGAGAAGGTAGCAGCGTTACAGCAGGTGAGAAGGTAGAAGTGTTACGCCAGATGGGTAGATAGAAGTGTCACACCAGGTGAGAAGGTAGCAGTGTTACACACAAAATAGGTGAGAAGGTAGAAGTGTTACACCATGTGAGAAGGTAGACGTGTTACAGCAGGTGAGAAGGTAGCAGTGTTACAGCAGGTGAGAAGGTAGCAGCGTTACACCATGTGATAAGGCAGAACTGTTACACCATGTGATAAGGCAGAACTGTTACACCGGGTAAGAAGGCAGAACTGTTACACCGGGTAAGAAGGCAGAAGTGTTACACCAGGTGATTAGGTAGAAGTGTTACACCAGGTGAGAAGGCTGAAATGTCATAGCAGGTGAGAAGGTAGTAGTGTTACACCAGGTGAGAAGGTAGAAGTTCTTGCACCAGGTGAGAAGGGAGCAATTATTTTGGCCAACAGTTGACAAGAACAGAACAGTCCGCGAAAAGCCGATGCAGTTTTATTCCTATAAGTTTAATAAGGAGCGGTAGGGGAGGCTAGTGGTTAGAGCGTTCGCTCGTCGTGCAGGAGCCTGGGTTCTATTCCCAAGATGTGTGCAATGCAATGGAGGTGTTTCACCATTCCTCTTGTCGGAATTGTGCTGAAAGCCGTTCGAATCCACACTCTCAACTAAACGGCATATTTCAGTATCTGACTAAAACACACACTATCACACACAATTGGTTGTACTCTCGCTTAATGGCGACACCCAATGTCTGCACCCTGCACCTCAAGGGATTAAGTCTGGAATATTCAATACGAAGGTCGATTTTCGATTGATGTACATCGCAATGTAGATGATTAAAAAATTGATTGTCCTTATTGAATTGAGGTTCCCATGACAGAATGTTATAGTTTATCGATTAACATGCAACAACGTGTCCTCTGCGTGTCGCAATCGGTAGCCAGAAGGAGTTCAGTGCTCGAGGTGTGCATGGTACACTGACGTGATTGTTCTACACAAACACGTGACGAGGTTCAGCTTATGTTAATGTGTCCACTGTTAAGTTAGTATATATTTATAAATCTATCAATATCGGTATCATGGAGGTCAAGGTATATACATGTACCACGGACACAAGTCAACATATTAAACATACAATTATTACTTCACTGAGAGCCTTCGTTGTGCTGTCAGGTACATATCACCTCGGTAAAATTTCAAGAAGTAATTCTAGGGACAATCTCAGGATAGTGGACAGGTATTTTATGTTGAAGCTTGTATTTGTGTTTCGAGAGAGAGATTTGTATGTATGTAGTACTGATATATATATGTGTGTCCTGTACAGCAGGTGAGAAGGTAGAAGTGTTGCAGCAGGTGAAAAGGTAGAAGTGTTACAGCAGGTGAGAAGGTAGAAATGTTACAGCAGGTGAGAAGGTAGCAGTGTTACAGCAGGTGAGATGGTAGCAATGTTACACCAGGTGAGATAATAGCAGTGTTACAACAGGTGAGAAGGTAGAAATGTTACACAAGTGAGAAGGTAGAAGTGTTACAGCAGGTGAGAAGGTAGAAGTGTTACGCCAGGTGATATGGTAGAAGTGTTACACAGGTGAGAAGATAGAAGTGTTACACAGGGGAGAAGGTAGAAGTATCACACCAGTGAGATGGTAGAAGTGTTACAGCAGGTGAGATGGTAGAAGTGTTACACCAGGTGAGATGGTAGAAGTGTTACAGCATGTGATAAGGCTGAGGCCGAGATTTGAATGTATGTAGTACTGGCATATATGATATGTGTGTCTGGCTTACCTGGTGTGTAGCAGTCGTTGTTGCAGTCTTTGTACTGGCTGCCTGTGACGCCGGCTGCCGACGACGCTGCTACACAGAAACCACATGTGTCGTTCACACTGGTGCCGTTGCAGTTATTGTTGCAGTCTCGGAAATCTGCAGCAGTTCGGCCCGTTGACCCACCTACAACAAAAGTAAGGTATTACAGTGAGTGAGTGAGTGAGTGAGTGCTATTCCCACGGAGCGTTTCTTCATCAGTGAAGGTAACACGTCGCTGTGAACAGAAGACAATGACACCAATGCCACCATATACATGTCGAGGCAGGTTTGCTTCGGTTGTTGTTTAACGCCGCACTCAGCAATATTCCAGCTATATGGGGGAGGTCTGTACATAATCCAGTCTGGACCAGACAATCCAGGGATCAACAGCATGAGCATCGATCTACGCAATTGGGATACGATGATGTCAATCAAGTCAGCGAGCCTGACAACCGATCCCGTTAGTCGCCTCTTACGACAAGCATGGGTTGCTGAAGACCAATTCTAACCCGGATCTTCACGGGTCTATAGGAAATAAAAACTGAAGAAGCCGATAACGCTTATACCACATTTTACCACTTCGATAAAAGATAAACGTTGTCGCAAGATCATCCTGCCTGTAAAAGGGACATAAATCTGCAAAACCAAAGGCAATTGGTACAAGGAGCTATGATCATATACTCATGCCAATAATGGTTGACACCCCCTTCCCACGCCAACCCAACACCCTCTCTCCAATAAAAAAAATTGAAGGGGGTGACAACCATTATTGGCATGAGTATATATTCATTATTTTTATTAGGGCATCACTTAACTCCTCTTTTAATGGGCTATACCACATACATACACGTTGCATGCTCAAAACGGTTACATTATCATCTTGGTCAATGAATCAATGTGGATTCGATTTCAGTTCTCTGCTCCTTGAGAAGTATACAACCCAAGTTGCCTTTGAGTCACAAGAAGGTTAACAGCTATATTACCACCTCATTCTGCCGGGTACCCATAAAATCCTTCTTGTATTTAATAGATGGACCCATAAGCTTTCTGAGATTTGTATTTGTTTTCAGAGTATTCTTTGAGTTAGTATTCTTAATTTCTATTTCTAGTTTTCGTTTGTATTTTTACAGGTTAAGGCGGTGAATGTGATATACATTTAGGGTCCACAGAGTCCTGGGCGTCATGCTTTGTAATCAGTCGTCAGTTACCCACACTTGATATGTTCAAAGTTAGTTTTGTCTGTTAACATATAAGTTAGGGAAACAAGAATGAGGCCCATTAACAACTTTTATAGAAAGGAGCATTACAGTCAGTACTTCTCGGCAAATTTTAGATTTCGGTTTGTCATTATATTCATCTCGATGCAGGCATTCCCCCACCAATGACTAGTTGTTCTGTAGACGAAATACGTCAGTGTAGTAAACTATTTCCCTCACCACAGGTAACATTGCCTGAAAATAACGACTTAGTTTTTACAAAGCTCGTTTTACTTTAGAGTTCGCAAAAGCAGAGGATGGCAACTTTGTAGTTTCTGTCCGAGTGAACATTTCATTCAAGTGAAAAAAACCCGAAAAAACGAAAAAAAGCAAAAAAAAAAATAAAAAGAACACAAAAGAACAAAAAAAATAAATAAATAAAAAAAACACACAAAAAGAACAAAAAACACTATTTCCGTGTTCAGATAAATTTATTACCTTTAATTACAGTGAGTAACTGTTTAGTTGAGCGAATCACTTACTTTTATGTTCATAAACTTAATATAATAGACTAGTGTTTTCTGACACGTCAGTGAGAGGGGAACCCAACCGCAGGTATGAGAGGGCACAACCTATATTTTTTAATATGGTATATATCTACCCTTCAGGAACAGTAAGTTTGATGGCATGAAATAAGCACTAAAAGCATTTCTATACCCAATGAAATGTCCCAAGTGTCTAAAAAACGACATGTTCAGCAACTTTAAGTAATGTTTATAATCAGTCATGCTTGATTCACCCCGTAACCTTCATTTATTTATGTCCAGGAGATGTGATCAGCACCAGATGTAGCAGACATCTCATTATGTGAAGTATTTCACAAAAGTGATCCACACTTGACGCACTTCGGTGACCACGAGTTGATGACATTTCCCACAGTCTGGGCGAACAGTAGAGTGATCAATGCTGCATGGACCGTTTGGATATACTTTCAATTACCAAAGACGGAATAAACACGTCGTGCCCTGAGTGGGAAGTAATATTGAACAATCTGTACATGTATGTAGCGTCTGTTAAACAGAGCATAACTCAACGTCTGTTTTGTGCATTGGGTTGTGATGTAAAGTGTGTTAAAAAATCCATGCTCATTAATACGTACATTGACATATTGATCTCAAGGTGCGCAGTTATCTCCGTTTGTCATGCCGGAATCCAACAGTGCTTTTCCAGATTGAGCTACCCAGTTGTTTCATGGTGATAAGAGACTCCAGATTGAGATAATCCGTTGTTTCATGGTAATAAGCGACCCAAGATTGAGCTACCCAGTTGTTTCATGGTAATAAGCGACTCCAGATTGAGCTACATTGTTGTTTCATGGTAATAAGAGACTCCAGATTGATCTATATCGCTGTTTCATGGTAATAAGCGACTCGAGATTGAGCTACAGTGTTGTTTAATGATAATAAGAGACTCCAGAATGATCTACATCGTTGTTTCGTGGTAATAAGCGACTCAAGATTGAGCTGCATGGTTGTTTCATGGTAATAAGAGACTCCAGAATGATCTACATCGTTGTTTCATGGTAATAATAGACTCCAGATTGAGCTTCTCCGGGGTTTTCCCATATTAAACCATCATGTTGAGATAAAATTCAAATAATACTATATTGCTTTGGTACGGGACACAATTAATAAGTGTTGTTTGTGCGTCCTTGTCTGTGCTCCTTAACTTAATTTTGCAAATGTTTTAAAAATATGATTTATCATTATTTCACGATTGCAACCCAGTAGGCGGAAATGATTGGCAGACACATCAATCCAAACAAGGACTTAAAAAAAAAATTATCGACATTTTTATCGTGGCTATCAACAAACTGCAAATTATATATGATTGATTGAACAATTCGAGCTGTTCTTTGCCGTTTAGGTACGATCAAGTTTCACCCTTGTTATTAACAATTACAGCTCGGTTTTGATTGATGTGATTTCACACAGATACGAGATACACGAATAATATAAACATCAAGCGAATAAACAATGAATTAAAGCCAAACGTAACGTGACACGTTCCTGTGTAAGCTGTGTGAAAAGTGGGTAGTTACGATATGTCTGACATGACGAGAACTAATATAGATACAATGCATATAATTTATACATGTTTAAAAGTCACCTTGGCGTGCATCATCAACTCTTTCCCTACTCACTGATAACAAGGTTTCAAGTTGGCAACGATGTATGTACTCATACATTTTACGTAATGACATATTACCGTAGTAAATGAGGAAATGTTCTCTCTTTATTGCAATATTTCTGTACGTGTATAAGCAGTGAATATTTAAAAGATGAGTTCGGATATTTCTTCTTAAAGAAGGTAAAGTATTGTCACTCATGACCACGTGTTACGTCTCCCGCTATTGGGACTGTGACGTCATACGCATGATGACGTCATACGATACCGTTATACAGTCGCCTCTGACATCACTTAGTTTACATTGTAGACATGAAGATCCGTTGAACCGCGGTTTGACAAGAAGAAATATCTGGGCCCGGTTGTTCAAAACTCGGTTATCTTTTAACCAGCCGTTAAGTTCATTTAATTGACTGTTACCTTATAACAGAGGGTTATCTTGTTGTTCAAAACTCTGTTAACTTAAACAGGTTGTTAACGTGACGTTAAGTTAACACACATAAGGACCGCCGCTAACTGGTTAACAGTGTGGTTAACTCGCAAATGGCGTTCATGGCTAACACTGCTTTCATGAGGCCAGTTCAGCAAAGAAAGGATAGGGTGTATCGTGGACTGGACTTCGATATTGGAAATTATTCTGACGAAGAGTTACATACGAAACTGTATCTATGCACATCATAGGAACTAAAATACATGTTGTACAAGTACATGATGCCTACGTTTCATCTTTTAACACTTGTGGAAAGGTTTATATATGCTTTACTACACTAAATGTGTGAATTTCTTCTGTAAATATTATTCAAACAAACACTTTCAAAGAATATAACACGTACACCCTATACCCACGTATGATATGATATTGAACGAGGCTACATGTAGATAATTAAATTAGTTTCATGAAAAAATATTCGAACGATTACATTATGATACTGAAAGTGTAATCGGCGGGATATGGTGATTGTGTATACTCTTATTCTACCGACCGTCACCTCAGAGAAATTGCCAAATACACTCCCAGAAGCCAGAAATGCCGATTACTACCGTTGTCGTTCTGCGTGATTTTGCGTCAGTCATGGCGTCAGGCAGGACAGAAACTTGACAGTTTCGTGTAAACACATCACATTCCTGTATTGTATCTATATTTAATTTCCTATTTCTTGCTACTATGCTCTTTCCATGCAAATGGGTGTCTGAAAATTTGAGAAAATGCTACACAGTGTAAAGTCTGAAATTTTCTTTGTTTACATTTCAAACATGTGTTGTCTTTCGAGCACAGCAGTTGTTTCCACCCCCAATATCTTTCGTTTCACTTTATCTAGACACTTGGTATTGGTGCCAAAAAGACCAGTTGTAATTAGATTCTAAAATGTATGAGGAATTCAGTAGGGCTGGGACGAGTAGGAAACAATGGAATCGAGTACCCGCATGTACGTACCCGAATCGGAATCGAGTACCCGGAAATGTAAGAAATACATTCGGGTCAACTTTCTGAATATTCAATCACGATTTGACAGAGATTATTGTAGAAAACTTGAACAGTTGGTAATAAGACATTAAAACTGACCTCAAGCTATTTAATTTACGTCTGTTTAACCAATATAGAGAGTAACACCATTACTTACATTCCTCGTTATAACAACGAACGTTTTGTTCCTGCTGCTACTGTAACTTAACTACTCACTGCTCATGCACTCATAAATTACAGTCATTAAAACTATGCTCCTTTAATCGGACAATACCAATGATGCAAAAACCCGTGAATTTCCGGGTTAGAATGTTGATCTTCAGTAATTAACCCATGCTTGTCGTAAGAGGCGACTAACGGGATCGGGTGGTCAGACTCGCTGACTTGGTTGACACATGTCATCGTATCCCAATTGCACACATCGATGCTCATGTTGTTGATCACTGGATTGTCTGGTCCAGACTCGATTATTTACAGACCGCCGCCATATAGCTGGAATATAGAGGCGTAAAACTAAACTCACTCACTCACTCACTCACTCAATGACGATAAAGACAAGCTATTGTCTGCCCTTGTCATTACAGAGCTCTCTCCCTTTCCGGGTACCCGATTCCTAGAAATAGGACTCGATTCCAGCTGTACCCGACCCGGATTCGAGTACCGTAGTACCCGTCCCAGCCTTAGAATTCAGTGATGCATTTGTCGCCGCTGAATATGAAATATATGTGATGTAATTGGCGTCTCAATACCGGCCTTCGCGAAACGTTGTGAGATGTGAGTGATATGCAGGCCTACTTCGTAGTCACTTTGATTAAATTTTATATTTGAATATCGAAACCCTTTTTGTCACAGCGAACACAACACTATCTCTTGTCATTTTACACGATAATGTTTGGAATTTTAAACTTATTTTATAACAATATCTGATTGCTATATATATACACTGATGTATTTTATATAAGGAATACAATGGCACAATAGTATTTCTCTGCCGAATCGTTGCAGCGTTCTATAATACGCTTATGAAATATAAAACAACTTGAATAAATTGAAAAGAACTATCTATGCATTTTCTATAGTCACTTGTGAATTGAACTAAATGGAGGTTCATCTGATTAATGAGTATCGAGGAAATTATGTTCATCTATAAATTAGACGCAGCTTCATGTTTTTCAAGACATCTTTCCGGAATATGCGTCTGTGAAGGCGTTCAGATAATGACGATATTGCACAGTTTTATTCATGAGATTCCTGTCAACAGTAAGGTCGAATAATAGATCGATTAAGTTCAGCAGTGTTGGCCCTGGGGCCTATAGTACAATTACAGTTTGATTACTTGCACGTGGTGCTAGTAACATATTAAGTTTCTATTGGCATTGAATGCATATTTCAGATAAAGCTAATGGTATTATTGTCACAACATCTATATTGTTTGATGTTAAAGATTTGGCAATGTGTGTTCATACATTACAATTTTTGACAGACTTGGCAAATAATTAATAAATGATTGTAGCCGTCTAAGCGTAACTCCTGTGTGTAATATTTGTTAATATACTATCCACTGAAAACATGCTTCTACTATTAATATTACATGTATTTTCATGGATTCATCATATTTTATCTATAGCTGTGCTATAGTTTCTCATTAAAATGTCTTTTTTGTTGTCGGAATTGAAGTAAGTCCCACACAGAGCTGGGATCATATGTCTTTGAAATATATATGCAAACGTCTGGAACCTTGTGTTCCAATACAAGCGTTCGTAGCGCTACGACATTCGCATGCCTATGATAAACTATAGAGTTGGTCTCAACCATTGACTGGATTACATTCTCATCGTCAGCTGAGAAATTTCGACTTCTCTTTTTCCTTGGGGTGCAGGCGACATTGTTATGAAATTGTTATGGTTTCACAAGTACCAGGTTGTTCTACTCCGTTTGTGGTGCTTTAGGTTTGGTACATCCCAATCTGTTGGCTGGCATTGGGAGGGTACCCGGCTTTGTTGCCAGGAACACAGCCCATCTGTACACAAGGTGAGGGTAATGTACAGCCCATCTCTGAGTAAGGTACACTCTCTGGGTTATGTCGAATAAGCAATACTGCCTGGGCTGCAGGTAAAAGAGGGCAAGGGTACCTGAGCTAACCATGATTCATTCATCCATCCATCCATCCATCCATCCATCCATCCATCCATCCATCCATCCATCCATCCATCCATCCATCCATTCATTCATTTACGTAAAATTACGAATAAAACATCTACTCACCAACACATTGCCCGGAGCAGCTGTCTACGAAGGCTGTCCCGTTACACTCGTTGTTGCAGTCGGTGCTGGAGACGTAGCCGGGTTTGCCCGTACACTGCCCATTGCAGCTGTCCACCCCGTAAGTGATGTTGCGACCCGTAGAGCCGCCGTAACATTCGCCGCAGTTGTTAGTGGTAGCGGTCCCATTACATTCATCTGCAAAGGGATAAATTATATAATACAAGGTAGTGTTGCTGCAACTACTGCAAAAACTACACCCTCCACTACTGCACCTACTATTGCCACCATTACTTCTACTAATACTGCGTTATATCTGATGCTGCTTCAGTAGCTGCTACCAATACTACTACTACTACTACTACTACTACTACTACTACTACTACTACTACTACTACTACTACTACTACTATAGTCTGTCATACAGACCCTGAAGTAAATATATCCAAGAAATCCCACGCAAGTCTAGAAAGTGTGGCAAGTCTAGATTTCCACAGCCCTCAGTCTCAGGGCTCCTTTTTTTATATATATTTTTTTTTTCACTTTGAGCTTTTTTTCTGTAAAATATGTTCATTTCAGAGACTAGGTGTTACTCTACTACTACTACTACTACTACTACTACTACTACTACTACTACTACTACTGATAGTACTACTTTTACTAAAATAATTTCTACTACTGCTGCTACTTTTACGAGTACTGTTGCTGCTGCTGCAACAACAACTGCTACTACTACTACTACTACTACTACTTAGTAGCACTGCTACTACAACTAATTGAACTTCTACTACTGTTGTTACTACTACGAGTACTATTACTGCTACAGCTACTACTACTACGAGTACTATTACTGCTACAGCTACGGGCGACTATTATTACTGCTACGAGTACTATTACTGCTGCTACAGCTACTACTATTACGAGTACTATTACTGCTACGGCTACTACTACTGACTGCTATTACTGCTACAGTTACTACTAGCTACTATTACTAAGCTGTACTACTACAGTTACTACTACTACGAATTACTATTACTGCTACAGTACTATTACTACTACGATTCATTATTACTACTACAGTTACTACTTGCTACTACTGCTACGGGTACTATTACTGTGCTACTATTACAAATACAATTGCTACAGCTACTACTACAGCTACTACTACGGTACTATTTTACTACTACTAATATTATTATTATTATCACTACTACTAACTCTGTTAAGGATTATATTGAATGATATCAATGTTCAGGAGGGATAAAGTTGATACCACTGGTATTTTCAGATGGAAATGATTACAATGTGTGCTCAATAGATTCCTACCATATATTTTATTGATTTGTCACTGTGTGCTCGTAATGTTCAACGGTGACACTTTGTTGTTCACGTACAAGATAAGCACTTCATGGCATCTAGCGAACGGCATCCGAAACACAACTTGTCATCTCGCGCATCAAACGAGGGTAGCACCCTCGTATATTTGGCGTTTCCCTGATACATAGATTAACGCTTAGTCTCTGAATATACACTGACTGACTGACTGAGTTTGGTTTTACGCCGCTTTTAGCAATATTCCAGCAACATCACGACGGGGGACACCAGAAATGGGCTTCACACATTGTGCCCATGTGGGGATTCGAACCTGGGTCTTCGGCGTGACGAGCTAACGCTTTAACCATTAGGCTACCCCACCGCCGCCTGAATATATACAATTTTGATACTAAGAAATAATCCCATTTAAATTCAATAGAGGCTCCAGTGAAATGGGTGATTCAGAACCTGAGGAAATCATTCAGGATTTTAGCATGGTAGGGAGGGCAAGGCAGTAGGGACAATAATGTGGTTCAGGGATGTGAGATCGACTACCTGGTACACGACAAACGTTACATTTGGCTTACTTTACACATAGAAATTTCACAGTATGGTACAACTAAGGTACTGTATGAAACCAATCTGATCATTGCTTTCACAAACCGGCAGCACAATGACGAGAACCGTTCAGGATCACGCACCCTCATCCTTCCAACGTAATGCTATCAGACCACTTCAAATACTTGAACAAATACTTAATAATTCACCGACGCCCCTCGTTGTGTCTGCGTTACCATAGTTTGCTGCCTAACCACCATCATAACAACAACGCACCTGCCATCTCAACGTTAATGTCACATTTCAGCCGTTCTATTATTCCATTAAACAATATCTGTGAATACATCATTCTGGCACTGATGGCATCCCAATGATTGTCATGTATTAATCATAGAGAGATAATGTGATAACGACTATTTCATTACACCTTGATGAGGAGAGGTTGGAAGACCTGGCCAACCCCGCCAACCGTAGAAGGTCAAGGTGTTTGACTGTATTCGTTACCATTCTTATTCTTTGTCCATTCGTATGTTTGTTTCTCATCTCAAACCTAAACCAGATACAGGTCGGGTGGGCCAAAAATGAATAAATAATAATTTAACAAAGGTAAACGTGATCAACTGGCAAAATCCGTTATATTCTTTTATTCTGTAGATTAATTCGCTTTGCTTGGATCGTGAACAATTGGTATGTCACCAGAAGTGAAGCTATGCAAAGAACCAGTGGTGCTGGACCATCAGAGTGTTGACCAGTGGTGCAAGAACCCATAGTGTTGGACCATCAGAGTGTTGACCACTGTTGTTGTGACCGTGGTGAAGTCATGTCGAGAACCCATAGTGTTGGACCATCAGAGTGTTGACCACTGTTGTGTGACTGAGGTGAAGACATGTCAAGAACCTATAATGCTGGACCATCAGAATTTTGACCACTGTGGTGTGACCGTGGTGAAGTCATGTCAAGAATCAACAGTGCTGGACCATCAGAGCGTTGACCACTGTGGTATGACCCCGGTGAAGTCATGTCAAGAACCCATAGTGTTGGACCATCAGAGCGTTGACCACTGTGGTGTGACCGTGGTGAAGTCATGTCAAGAATCCACAGTGCTGGACCATCAGAGCGTTGACCACTGTTGTGTGACCCATAGTGTGGTGAAGTCATGTCAAGAACCCATAGTGCTGGACCATCAGATTGTTGACCACTGTGAAGTCATGTCAAGACCAGTGCTGGACCATCAGAACATTGACCACTGTGGTGTCAAGAACCCATAGTGCGTGGACCATCGTGGTGAAATCATGTTGACCCACAGTGCACTGTTGGTGTGACCGTGGTGAAGTCGTCCATGACCCAGTGCTGGACCATCAGAGTGTTGACCACTGTGGTGTGACCGTGGTGAAGTCATGTCAAGAACCCACAGTGCTGGACCATCAGAGTGTTGACCACTGTGGTGTGACCGTGGTGAAGTCATGTCAAGAACCTATAGTGCTGGACCATCAGAGCGTTGACCACTGTGGTGTGACCGTGGTGAAGTCATGTCAAGAACCCACAGTGCTGGACCATCAGAGCATTGACCACTGTGGTGTGACCGTGGTGAAGTCATGTCAAGAACCCACAGTGCTGGACCATCAGAGCGTTGACCACTGTGGTGTGACCGTGGTGAAGTCCGTCATACCAGAACCCACAGTGCTAGAAGTCATCATACCAGTACATCGTCAGTGGCAAGAAATAGTTAAGTATGCTGAGTCAACTACAAAAGAAATGTTTGCTCCAGTGACCACACTTGATTCTCTGGGGCTATGTTACGGTGGTTTATTCTTTTACTACAGACTGACCCGTATGAGTATACAATTAGTCAAATACAAAACAGGTGACGGCATCTTGTTCGTAAACAACATGGCGACTGCCCTAGAGATTTCGATTGATTTCAGGAATCGCAAAGTACAAATACCGTCAACTTTTTCAAATCTTTTGATGTATTTTTAATGAACTTCCTCGGGTGATTGAATGCACTTTGCGAGGGATGACCGGGTATGTTACAATATCGATCTTGAGTATCGATCAGACAATTGGTACCGCCATTTTGTTTGACACAAATGCAAGGGGTATGAGAAGTGGAATGTGATTGGTCAAGAGGAGGCGGGCAAGTGTTCTTGACCATCGTAGAGTTATGTAAGACCCATGACGAAGACCATGATGATGTTGACTGTGACGTCATTCTCACTCGACACTGATTGCTCGATCTGCCTCTGATGATAACATTTTTCTCAATCTTTGACCAGAGTCATTTTGAAATATTACATAAGGATGTATGACTTACAAAATAGGGAGCTATTGTTCAGACAAGAATCCTTGCGTAAGGAACTGATTTTTAGAGAAAGTCCTCTTATTTTCCTATTTCTATATCAGATTGTAAGGTCAGTATGATATAATATTTTACATCACAATGAACGCCATGACGTCATGATAATGACGAGCTAAATGAAATGTCCAGATAACTTAGTATTCTAGATAATGATCTGCTTTCCACAAGGCGCCATGACGTGTCTCTACATAATGTATCTTACCATTGCAGTCGAGGAAGTCGCTGATGGCGCTGACGTTGGCGGTTCCACCGTAGCACATTTTGCATTTGGGGTGAAACAGGGCTGCGCCGTTACATTGACCGGCGCAATCCAATGTTCCCGAGCAACCAGTCACTGGAATAACAATTTGATAGTGAAATATTAGAAATATAACACGTGAAATAAAAGAAATAATAAACAAATAACGCAAATAACAAGAGACAAATAGCAATCTGTAATTGAATTTGTATTCCCTTAAACACAGTTCCGGTATTGAAAACAAAGACATTAATTATAAATTGGAAAGTTTGAATCTCTTAAACCAACACTGACCATTGTATGACAAGAATGAGAAACAGTTGTGAGAATATGTTATCGCCCTTAGGGCTTCATGGAACCTTGTTTCAAGATGATAGAGTGAAATGTCATTCCGGATTAATTAAATCATGTCCGGATTGAAGATTCAATGTACAAGTAAGCTCATATTACATTAGCATGTTAGTCACAGTTATGGTAAGGTTAGGGATGCGGATTAATTAGGGGATAACTGTACTGTGCTTGACGATTTGGGGACGCATACCATTGCTTGTATAGCCGCAAATTTAGTTATATCGGTGACGCGTGGTTATAAAGTCGCAAATTTAGTTATATCGGCGACG